CTTTCGCTATCCTTCTCGCGAACTATGTATTCTTGTTCCTTCTGCTCGATACTCTTACCCGTGCCTGGTTACTTCATCGTTCTGCGTACAGGTTGAACATTCCAAGAGCACGTTGAACCACGATCATCTTTATTTCACGCGTATCTATACGTCTTCCAACCAGAAACGACAAAAATTTAATTCGAACAATAGTTTATATTAAATATTGTACAATGGAAAAATGAAAATTTAAATAGTCAATCGAAAAAACGTCTCAAATTGCTACTTAATAATTGGAATATCAGCTTGTGTATAAAAATATAATTTGTTGAATTTAGTTTCAACAAACGACACGGAATGTTTCTGGCTGTTTTTTTGTTCAATTTACTCTTTATTCTAAAAGGTTTACTCTACGAATATTTTATTGGAATAAATCTCTTTTGGAACGATTATTTCAATAAGAATTTTTTTGAATAGCCCACCTTCTGTGCGTGATAACCTGCTCAAGTAAAATCACCAGATCAGGCGGGTGTCGCCCTCTGTCCACGAATAGACTTGTACACGCGAAACAAATTAAGCAACGTTTGCAACATTTCGTCGCAATATATGTAGGAACGTGTACACTTATGTTATCGATACGTTGACCGTGGTTGGAACTGATATATGTCATCTTTGGGGCGATGAAAGAATATTATAAACGATTGCAGTCTAGTGATTCCAGACAGCAGACCGGTTCTATTAGGGAACTGTTGCCCCGCCATTCGTTCATACTAATGCACATTCACGCGTACGCGAGTTCCGGCGCTTCGGACGATTTCGGAGAATCGAGAAAGAAAACGAATGTGAACCTTTCTTTGGCCCTCTCTAATCACCCCCAGTCGAATTGCCTGCTTTTACTTTTGCAAACAAGGTTAGGCTCTAAATGGCTATATCTACTACAGCTACTGCTAGTAGTTGTACCCCAATTTCACGTATAGACGTTAAAAGCAACCCCTTAATGCGTATAATCTCCAAAATGCCATTTACTTTGGCTTATGCAGCTTCTGCAAATAATCGTTATTTCATGTGACCCATAAATGCCTCTTGACCCTTCGAATGTGTCGCCACAAGGACAATTTATTATCTGGAATATTTAAAAAATGACTCTTTACAACAACAAATCACCTATTAAGAAATGAACGAGTGTCGGATCATTGGTATCAGAGGATAGCGGGAGTAAAGGTTGTGAATTCAGAATTGCTTCAATCTCAATTATCAATGTATTGAATTGTTCGTATTTAAATAAAAAATCGCCAACTGCTAGATATGGATATCTTTTAAAAGATTTTACTGCGGTTTCTTCATTTTATAATAATTTTCTGAATTTAAAAAAGAGTAACTATTCCATAGTTAACGTTATTTTACGTAAATAGTAATTATTCTCGAGATTCTAATGTATCAAAAGTGTTTATTATCTGCGAAATTAACTTGACCATTCATTCGACTGGAGGTGTCTTAAGAACGACAAAGAAAGACTCATATTCGTCTTCTTTGTCGACTCCCCGAAGCTGTCCGAAGCTCCGTAGCTCACGTACGCGCGAATGTGCATTAGTATGTATAAATGGAGAGGCAGCTTCCTGATGGGAACCGGTCTACCGCCTGGAATCAATGTTGCAGCTCACAGAATGGTTTAGTCGTAGCTTGGAAAAGTAACGAAAGGACCTAGATTTCATTTCGCGCGATACAAATATTCTCGCATCCTGGTAAGGTAAATCTAACCTGTAACTGACTAAGGATACAAGAATGCTGTAAGTACAGTGACAGCTTAGAGAACTATCTCTAGGGAGTTGATTTCCGAAGAGTTAGCAAAGCGATTGTTACACTATCTGGCGGAGACTAGAAATAACGCAGACGAAGTAGGGTTAGGTTCCCTTTCAAAAGATTCAATGCCCTTTTTTATTAGTCTCATTAACCTCTTAATTTCTTTATTTAAATTTTTCTTCTCGTCTGTTGCAGCCTTGAATTTGCCTTTCTTGTCGACGATAATAGTCCATCAATGGAAATACGTCAACCATTTAAAACAACGTGGTCCTAAAATCTCGAACAATATGGTCTTAAGAAACATCCTTTTCTTTTACATAAGATCGTGACATTACAAATTTGTGTAACAAGTTTAAATGCGAATAAAGTTCAAACGATCGAAATTTTCATTGAAAATTGTTCGATATGGTGTATAAGAGAGTTAATGGGCATGTTGTGCATAATCTTCCGGTTCCTTTTGTTTTTCGTTTCTAAATTTTTCTTTCGCGTGAAACTGCACGTAACCCACTTCCTCGAGTGACTGCTCGCCGATCCGATCTCTGTCGGACAACAGTTACCGGTTTCATTTTAATTTAACTTTTTGTTTTTCCTCCGGTGCATATCCCTTCTCCGTTTCACACAGCATGAGCTCAAATCGCGTTCATACCTCACATGCGACCAATCTCCTTTCTCACTCGTGCACGGTGCATCGTAGAAGATTAAGCGGCCATTGGTCACTTAACCTACCGATGGAATCATTCGACAACAATTTACATACCGATTCATTAATCAGTTAATTAATTAGCTTAGTACACGTAATCGTGACGAATGAAACATTCGTGAAGGTTAAGGAAACACGAGTTTAGAAACTATTTTATAATTTTCTAACCTCACCCATGTTACGATTGTAAATTATAATTACTACTATTATGCTTATAACTACAATTGTATATTATCGTGAACTTCGATGAAGTTTATAGTGAAAAATATTTGCAGAAAAGCTTCGAAACTTATTTAGATAGGAAATATGACTCGTGCAAATATGCTCACAATCTGTATCGATGTAGATCGTGGAATACAAATCGTAGTTATGCATTACTATGTATCTTACGTTTGCAACTCATCCTTACTCAATTGTGACTGCTGGAATCTTCTAATGATGTAATACATTTATCGCTTTCGCGTACGAAGTATCTAAAAGTATTCGGAATTTCTAATCTATTATTACGTAATTATATTTTCGACACGCTATAAAAATTCTACTGAAAACGAAGGGGAGAAAGTTTTCACGTCTATAGATATTTCTATACAAGGAAAGAAGAAGCAGTTTGGCGATTCCAAACATTCGAACGATGAAAATCTTATTGTTTTGACAAATATTTTTTTTCCCCAAGATGGTGGGTCCAGAGCTTGACATTTACTTACGTATATGATTTATAGTTAACTTTGATGAATCAAGGTAGATTTATTTTACTTTATCAATCATCGGTATTTTTTTGTTTTTATCGTGTTAGCAGAAAAATTTTTGCGACTAGCTCGTGTTTGATTACCTGCTTGTTTGGAATCGTGTCCCGTGTTAACGCCCATGCGATGAAAACCTATAATTTCATGCAGCATTGCATAATCTCTTCCTTTGAACGACAGTTTTGATCCTTTTACTTTCAGTATTCGTTTTACGAGAAACTGAATAGACCAACTTGTTCGCATTATTGGAAAGGACAAGGGCGGATCTTGAAAAATAACCTCAAAAATATTTGGGCAAAATACCTAAACCCCTGTTCAAAATTCAATTTATCACGTATTTTATATCATATTGCGTTAATATATGATATATATATATACATATATAAGATATTTGACTTAAGCCACTTTCATAGTGATCAACCCAGGTGCTCTCGATCCCGTTACTGGTCATCGCCCAGCAGAATTGAGAAAGTCTTGTCTGTTCCAAATTGATTCATTCTACGACTCGGTTGTAGAATGGACTGTCGACGAAAATGGGCAAAACTTTTACTTGAATAATAGAAGATAAACAATTGTTTATCTGTTACTCGTTAAATAGAATTTGTTGAGTCTAACAAATGATTACACGAACACAGCTGTTCGATACTAATCATTGACTAAGAGTTGTATTGACACTAATGACACAAGGTTGAGTAATTAATATTTCTCAACAATGTCAATTCAAGGTATCCGTCATTGTTCTTGCCATCTATCCGTTTACATGTATGCCACAGACTAAACCAACAATACAGGAAAATGTGAGGCATTGTATCGATACCTATAGTCTATCATCTCTCTATCATGTCCTATATACTGTGACCTTCAATGATCTTGTATCATAGTTCGTTGAAATCGTTTAAGTATCCATCGTTACACTAAGAATAAAAAAAGTATCAGATTCCATTGAAACAATGAAGTTGATCTAAAACAAAAAAAAAATACCATAATACGACTAACCTTATGCTGTACAAATTCTGAATTCATTTTTGTTGCATCTGAAAATGACTGGAATTTTTTTAAGTTTTATTAAATTAATTTTTGACACAATCTTTTTATGTATATTTTTACTAATTTATTCATATGATATGTGTATATTTACAGCGGCGAATACAAGAGGGAAATCCTTGAAACTTCGAATTTTCTTCGTTTGTATTCGTGTTAGTCCCTCCCCCCTCCAATCGAGCTTTTCTAGATCCGTCACTGTACAACTCCATTAAAAAGGGGCCCACTCCACCAAGAAAAATCTCAGTATCGAAGAAGTTAAAGGGTTTACAGAATTCTCTCGTTATAAGTTCTCATTCGTACTCGCTATAAGTCTCTCTATCCCCTCCACTACTTTTCTAGTTGCCGCAGCGACTGGTAGAGGGCGCACGACGTCGCCAAATCACAAAATATCTTTTAATTGCATCTTATAAGTGTCTTTTCACACTTTGACCACGATGATCCAAACGCCTCGATAAAGAACAGTGTCGTAAAAGGACTGTTTCGTTATAAGTAGTGTTTGTTCCTTGACTGGAACAACATTCAAAACGGCACTCGTTACATTGTCGCGCGCAATATTATCAACTACGACATTATGTAACTTAAGTGCTATTTGATCGAACGAGTCTCGTCGAAGGAAAAGGTAGAGGAAAAAAAGTAAATCTAACGTTATCAACGTTATCACCGTGTGAGCGCCGCTTAACGTAATCGCGTCTGCGCAATCGCGAGCGATTCCAGTCGAACTGGTCTCCAGAGTTACCACGTGCTGAATGCCGCGGTCGTTCCGCAAACCGCAGTGCCGCGTCAGTCACGTTAACGCGAGAGTGCCTTCGGTTCGCTTGCTGAATTATTTCACGCGCCCCTACGACTCCACGATTAATCGTTCGTTATTACGAGACGTTCAATTCCCTTTTAACGACACCGACGTTTAGAAAACGACCGAACCGGCCCGTTTGTTCTACCAACGTTCACAGATGGCAGTAAGCATGGATGTAACGACGGTACGTGAATCTAAACGTTTATGAGTTCGACCTTCGTCGTAGATCTATTTGCCTTCTGATCTACAATGTACCCTGAATTTCCTTGGTTCGACGTCGATTGCTCGCGTCCACCATACGAAATAAAATTATCTCGCGGACGAGGTTAAGATTTTATTTATTCGTGTTAGAAGTTGCACGAAATTACGGACGTTTCGAACGTAATTCTGCATCGTGAAAATTACCGGTTACGAGTAGAGGCGCAGAGAGAAAGGGAATATCGTTACATATGTGTACCGTTCCGTCTTTTCCTAACGTATCGTTTCACGTAGATCAGAGAATTTTAATTATTTCTTCCTGCAAGAATGTTTCTGTTCGCCTCGTTATCGTTTTCGAAAAATTTTTACCGCCGATCGTGCGTTTTATTTGAACTTTAGACGTCACAGATGGAAACCTTCGGCGCGCATTTGGCGTAGGCGACTGCAATGTACAGGACGACTCAAAAAGCACGCTCGATTTTTTCAAATACTTGCTCACACCTTTTACATTTTCTTTTAACCCTTTAACCTTGATCTCAAACATATATTTTGGATTATCCTGTATATTGTGTATCCCAGAACACCCTTATAATTTGAATTTACATGTTTTTTTTCTCGCTTCGTGTACAGTTCGAATTTATACCGTGTTCTTTGAATTCGTATCACGTTTACTTCGAAGCACCGTATGTAACACGAATTTCTATTTATTCTGCCGCGACTCGCACAAGTTAAACTTTGAAACTCCCTATACTGTTAAAATTTGAACCATGTTTGTTTGAAATGGTGCGAAATCAATTAAAATCTTGACCTAGCCGAACGAACTATAACTTTATCAGTACATAAATGTTTAATGTAGGTTTATAATTGAAATATCTAAATTATTTTCGAAACGTTCTGCCCTATATCCATTAATTAAATTTGACGCAATATTATTAATTTCTGTACTTTGTACGGAAACAGAGATAGTATCAATTAATGTTAATAAAAAATAACATAATTTTAATTATGATTATAAAATATATTTTTGTATAGTTTATATCATAATATTTTTGATATAATCTATTTAATGTTTCAACACGATTTCGCATTTAATCATTTACATTTGAAGTGCGAAATGTTTGCTCGTACAGTCTGTTTACTTCACGAAATTATAACAGTCTTCAATTATGCTTTCCTGAATTAAGTTATTCCATCGAGTGTAGTCGTGGCCGGAAGTTACGCTTGTGGAACGATAATTAACAAAGGAAACCGAGTAAGACGAGAATCTGACGAAGAATTAAATTTCATCGACTTTGCACAGTCGGTGTAAAAGCGAACTTGTACCATTATTTTCGATCGTTTCCGAATTCTCACTATCGATGCAATTCCAATGGAACGCGCTATTAAATTAATAACAGCAACGCAATGCCAAAAAGCTGGATTCTTTGAGATGCGTTAATATTTATGTTTTTACAAACAAACGATAAAGGAAGATATTCTGAATTTTTTTATTTTAGGATAAGAAATTCTTCAACAACAACAGCTACGGTGGATTTGAAACATGTCACCTACTCATATCCAAATTGTGAAGTGGAGTTTCCCAGCTTTTGCGCTTATTATCGGCCTTCTGTGGTATAAACGTCGTCGAGTGGACAGAACAGATCCAGGCGGAGTGGATAATCCAGATCGCACCGACGAAGGTGTCGTCGATTCCGAGAAGGAAGCTGCCACTGTGAAATCTAGCTTGAACTACCGCGGTTCTGATATGCAAATCGATGAGTCGTTCACGGTGAGTTCTTCTTGTCAACCAACAGAAGAAACGGTTTGTAGCCCGAGAAAGAGAAGCGAGAGCTTGGATATCCCTCAAAGGAAGAACGGCTCGCAGTCTGTTTCCATGCGTTCGATAACGCCCGAGGATGATCAAGGATGGCACAATTTTCTGAGCTCCGCGTCCCACAAAATGGACATACAGCTGGGCAGCAATCCTAAAACGAGTAACTTCGACATGGCCGTCAGAAGCAGAAGCGTGGCTTCCGCGGAAAACGCCGTCGACTCGAGCACCAACGCGAGGAAGATATTCGAGAATGTTACCGAGGAGGAAGAGCAAACGACAATTCCCGAAGACACGCCGTTGGAGGTTGTTGACAAAAACGGGGAGAACGAGACAAATAATAAATGCAATTACGCTCCGGGTAACGAGCCACCTGTTGTCACCCCGATAAAAGACAGCGCGAAAGCTCAAGTGCAAACGTTATCCGAACGGGACTCTGCCAATCACAGTCCGGTTTCTGGCGTTTTGGAGGGCAGCGTCACGGACGAAGCAAGGAGCGAAGGAAGCACGGACAGTGGAAAGGGTACGGTATAATAATTAATTGAAACGTAGTCTAGGATGTTCCGACGCTGGTCGTAATCGTGTATTTGTTACAGGAGGAAGTATCACGGGTCACGCGAAGGACAATGCAATCCCGATGGTGTACGAATTTAACGTACCACAGAATTTAGTTGGAAAAGTAATCGGCCGTCACGGTAGTTTCTTACAAAGCATTCGTGAGCAAGCCAAAGTTCATATAATCATCAGACATAATCCTATATTCAGAGATCAGCAGATTTGTAGCATAGAGGGTTCCACGGAAGGGATCAACATTGCCCTGGACATGATACGTCAAAAGCTTCCGAAGAAGAAGTATCCGCACGTCACTCTCGAACAGATTTTTCAATTGACATTGCTAAACGAGAGCTCGTGGTTCACAGAACTGGTGCAATTGTCGTTAGTGGAGGGTGTGAACAACGACGTTGTTGTATGTCATATAGTGAAACCAAACAGATTCTTCGTGCAGCTTCCTACTCATCCTACCTACCCATCCTTGCGAATTTTAGACGAAAGCATGACATTATTGTATAACACGACAGAATCACCACCAGTTCCGGATGAACTTAGCAGTAGGTTTACGTTTTACTTCATCTAGATTCAAATATCCAAAGATTTCTGTGCAAATTAATAAAATAATCCTCTACGTTGTTACATTCACTAAGATCGCACGTTGTAATTTACAGAAGGTATGGTGTTCGTTGCAAAATGGTTCAGTAGGTGGGTTAGGGTATATATCGAGCAACCGGATCCTCTTGGCGAGCGGCATTTAGTGCGGCTTGTCGATCACGGGGGTTATTGGTATTGCAGTAATGTAGAAATGAGAAAGATTAGGTCAGATTACCTTGCATTACCGTTGCAAGCGATTGAAATATTCCTCACGAATGTGCAGCCAAAAAATGGTAGGACATCCTTGTATTTTTATTCTTTACTGTTTAATTAAGTATCATTTTATATTTAATTACGTATTTTGTATCAGGTGTGTGGGCTCAAGAGGCTTACAATGTAGTTGCTCATATGTGTTCTGGTATTTCCGGACAAGCTCAAATCGAAGGTTATATAAATTCAAGCGTATACGTTAGTCTCTATTTGAATATTCAGAAACACGGGGTGAGTATTTTTAAATGAAAATAACCAACGTTTAAATAACTTTTACGTTACGTTTGTGTTTCCATAGGTGGTATCCCTTGCTGATGAATTGGTAGCTCGTGGGTATGCGGAATTTGTACCGTTAGAGAGCATAGTTCCAGAAGAAGATGTATCGTTCACTTGAGGTATGAATAAAAATTTAGTCTTTAATAATTGAGCTGTATAAAAAAACTGTGCGGTGATAATACGTGATCGTATAATTTTATAGTCATTATATCCGTGTTGGAAGTAATTTTCATACTCGAAGTTTCATATTCTATGATTTTGTTTTCTCGATACAAAGATTTAGATACTTTCTCTTGGCCGAGAGTCGTGGAAAATAGTGATTTTTTTTAAAAATTCTGTTCCATATATTTATTCTACTACAATTAATTTTTCACGTCATAGTATAATTTTCATGCTGATTCAGTATCATTGGACACTTTAGGGTGAACGAGAGTAATATTTAATAAGCATTTATTTCTCTTCATGAATGATTTACGACAAGTACAAATGCGAATTATGTTTAGAATGTGGTGTTTTTATGTGCATGGTTAATGATGCTGTTTTTAATAATGTTTCCACTTTACCAAGTGGAAAGAGAGTTTAGATCGGATATTACGGACCATTATAGTGAAGGGATCGCATGAACAAAACGTTTTTGTTTCTGTCATTTCACTTATGCCATTGAAGTGTACGATAATCGACCACCACATTCTAGCGACATAAATCGATTAAGAAGGTTAGATATAATGAAAAGGACCTGTGTACATTTAATATAATATCCAAACGATTTATAACGTAGGAACAGGTTTTTTACGGTATGATAGTGTACTATGTGTTCTTAAAACGTAGCGAAAAGGTCGAAGAAGCTCTTCTTGAATTGCAAAAAATTACTCCGTGATAGTTTTATCTTCGAAACTGCCGTTTTTTTCACGTTGTACGGAACGTACGTAGGACAAATCCTGCAGATACCACTGAGGCGGCTTCAATAATTATTATACAAACCTGAAAACCATTTATATTAAGTTTAAATTGAAAATAAAACGAAAAGAAGAAAAAAAAACAATGAATAAAATGCAATTTCTGAGACTGTTATTGAAAAAAAAAAATAATGCAACTGTTTATTGCATTTGCATATTTAGTTTTGCATAGTCAGATTTTGATCATACTTTTGTACATAGTGTAACATTACTTCGCCGTTTATAAAATATTTATGATATGTCTTTAATAATAATGGTAAAAAGAAAACTGTAAGGCGCTAGTTAGCTCTACACGATGATAAATATGACAAGATAATGATAGTAGATTTATATATTTTACATGTCTCAACACACAAAATGAAAAATTAAGTGATTTTGTATCATTGCCGCGTTATTAACAATTCCAATCGAATCGGGGAATTCGCTTCTGCGAGATCGTAATATCTATTACAGGTCAAACTTGTTCATTGACGCGATCCTTTTAGTTAGTACATATAGGTATCGTCATGTTGTATTTGATATTATAAAAGTCCTGAAAAACTTGTTATCCCAGAAATTGGGATGACTGTCTTAAAATTGTTAAAAACGGTATTATCGATATTATCTATACACTTAACATTAGAGGCTTATCGCATATAAATATATATATTGATTAATTTAACTAAGTTAAATATATATATATATATATATAACTTAATTTTTCTTGTGTAATGATAATATTAATAACTTCTTCCTGTAACTTGCTTCGGAATTTGCAGCAAGTAAACTGTCATCTTTCCGCTTTTTAAGTTTCGGTTGAAGTTTCTTAGTGAAAATAATATCGCATTTTAATTGATACACCGCCATCGAATTAACTACGAAAAGGTTGGTCGTTTTGTTTTTTTTATAACGATATAGAGGATTTATATGATTTATTAAGTATATGTAATTATATGTTGTTCAGGCAATTGCATCAAGCGTTTCATTTATTCTCTGTAATTCAGAACTCTATCTAAAACGTTGTAACGATTACTTATACAAATTACTGTAAATGTGTCAAAAAATCGGAAATAAATCATTTGAAATTTCTTAATATATTTAGATGCGAACACATCTAAAACTTGTTACGTGTTAACATTTACTGTTGTTGGTAAAATGTTGTTGGTGAAATTCTAACCTGACAGAAATACTTTCCTAGGAATATGCATAGAATACAGTCACGAAGTCGCTTGCATTAAATCATATGTACTTAATAATACCACCGTCGCGAAATGAAAATTTTTTTATTCATCGAAATGTTTTATACCGACCAGTGCAGTGTTCCGATAATATCTCTCGTAATGAAATTGTTATACAGTTGATACGTTTTTAAAATTCTCCAACAGAGGTACAGTTAATAATTTTGTTACATCGGTCTCAGAAATTTTACGTAGCCCTTTACGTTGCATAGGAAACGATAGATCGCATTATCTGGCTCCATATCGTATTTCATTTACCATTGTTAACTAAATTAAGTTCATTTTGTATATACCTCAATGTAATCTTCAGCGTTCTCATTAAATTTGCATCATTTTAATCGCATTATCTTTACTTTCTACCTTACATCACAATTCAGTGATTAGTTTGTCAATTGATCGTAATCCATGGGAAGAGGTCGCTATAATCACCTCCGAATTTTCATGGATTCGAGTCAGATTGGACATTGGAGCAAAAAAGTCCATAAGGTGTAGGGTCTTACTCGTATACCTCGTTTGTGATACCGCATGTAACATAACCGACAATGTTCTTGCAACAGACATGCACATTTAATACATCCCGATAGATTGTATTGATCTTATAACTGATGCGGTGTACCACTGAATACGAGCAGACCTTTCACCCAATGTATTTTTTCGGCCCATTTTTCTGGGGCTCTAGAGTCCCATTACCATTTTCGTGTCACTCGCAACATTACCAACAAGTTACGCAAATGAACACAAGAGGAAGTGAGACAGAAAATTATACATATATATCTGGCTATGTTATCATGATATGATAATTTTTCCAGAATGATTTGAAAAAATTTTTTTCGACGAAAAATCTCAACAACTTCTCGAATTTTTTTCTCGAAAATGCGTAGGAATTCGGGGGTATGTCTACTCACCAAAAATGATTGTAATTGACCCCCGCAACCGAAAATAATTTTTCCAGAATGATTTGAAAAATTTTTTTTTCGATGAAAAATTTCAATACCTACTTGAATTTTTTTCTCGAAAGTGCGTAGGAATTCGGGGGTATCTCTATTCACCAAAAATTATTGTAATTGGCCCCCGCAACCGAAAATAATTTTTCCAGAATGATTTGAAACAAAATTTTTTCAATGAAAAATTTCACACCTACTCGAATTTTTTTCTCGAAAATACGTAGAAATTCGGGGGTATGTCTATTCACCAAAAATGATTGTAATTGACCCCCGCAACCGAAAATAATTTTTCCAGAATGATTTGAAACAAAATTTTTTCAATGAAAAATTTCACACCTACTCGAATTTTTTTCTCGAAAATACGTAGAAATTCGGGGGGTATGTCTATTCACCAAAAATGATTGTAATTGACCCCCGCAACCGAAAATAATTTTTCCAGAATGATTTGAAACAAAATTTTTTCAATGAAAAATTTCACACCTACTCGAATTTTTTTCTCGAAAATACGTAGAAATTCGGGGGTATGTCTATTCACCAAAAATGATTGTAATTGACCCCCGCAAGCGAAAATAATTTTTCCAGAATGATTCGAAAAAATTTTTTTTCGACGAAAAATTTCACCATCTACAAAAGTAAATTATCACAGTATATAAAGATATTATGTGTGAATATGCATTTTAAATGTCATGTATGTATATATATGGAACTACCTTCATGCCATAATTGGGAATATATTTTTTTTAAATTGTTTTTACATTGAATTAGTTTCATGTATTTTCGTAAAAATTTAGTCATTGTTTAAATAGAATAGTGAGAGGAAGATTTAAATATATTTAGTAATATAATGATACGAAATAAAGATAAAAATGGATTATCGAAAAAGCACTTTTCAAGTTTGGCTGATGACGATTATGTTAGAATTAAAGTAGTAGGTGTTATAAATACTGTTGCTTTTCAAAAGGCTCGAATATGGGCTGAAAAGTTACATCAACATTTACCATATAAATTTATAAGGCCACAAATTATAGAAATGTTTCAATTGAATTGGGTTGAATACATTCAAAAACGAAAAAGGGTAATTATAATTTTTTTTACATAATACAGTATGCCTGTAAGTAATATTAATACAAATCATAACTCATGTATAATTATTTTTAGCAAATTGGAGGTAAAATATGGTCGTTAAAGCAACCTGTAGCAGTCTTTATAAATGATAAATTTATCGGTTGTGATGTGAACCTTTTGCATTATATAAGTGAGTTTTATACTTTTTGTTTACCTATTGGCATAGGGTATTATGAATCTCTTGCAGCAGAACGGTATAAACAATTTATGGAAAAATCCAAAGTAAATTATTTTGCATAATATTTTCATGTAAGAATGTAAGTAACATAATAATGTAATATTATTAAATTCTAGAGAAAATATGTTTACTTTACATTCACTGTAGATGGTTGTACCATTGGGTCATTTATATTTATGGTAAGAATTTAAATTTGTTTTGATTTTATATAACATCGTTTTATTAAATAATTCTATTCAACTTTTCATTGATTTAGTTGTATTCTGATTTATTACCATTAACTTGCCAACATTTTTTAAATCTTTGTACTGGATATGATGATGTAACAAAATGTTACAATAATTCTTACTATATAAATACATGTGTACATCGCATAGTAAAAAATGGATGGCTTCAATGCGGCGGTAAAGTGTATTATTCTTTATGTTCCATTAAATTTTCATTAGTATCGCGTAACTGCTTTTAAATTCAATCTGAGATCTTATTCGTCACAGGTATTGCATTACCCAAAATAAACGAGGAATCTGTAAGTAATATTACAATACCTGATGAATCGTATTGCATTCCCCATGACCGTCGTGGAGTCCTTTCATTAGCAAATAGTGGAAAACATTGCAACGAATCTCAGTTTATTGTATGCTTAAAACCTAATCCTTGGATGAATTATTTCTATGTTGCTTTTGGGTGAGTCAAGTAAAGACAATCTTTTTAGTATAAGTATTTATTTGCAACTAAATTAATGAATTATAAAATAACAATTCATTGCTACAATTTATACAAAGTCAACTCGTGGACGGTGCAGAAACTTTAAAAATTTTAGAGAATATGTCAACGTACTACGAACATCCTATAAAGCAAATAGTAATTTCATGTTGCGGAGACTATCTCTTTGTGGATGAACCTATAATGGAGACAGAATCAAAAGTTATCTGTGTTAGTAAAATTCTTTCCATTAGTTTAATGTTTTAATTTAGATTATAATTAGTTTCACTCATAACTTATTATTGCAATTGAATATGTGTCACTATTGCTTTTATTATAGAAATGTCGATCATCAATAAGTGTTGACAGAGAAGATATGAAACTTAGTGATATTGCCTTTAATTTTTATTCTAACACATCATGGCTTGATGATATTGTGGATAGAAATGTTTGTGACACAGCGTCGATTTTAACGGCAGAACGATATTTGAATGATCTTTGTTGTCTTTCAATTAATTATTTACCAGGTATACACAGATTGTAAATTATATAGAATATCAATATTGTACATCAAACATTTTTTATAGGTGCGGATATGTGTCTGTGTGAAGAGACTCGCCTAATTTCTAAAAAAAACTATGATATCACGAGTACAGACATGCTTCGTGAATTACTGTTAAAATTTCAGCCTGATTTAATGACAGAGAAAGAAAAATTAATGTTTATTGTAGAAATTTCTAAAATTATTTTAGCTTATATCTTTTGTTATAAAGATTATAAAGTAAGTTGAATTATAATAAAGTAGAATTATATACATATTTGTTATAAATATAACAGAGGCAATGATTTATTTAGTTTTGTTCGAAACATATCTCGATTGATACTTGTGAAATTATACATACAATATTTGAAATTGCACACAAAATAGCGTCGAAAACTGTTGCAAAGACTGAAATTTCACATAAATGTGGAGATTTACAAACTGCTAAGTAAGACATTTAATTTTCAACTAGGAAAAAGTAGTTATTATTTAACTACATTTATATAATTCTCTAATTGCAGTATATTTGAAGCAAAGCAAGTCGATTCTGATATACGTGTTTCGAAAATTTGTACACCATTATTACAAGATATATTAAATGCAGCCATATTATATTTTATGAAAACTTTTGATATAAATCAATAAACGAAGTATAAAGAAGAATAAAAAATTAAATAAAAATCACATTTATAAATGTACTTCACGTTAGCGTCTCAATAAGTTCCTTATTTTTATTATAAATTTTTATATTCAAGTTGTATTAAATTTTAGTAAATAAAAATGTATTTTATTCTCTATATACATATAATTGTTTTTTTTTTTTTTATAGGGGGGAGGAGAGTGTGTGCGCTGGCGTATGCGGATGACCTGGTGATGGTGGCGAAGGACGAGGAAGAGATGGGGAGTATGATTAGGCGGCTCGAAGGGTAAGTACCTGGGGTACGTGTTCAGGAGGAACGGGGGTCAGGAGGCGCAGGTTAGGGATAGGGTGAGGAAGGCGGGGGTGGTAATGAGGCAGGCATGGGGAATCGGGAAAAGGAAGTTTGAGAGGGACTGGGGAAGGAGGATGTGGCTGTTCGACACGTTGGTCTGGACGGTGGCGGGATATGGGGCAGAGATTTGGGGGTGGAGGGAGAGGGAAGAGATGGAGAGGATGCAAGAGAGGTATATAAGGTGGTCATTGGGGGTGGACTGGAGGACGCCAGGATATATGGTAAGGGAGGAGACGAAGAGGAAAAAGTTGAGGACGTGGGCGGAGGGAAGGGCAGGGAGATATGAGGAGAAACTGAGTAGGGGAGAGGGAGGGGAGTTGGCTAGGTGGTGCCTGGAAGAGATAAGGGAAAGGGAAAGGGAAGGGGGAGAGGAATTGTCGGCGTGGGAGAGAGACAGGTTGGGGTGTAGAGGGTTGGGAGGATTGAGGGGAGGAGAGGGAGGGGCAAGTGGGCGAGCGGGCTGGGAGGGATGGGAGGAGGAAGATGGGAGGAGGCAGGAAGAGGAGAGATGGGGAAAAGTGGTGCAGTCGAGGTATAATAGGTGGTACAGGGAGTTGGTGGGACGGGAGTTACCGGGGTACCTGAAGGCAGGGTGGGGAGAAGTGAGGTATGGAAGGCTAGCTAGGTATAGGATGGGGAACGAGATGAGGGGGGGGAGGTACTGGGGGGATGAGGAAGAGAGGAGATGTAGGGTATGTGGTTGGGAGGAGGAGACATGGGAGCACGTTTTGGAGAGATGTACGGGGGATGAGGCAGAGGGAAAGGGGATCGGGGAAAGGATAAGGGAGATTTTGGACGAGGGAGGGGGAGGGGAGGGGTGGATAAAGAGGCTGGAGGTCAGGAGGAAAGAGAAAGAGGTGGAGAGGGGGGAAGGGGGGGATGAGGGGAGGAGTGAATGAAGGAATGGAATGCAAGGGCGGAAATGGAAGTCGACGGCGGGGAGGGCGAGCGGGGGTGGAGGAGTGGGAGAGAAGGGAGGAGGGAGAGAGGGAGAGAGCGAGTAGCGTAAGGTTAGGCTAAGAGCGTGCGGCGAAGGGAGATGAGAGAGAGAGAGAGAGAGAGAGCGAGTAGCGTAGGATTAGGATAAGAGCGTGCGGCGAAAGGAAATGAGAGAGAGGGGAAAAGCGGCGGGGGGAGGATGTAAGGGCAGTGAGGAGTAGAGTAAGAGTAGAATAAGTAGGATAAGTAGGATAAGTTAGGTTAAGGGAGAGATGGAAATGTAAGGTGGGGAGGAAGTGTAACCCTAAGGGGAAGCAGGAAATAAATCTATCTACATATAATTGTTTTTATATCACACAGTGAACATGATTTCAAATTTCATATATAATTAAAATATAATTCAAACATCATTGCTTGATTTTAGTGAACAATTTTTTTTCACGACCTTTGAATACAACCTTTTTATTAACTATCTTTGATTTTTCTTCAACCGGAGAGCTTTTCTCGTGAAACGCATTGTATAACATTTGTGCATCGTTCTTATTTTCGATCATTTTCGTAAGTTCCTCCTGCAAAATATGTAAATTTAAAATTTTGTTTAAATAAAATAATGCAAAGTATTATTTAAAAACATGATGTGAACTAATCCTAGAAAATTTGATATACAATTATATGTATATTTATAAATTATAAATTTAATACCTTTGTAAGCGTATTGAGATGATCTAATGATTGTCCTTTATTCAAAATTGTTTCCAAATTTTTGGTGGTAACTCCTGGTAATTTGGCAACTAAATCTTGAATGCGTGGATTGAATTTTTCCGGTGCCTGTTTATTTTCTTCGAATCCAATTTGAGCAGCTATAGCTGCATTCGGTTGATTATTTCCTTGCTACAAATTTTTATTGAAAATTAATAAAACGAGTAGAATAACGGTGACCTTTTGTTCGTTGTAATTTTATTTTATTACTTTTAATTCTTCGAACAATTGTGCTGTTGCATGAGGACCAGGAGACCATACGAGTTTCAATCGAGGAAAATGTAAAGTCAATAACTGAAGTTTTGAAGTTACGAACATATTCTGTACATCTTTACTAGCATAGTAATAGCCCTGTAATTACAAAATTAAAAAATCTCAAATACTTTTCATAGTACAGAAATAATATTTACCTGAAAGCAGAATGATTTATTTTGATCAAACTCTATCAAAAGCATTGGTTTGGCATAATGTCTTGTCATAGAAACAGCTTGATTGTATAATCTTCCACTGTTCAAAGAACCAATTAAATCAGAAATACTTTTCCTTTCTACACAAATTTCCGGTGATAAAATATAATCTCCAACCTACAAACAATATTAAATAAAGAAAATATACCATGAGCAGTGGTCGAATTCATACCTGCAACGTTATAGGTTCAATTGTCATGCCTCGTGTATATAGTATGGCAGGCAGCTCACTTCTAAATTCTCTTATGTCAACTATTACAGTGTTAGGAAGTTCAGGCTGAGTTGGAACTCCACCTTTGCGTGTATTTTCTGTCGCGTCTGTATCTGTTTCCGGTGCAAGACTCGAATAATCAGACTTTCCATCTTGCTCCTCAGGAATGACCATAGTCTGAAGAATAAAAACATACAATTAGGATACATATAAACACATATAAATTTATAATATAGTAACATTACAGTTTTAGCATTGATTAATTTGTGAAATGCTTCTTTTTCTCGTCGTAGTGATGTAAGATATTCCTGTTCTTCTACAGAACCTTCATAAATTAAGAAATATACTTTCAAATCTATCGATGGATTATTATTTTGATAAATCTGAAAAGGTATACTTATTCAAATATCCATAACAGTATTTCGTTCATAAATTATCTAAATCTATTTCAATACATACTTCAATTTGCCGCACAGCCGAAATATCAGCTACGTACATAACAATATTATTTGGCATATGTTCTGCTAAAGCGCGATGTAAAGACATTGGATCACCGTACTTCTTCAAAGATTGTATTATGATAACAGGCGCGTTTGTTGTTACATTTGTTAAATCCAAGTCTGCCATCTATTAGAGGAACATAGGTCATATTACATTTTTCACATATTTATATTAAATCTCCATTAACCCTTTGACTACAGACAGTCAAAAGATTAAATGGTACAAAACGATATATGTAAATCTTACCTGTGAACAATCCTCAAATAATGTTTCATGCTTGTTATCGTCTGTTGATGAATTAGATTGATTTTCTTCGTTAACTTTTTGAGTTAATACGTAAGTATCTTGTTCGTTATCGTTCGTATCATCCTCCTTATTTTTCTCATCAGACGATGATTCTTTTTCTATAGTCTCGCTATTACAATGATCAAATAAAGTATAATTAATGATAGACGCTTTATAGTATATTAATTTCGCATTAATTACATACTTTATTTTTTCTGTCCCTTTGTAAGAAAGTTTCTTCATCGCCTCGTGAAGTAAATATTCTTTGAAACCCTTAGTTAACAAATTTCTTAACTGATAACATATAATACGATCGTGTACTAAAATAAGAATTTTTTCACTATTTCCGTCACTTCCTTCTTTTTTATTTTGATGCTGTACTTCGAGCAACACTTCCGTTAAAGCCTTCCATTTTGGATTTTCTTCGGGTTTAAATTCTGTACACAATTACATTCGATTACGGGAAAGATAATGTAAATATTCTTTTATCATAAATTATGTAAATAATAGGGTTACCATTCTTTTCATTGTAAACTCTATTCTTTCCATTTTTGAACAAGCTGTCTACAGAATCTAACATTAACCACCCACTATTTTTTACAGCATATTCCATAGTACGTAAGCGGTTTAACATTGCATAAAATGATACACAATCCTCATACGTTAAACATCTGCATATTTTTATACAAATATTTCTGTTTTTTAAAACAAGTTACTCTTTTTAACCAATTAGGATATATAAATACTTACGCGAGAAGAGCTCGTAACGTCTTTAAATCAGAGAGTAATTGTTTTGAAGTTGAGCTAAGCTGATGCCAAATAGGATCTAACTGCGATTGCAATTGCTTGTGAAACTTTTTAGCTATTGCATTTTCAACGGTTAATTCGTCTAAGTCTAACTGCAAGAATAAATTGTAAATGAGATTTAATATTCTTTGTATAATTTGTTAGAAAAATTTCTATACCTACATATTTATTAAGTCTTTTCAGTTCTTTTACCACATAGTTCATCACATCGAGTAAACAAGTTTGAATGTTCAACATTTTTTGTGTAATTTTTACATGCAATTCGATGACCTCCGGCTAGGTAATAAAATAGTTTTGTGTAATTTTTAATATAAAGTGTACGTCATATCGTAGTAGAACAATACAATGAAATGTTACCTTGTGCTTTGCTAAACTATTATTTACAAGTGTGTGAAAACGTGGCCATAAATACAATTGTTTGACAAATAAGGCTTTCATTATTCGTTCTACGTGCATAAATCCAACAGTGAATGCTAATGCAGAGTTGGTAAATGCTTTTATAAAACCAGTCTATAAAAATTCATTGAATTAATAAAAACAATATCACTTTACATTATATATATACTAATCATTTTCTTTGATACATACTTTATTATTTTGTCTATATAAACGAAGAGCAAATGCTTCTTGATATGATCTTAAAATATTATGGGCTCTATATACAAGAATTCCAGTAACTAAATTTAACGGAACTCTATTTTTTAAAAGGTCTACTACAAGAATTCGACCTGATATGAATAACACTCCGCCTTCTAGATACATTATTGCTCTGTAATTATTTAATAATAATTTAATAAATGACATTGAAAACAAAGACTAAAATTAATATAGAAAAATATTAATTCCAACCTCTCGTCGGAAGAGCATTCAAAAGTTACAACGCGGGGCAGATGTTTCACTCCAAAAGATTTTAACATGTCAATGAAGTATTGTTCCTCATAATTCGTAGTCCCCAGGACTATAATTAGGTTTCCAGGATCTGTGTGAGCTCTTAATATATTTGCAAATACAGTTTCTATTCCGAGTCCCCTAAAATAACAATACAGTGATATATTATGTATCATATATGACACAAAAAAACAAAATAATATGTAATTACTTTGCTGTAACAACCAAACCATCCTCATGGAGTATTTCCAAAAACATTTGATTCTCGTATTCCAACATGATTGCTTATAAATTTACCTAGTAAAAATCATTGCAGTCACCTACCAAGCATAAACAACAAGAAACTATATAAATATTAACATTAATATGTTTTGTTCCTGAAACATTAAAAGTGAATTGTATAAAAAGACATAAAAAGTTGTAAATAAACAATTTCCCAACTTAGAAATATTATAATAATATTTATAAAATGTAATCATTTAACACTTAATATAGAAAAATAAACATAAATTAACATTTTATTAATTTCTTATAAAATACTCTCGAGGTACAAAAACTAAAAATTGCTGTATTAGACTAAACTATTCTTGATTTACTTATTAGGAATAAGAATATTATCCTCTCCAAATGTAGCAGATTGAGGACAATATTCATTAGGTTTATAAGTTGACTTTACTATTATTTACTATTAATTGGAATTTCATTGTTATTATAATATTTATACAAACCTGTTGCAAGTTTATCAATAATTTCTCCTTAAATACAAACACATAGGGTACCCACTAAAATAGGAATGATACTGTTTAATTAAAATAATAAAGTAGTTTGTAGGTATAATGTTACAAATATTACAAAATTTACCTTACCAAAACGATAACATTAAAATTCATCTTCATAGTCAGTGCAGTTTAACATGATTGATATGCAACTACAAATTTGTTCGACTTAATCCCCATAAAATACCATTTGAACAAAATGTAAAACGATTAACCTTCTTTAATATTATTAAAAAATAATATTGAATTAAGGTATAATTCAGTATAGCTCGTAGTACAGTCGATTGTTAGAAACTCGACTATGAATACGGCATTGAGAATACTGCCTTAAATCCCTCCGTTTAAAAACCGAATGTGATTTACATTCGCAGATGTCGCTTCAATCGTTAGGTTATGTTTAAAGATTTGAATTAAAAGTAATGTCAGTTAAAGTGTGGGAAACGAAGTATCGAAGTCCGTCGAATGTGTAATAACGATTAATTACTTGTTTACATCTTATAAGATACTCAGCGTAAGACAACTATAATTCTAAGGTATTTTAAGGTACGTGAAGCATATTATACATAAAATGAGGTTCTCTTACATTTGTGTAAATGAGAAACACAAGACTAATGTGAAAATTTTTTAGGGTGCAATTGACTATGATGCAAAATGAAACATTTAAACTTCCTTCCAACGTTCCAAAAGAATATAAGGATGTTGTGTTTAATACTTTGTGTAAAATGGAAGATCACATAGAAGCTAGAGGTTCAAGGTATGTGGAACTTATTGTTTTCGTTATTATAGAAACTGCTGAATATTCTACTACGTTATTAAAAAGATAATAACATGTTGTAGATATCAATGGAGCCTAGATGATTTTGAAATTGGCGCACCTTTGGGTCGTGGTAAATTTGGCCGGGTATACTTGGCAAGGGAGAAAACCACACAGTATATGGTCGCTTTGAAAACTTTGTATAAAGTGGAGTTAGTGAAGGGACGTGTGGAGAAGCAAGCAATGCGTGAAATTGAAATTCAAACACATTTGAAGTAACTATATTTGTTCGTTTTAGTTTTGTTCCAATATACATAATATATTATTTTCAGGCATCCCCATATTCTTCAAATGCTGACATACTTCCATGACCACAAACGTATTTATCTTGTATTAGAGTTTGCAGCCGGAGGAGAATTGTATAAAGAATTAAAACGTCAACCTCACGAGAGATTCAATGAACATATGTACGTTCTCCCAGAACAATTTATAATCTAACGAACCTATTCGTTTTTTAATAAACTATCGTTTTGTTTGTTAGGTCTGCAAAATATACTTATCAAGTTGCGGACGCGTTGGAATATTGCCATAGCAATAATGTGATTCACAGAGATATAAAACCAGAAAATTTGTTGCTTACGTCTACCGGTGACATAAAATTAGCAGATTTTGGCTGGTCTGTTCATGCGCCATCGTCCAAGTGAGTTTATTAAAAATTACTTTATTTAATAGGCTCGGAAAAGATATAAAAGAAACACTATTAAGAATATACATGACTGCAGGAGAAATACATTGTGCGGAACACTGGATTATTTACCACCAGAAATGGTAACAGGTCAAACCTATGATATATATGTTGATCATTGGTGTTTGGGTATTCTTTGTTACGAATTCTTGGTTGGTTCACCGCCTTTCCTTAGCGACTCGCAACAAGAAACGTATTTAAAAATAAAAACTATAAATATTAAATGGCCGGAACAGATTACACCTGGAGCAAGAGATCTTATATCAAAGGTAATTTCTTCTTGTACCCACGTTACTTCTGTCTTTAATACATTTTCTTGTTCATGTAAATCGTAATATATATTTTAATTGCAGTTAATTAAACGAAAAAGCTCGGAAAGAATTTCTATGGCTGCTGTTAAGAAACATTATTGGATAATGAAATACAAGGAAGTACATTGGTAGAAAATATTTAGTTTCATTGGGATAACTATTAATTGTAAAGTTTTTAGACGAAAAGTATTTTATACGTATCATATTTTACACGACCAACTTTTTCTTTTCTGTAATTGAATTTATTGGAAATAAGGTGGTGGAATAAAAAACAATCGATCGATATTACTTTTAACTAAGCTTTAATATTATTTGAAACACTTGGAAGGCACGTCTGCATAGTTTGAAAGAAACATTCAGATTGAAAAGATCATAAACAAGCCAAGGAAGGGACACAGATGTACTCTGTTGATTTGTATCTCGAAACGCGATACGCAACACGCGCGTCGATGGTTTTTGTCGAGGAAAGAAAACTTTCTCTTTTAGAAGAGACAAACCAACAGAATGTAAAAGGTTTTAATTGGGCTGAAAATATATTTCAATCAATTTCAACAAGTACACTTAATATATAAGTACAGTAATTTACATTCTTTATAATTACAACAATATTCAATATATTGAAACAATTGTCATGGCCAATTTAAATTAATACCTGTCACATCCAATGCGACAATATCAACGTCGGCATTAAGAATGTCGCACAAACTTGGCTTGGTCCGTCCAAAATCGCCGTGCACAAATTCTTTCACATACGTTCCAGCTTGCGTTTTAATATCCAATACAAAAAACACACTGGCGTCTTCGTTTGTGGTGTTCAATAATGTCTTCAACTCTTGAGGCTTTGCCCAGCGAGCTCTCATTTCATATATTAAACGTATTCTCGGACTAAGAGGCCGTCTATGCAAGACTCTAACCGGTGTCTTTTGTACTATCTGTACTCGTTTTAGATCGTTCAATTTTTCAAGGGGTACAGTGTCCTTAGGTATATTACGACAGATGCAAAGCGCTCGATAAAATTTTGTTTTAACATTTTCACCTTCCTTTAGTGTTTTCAAATCAAGTCTAGATAAAACTTTTAAATTTGACGCGATTTGTACTTGTTGGGAAGAGTGATTAATTTTATCGACTAGATCCGATAATGCCTTTTCCGTTATTTTGGAAATTCGAGGATTTATTAATTCAACCGCGAACGGTCTTCCAGAGTGTATATTTCTAACGTCCACATCTTCCCGTCCAGACGATAAAAATTTAATAGCTGCATGTGTGTAAAATTTATATTAAAAGTTATATTTTAAACGAAATTGTTTCTTGCATCAAATACTCAACTTACATTGAGCTCCTATAGCTTCAGCGATAGGATTGCACAGTATATCTTGAACAGATGTTTGCATCTTTTTTTCACCATTTATAAACCACGGTGTCTGACTAAGCTCTCTGGACAGTTTGTTGTATCGACCTAAATTTATGATACGGGATATGTATGATTTATATTATCTTTATATTTCCAATATGATACATTACCTCCTACAAATATACTTGAATGCGAACACATAATATTTTCTACATCAGCGCTTGCAGTTGTCTCAAGCGAGAAGTCCTTAAAATATTCAGTAAATTCTTCGTCCGTTATACTGGTCATTAAAGTTTCTATACTTTTTTTACTAAATCTAGTATCATTAAACTTTCTTTTTCGTTTGTTTACCACATTTTTTGTCCCCTTATACTTGCTTAATCTACAGCAAAAAGAAATGCCATTAATAGTGCTGTCTATTTTAAATGAAAACACAAATGTTATTGACTTACAAGACTTCGCATTCTTTCTCGTTGTATTTATACGATAAGATGATTTCAATGAGGAAAGCGGAAGGTGTTGTTACATCCACTTTCTTTTTAATAGCCTGTTCTACTTTAGGAATGACTACCAATTTCCAAATATCTTTAATAGTTTGTATTTTTGTTTTGAGGCTGATCAATGTATTTTCTGAAAGACCAAGTTCAAGGCTGCACTGCATGTGTAATAAGCGCTCTCTAAGGCCCACGCACGTAGGTATTGTTAACGCGGTTATAAATGTCTCGCTGTCATAATTTTGTTTTTCCACTTCTGCTTGAATCTATTTAGAAAATTATTATTATACTTTTGCAACAAAATTTTTGTTTTTTGAAACACTAATTTTTGAAACAATATATTGCAATGATAAAAATGATATTTAAAACTTGATCAGTGTGTTATCTTATGCTATACATAAAACATTTTAACTTACTTTTTGAATAACAGATTCTTGCATTGGTTTTTGAAGAATCCCCAAGCAAGCTGGACAAGGCTTTTCATCGTTAGAAGAAGTATTTTCTGCAGCAATATATCCTAACTGTGGAAATGATATTTTGTCAGAAAAATGCAAATAAAAAACATCATAAATGTAACTTACACTATTTGCAAATTTAAAAGGATTCTGAAAACACTCTGGTGAATGCCAACCAATGAAACGAAAACAACATCTTAAGCAATAATTTCGTTGCTGCAGAAAACCAAAGATGCGCTTCTCTTCTTCGGCGGAAAGATTCATTTGTAGATGAAATTCTACAATACATTTTAATATTCAACATGAATTAAATTGCTTTTTGAAATAGTATCGTTTCCTTCTTTCGTAACATTCAAAAAATACAAAGTTTATGTTAACCTACCAACTGAAACGCATGTGCTCTAAAATAATCGACTATATTTGAAAAATTGACATGTCTTATCAGTGCAACATACTTCAAGCCAATCAGTAAAAATTTACGTAATTTTATATCGTTCTTTCGGTTATCAACAGTGCCTATCGGTGTTGAAAAGAGAGAAAATGCAACCCGGCACAATGTGAATCACGTTGAACGAAATACTTATGCCTAGGTACGCGATATTGTGAACGTGTTATCGACTGCAAAGCAGAATGACGAATGGTTAACAGTGTGGCCTATTTGTAGTGTAAATATTTGTAAATTTTATGTTTTATTTTGTTGTAACAAGTACCTGATGAATTCTTAGATGTAATAACGTACCGCGCAACGACATGCCGATATTACGAAAAAAATCAAGCAGAAAGACAAACACGGAGAACGAAAATAGCAGGTTGATTGGAGGTTAATTGTCATTTTACAATTATCATATCACCTAAAAATAGTACATTTCCTCGAATAATTATCTGTTTTGTATTTCTACGACAGATGTTACCATCGACGATTTCGCAAATACGTCGCGAACTCACGCGAGGTTCAAAAAGGCTGCAATGAACGTCTCCTCTGAAGGTTATTCCTTCTTTCTTTTATCCAACGCATTTCGATAGATTTCACCTCTGTATTTTTTCAGGAATCATTTTTATTTGTTTTACAGTGAAGCTGAAAGGCGCAACGCAAGACGAAGAGCTGCTAAATAAAATGAATGAAAATTATGCAGTTGATCCGTTCGATGTGGACAAATCTAAGAAGAACAGCAAAGGTAGATTATTTTGAAAATATCTTTTTATTCTGTTCAATTTTTTCCTCAAATTTTTCTGAAACTGTGCAGATGTGCTAACGAACGAAAGAAGAAATAGGAAATCAAGAATATCCGAGGCAAGTACGGAAGAAGAAACAGAAGGTAAGACACAGATGAAACGAAACTTATAAAATTGAGATCAGTGAAATTACAACGATAAAAATTGGATTATATTTTTAAAACGTTTAGTAGGTATAGACTATCCATTGGATGTGTGGTTTATTATATCCGAATATATTAATCCAGAGGCAGTAGGAAAGTTTGCTCGAATATGTAGAAGTTCTTATTACGTCACAACGACAGGCAAATTTTGGTTTCATTTATACAAGTCGTAAGTTAACTTTTTATATAAATAATATTTGTCATCTTGCATATTAGTACGATGATAATAAACGAAACGTGATTATAGTTATTATAGGTTTATACCTGGTTTACCCGAACGTCTTCAACCGCATTGCATGGTTCACATGCACGGATTACGTGCTTCTGTTATCAGAACGTTACATTACACTTACTTTGTGTTGAACAGAAAAGTTAATGATGTGTTCTACTTGCAACAAGATGAGCCACATTCCCTTGTAAAAAGAAAATGTTGTAGCATGTGGCACAAAGTAAGCAATATAAAAACACGAATGATAATATCTTACGCTAATTTAAATATTGCGATTTCTGTTAGGAAGGAAAATTGCGATGGTATTTTTATTTCAAATTAAAACAAGTACCGAACTCTAGTAGAAACACATTAAAAGAAAAACGGAAGAGTAAAACGAGAGATTTTCTTGAAATATTGGAAGATGTAACTGCAAATCCAGAAGAGGATTGTAAAGTACTTAGGGTATTTATCATTTTATAAAACAATTAACATTATAATACAGAGTTTATATTGTTGTGAAATTTATAGGTAATTTGTTTAAAATACAGTATGTTGCCACTGGTAATCGGCTTAATTTTACAATCAGTGACAATGACTTTGATGCCAGGTTTCAAGGAACATCGATTACAACTTGGTTTTGGAACATCAAACATCGCCAGCTCGTTAACGAACCAAGTGATTTTAAATAGCGTTGTTAATTGCCAAGTTTTAGATTGGTGGCACCCACTTTATCCTCACGAAGACACGATTACCACTATCGAATTACCACAAAGTGATTTTTGGGATCAGGACTAACATGTAAAAGAATTCCATATTTTACCAATGCGTAAATAAAATGTAAGCGCAACTTGTATAATATAAATATATGTATGTAAATAATACATTAATTTAACCGTTAACACGTTCGTTGCCAAGTCTACATACGCTATAGACGTTCTATCGAATGTTTTCATTCCCGTCTGAGGTCTATGTCAGATGAGTATTTTCGTCGGTATCTCTGAAAACCGTTAGCGGGTCTTAAATCGTAAATCTCGAACAGGAGAATTTCGATGATTTATTAAAAAGCGATGGGACAATAAACTATCGAGATTTTTTGTTTGAGACGCAGTTTAGGATCCTTATCCAACATGGCTCTAAATTCTACACTTACCATTTCAACGTTATTTGAATTTCTCACCAAATATCACTTCATTCTCTGATCGTTTAATTAATGGGCAAAAACAAAACTTGAAAAACTTGAAAAAGAGACTCGACGAAGGCGCGGTGGTAAACATATTAAGTAAATTTTTATTTCAATACTTGATCGTTGAAATTGCATAAAATCGCCAAAAATATTGAACATTAGACATACGTAAAATATGTTAATTTTTTTATTATGGATATTGTATAAAAAGTATTGTCATTAAACCTAATGTACACCTAGAAACAATAAATAGGTAATCTCGAAGAAGAAGAAGAAATGTTTTCGTTTCTTTGAGAACAAAAGGGAGCAATTGAAAAGAACATTACCTCCTTGTTGATGTTTCAGCGGCATGTAATAGCTCTTCTATATAGCGTACATTCGAAGTTGAAATCTCGATTTCACTAATCTGAAACATGCGACAAATTTTATGTAAGAGAAAATAAACGATTTGATAATAAACCTTACCATGTTCACATAAGCTTGTACATCAACTTGCAGTTGAATACGTATTTTTTCATCGTCGCTGATTCCTTGAACTTCAGAAGAAAGGGCACCCGTGGATTTGTCACGTATTTTTTTCAATCTCCTTAAACTCTCCTCAGTTTTTTGTACCGAGGTCAACACGTCTGTCACGGAAGCTAGATAACTAATAATAATATATACAAAATATAAATTTATTATAAAATAACGATGAAAATATTAACAAATACAAATAGTTTCTGTTACGACTCCTTACTGTTCAGTCAGCGAAGAGAAAGCTGATTCCAACCAGCAATTAACATTATCTGGTATAACTTTCTTGTAATTTGAATGAAAGTTAATGAGGAAAGCAAGCGCGTTCTTGACATAGGCGCATGGTTTTGTCGGTACGTCTCTCTTCGTTCGTCTAAATAATCTTGGAATGTCACTGACTTGTTTTAAATGAGTTACACATTGTCTCAAAAGTTCATTCACAATTTCTTCAGAGACCCATGGCAAAAGTGTTCTTAAATTTTCTGTAGTTTCGTCGAGAGAATCTACGGAAAAACGAACAAATAAGTTTAAACGATGTAATATCTAACGTTTACTAATATCTAACGTTCTTACCTTCTAATAATTTTAATACTCTTGGAGTTTGTTGTTTGAGTTTCTTTCGAGCAGTTTCCAGAAGGAAGGGAAGCATTTTTATCATTTTCTCTATATCCTTATATAAACATACTAAGAAATTAAGTTTCGTGGAATGTTCTGCTTTGTTGAAATTACCGACATCACTTTCCATCGACCATACCTTTGCACAAAACATCTAGTTAGAATCTATTATTTAAATATAATACATAATTTGAAAAATATTTCATATTAATACTTCTTTGAGCGCCGTTTGGGACCACGTTTGATATCTGGCACATATTTGGAGACCAAATTTCCAGAACCTAAAGATATAAGTTGGTAGTGATAATTTATGATATTTTACTATTTCTTTTTAAAGTTACTATTTTCATCATTAATATTAATGCTTACTGATGAAAGAGCTGATAAAGGTATATATCATCGGCCCAAATTCTTTGCAGATTCTCCCACACAACGTGCGTTGCGTGAAGAGAAAATTCATTTTGAGTGAGAGAATCCAAAGTTTCTTTTATGGATGTTGGCGATATCGATTTTGTTAAAATCGACTCAACGACACTACCTATTTCTTGAAATCGTATTTGAAAATATACTGGTAAATTCCACTTCTTCAGAAAGTTCTTATACTGTTCGTTCTCTTTTAATGCAATCAAAGAATCAGGCGTGACACATTCAGTTTCTAATTTTTCTAAAAACTCCAAAGTCGCTACGTATCTCTGAAATGATGAAACATTACGAAATAATTCTATTTTATTTGCTTCTTTTTATTTATTTACCGAGTGAAATAATACTGGATCTCCCGGAGCAAAAATACATTTTATGTATTGCTCAATTTTCTCTTCCACGTCGATCCAAAAACTGTTTACTAAGAAATTAAAGCCTTTTACGGAAAATCTAAAACAAAGATCAAACATGATTTGCATATAATAATGCATAAAATTGAATTTTATACGAGATAAGATGAAATTTATACCTATTAGGATGTAGTGTAATATATAAAAGTTGTTTGAGCTCTACACTCAAAATATTTAACAATCTGTTATAGATACTTTGCAAACCGAGTAAGTCAATTTGTATATTTTCAACATTGATCACGTTGTGGACCAGCGGACCAACAACTTCTTTTCTTACTAAATTCTCTGCATCCCTTATTTTGTCAAGTATGACATAAATTCTCAAACAACGAATTAACAGAGCTGAATTTTTTTCTTGTATACATGCTAAGAAAAATTCATTAAGATGCATCATGTAAGATTGCTCAAGTTGTTCGCCTTCCTATTGTAAAATTATTTCTCTTTTAATAACAATGGAAACAAATTGACTATTTGGTTTATTACACACGCGCATACCTTCTTCTTATCATTTATAATATCTAATTTACACCTGGACATGTGAAACTGTAACAGATTAAGTTCCGCGGCAGCTTGTTCTAAAATATCTATTTTAGTGGGGCTTTCGAGGAATGCATTTAGAGATAACACAGACGATAGCTTATTCAATGATTTATAAATATGTTGCAGACTAAACAGACTCTGTTTGTATTCTCTGATTTTTTTCTTCTCGTTTATATTATTAGAAACTGCTGCAATCTCGTCGTCTAACGTCTGCCGTACTTGCTGCCATAAAAGAAATGAAATACAGTTAGAGCATTACGCATAGACATTTAGCTATTTAAGAGTTTCTTCTTTAATTTACCATTACTTCTTCTCTTAATTGACCTAATGGTGTTTGCAGGTCATTGATAGCTGTATCTAGGCCAATCAAATTACTTGACAAGTTTACAAAATCTATGTAATCTCTGTTGATCAAATCAATCATCGCAGATCTCAATAATTTTAAATATATTCCCAAATCATCTCGCATTGTCTCCAATTTTGAACTTTTTCTGTGCTCTTGGAGGAAGGTATCGACATTGAAATTTTTCTGAAAATTACAAACCATCAAATTGATTTGTATTTGTATTGTTTGATGTTTGTAACAATAGCAATCTACCTGAATGAATTCAAGTTCCATGAAACATAAGTCTTTTGGAGCTTTAGGTAAATTAATATTTTCTTTCGACATGGTGAGGGAATTTTTGTATAGAAATGTTACTACTTCGTCGCATTAACTCTCAGCTTCTTGCTTGCAAACAGATTTATATAAACTGATGTATTCGCAATTTTTTATTCGAAGAATTCGATGCAGTGTGGTCAGATTTGACATAATTGGGTGCATCGACGGTGACACTAGACACGATGAACATGATCTACCGTAGACCGTAGATCATATCTTCGTTAGACGCTAAGGAAGTTCGTCGTTACTAGTGTCGTCGTTGATGCACTCAATTATGCCAAATCTGACTACACTGATTCGACGTCTGTAATAAGAATGAAAGTCATAAAACATTCATGAATTGAAAATGCAGAATGTTTAAGAAAAGTAGATAATCGTGTTGGATAAGAATTTATCAACGAAAACATTTTAAGTTAGATGACACGGAACAAAGCATGAATTGTTTATTTAACTTAAAATTACAAAACACGATCAAATTTATTGTTTAAAGTGCCTGAAATTTTGAACCATTTAAATCCTATCTTCTTTTAACGGCAATTATTGTGTTTACAGATAATTCTTAGGTAAACTTTAATCGTACATAGCAGTGTACAGAATATATATGTGTAGTGCAGCTACATGCGCGTGTACTCGTACAGCTGGACGAATAAATGGGATAACGATTCTATTCGCATAATCGACAGTAAATATCTATATTCGCATCGATACAAAGGCAGTATTGTAACACGAAATACGATTAAGAAATATTTGTAAAATTTCGTTTTTGTACAATTTTTCTTACGGAACGCTGGGGAATTTTCGGGGACAGAACATAGTTGCAAGCCATCTCTAAAGAGCTTGACAAGTTTTGCTAGTTTTAGTGGAATTTATTTTCAAAATGGCAGCTATAAGAAGATTGCAAAAGGTAATTCGAAGTTTCTGTCAGTAGGAGTGATCGTGTAGAAAATTCGATGTGTATAAGACCGATATAAAATATCATCGAAAATTATGGCACGTTTGTCGTGTAGGTCGATTAACAGAATTTCCATGACATCCCTACTTCTGATGACACCAAGGTTTTCGATCGTGATATAGAACGTTAATATTTCTATTATTATTCCTGAATATTTTCCGATTCTCAATCTTATTATGGGCATTTATGATTCTTTTAAAATTATCGAAATGCATTCGTTTACTTGCGCTGAAATTGTTCCCATTATCATCACATTTCAATGATACTTTCGGACGATAACTATTTTCCATTTTTAGGAACTCTGTGATATAAGAGCGACGTTGATGAAACATTTTACAAATATCCAAGTAGACGAATCGAATATTCTTACTTGGCAAGGCCTTATACTGCCGGTATGTTTTTGGTATAATAATTTTGGGTCTGGCGACTTAACCTAACCTAATCTTGCTTATAGAGATAATTATAAATGTATACAATAATATATAACACTTTGAGTTTAAAGATATTCATACGGTTGTATAAACAACTCTTAAAAGTATATCGTACACTGTAATACAAATTGCAAATGCATATGGCGCAACATTTTTATTAAATTCAGAATTTCAATTGTCTTTGTTCGAAACATTTCAGGATAACCCACCATATAATAAAGGGGCATTTCGTATTGAAATAAATTTTCCTGCAGAATATCCATTTAAACCCCCGAGAATAAACTTCAAGACAAAAATATATCATCCTAACGTGGATGAAAAAGGACAAGTATGCTTGCCGATCGTAAGTGCTGAAAATTGGAAACCGGCTACAAAGGCGGATCAAGGTAAACTTATATTTAAATTCATCTTGTTGTTAAGTTGAGAAGCATAACTGCCTTGGTTTATTTGTAGTTGTACAAGCTTTGATAGCGTTAGTGAATGATCCAGAACCGGAACATCCGTTGAGGGCAGATCTTGCAGAAGAATTTCTAAAGGATAGGAAAAAATTTTTAAAGAACGCAGAGGAATTTACAAAAAAGCACGCGGAAAAAAGGCGAGAGTCATCTTCCTCCAACGAATAACCATGAGTGGCTCTACTCACCATGATGCCTGCCGCCCGACAGCTAATTTAATTCAAGCCAACATAGACTTATGTGTTACATGAAAACAAGTTGAGATACATGTGTACAGTATTGGTTAATTACCAACAATGATATGAATACGTGCAAATTGTAATGTTTATAAAGTGGATTAATGAACTTGTCAGAGCAAAGTAAATTATGATAAACTAACTGTATGATATTGTATACAATTCGTATTTGCAACCGTTACGTGATCACGTTCTGTACGATTTTTAAAGGCTTGAAGAGTATCGCCTGTTCTTTTCTTTCTGCTGCCAGCGAAGCAGTAACAATTTTAAAACGTTGCATTTACATCTAATAGTGGGAAATACATTCTTGCAACTTTAATTTTGTCGATACATATCAATCGAGCCTGTAAACATTAAACAATCGTCATGAATGTACATAAATTTGCGTGATTATTGGAAATCAAGTTGATATTATAATCGCATTTTGATGTTAATTCTGGTAATGATATATTTCTATAGTGTTATATTGAAAACTTGATTTCACCTTTTAATGTACAATATTAATTTCTAACTCAGTAATCTCCTAAATAATATATAAAACTCCGGTAATCCCCCTAAATGATATTAATTTTTAACTTAGTAATCTCACATACAATTATAATTGATGGTACTACTTTACATATATGTAATTTTTTGTTTCTGATGTAACGTTAATATATTAAATATTAAGAAATTATGTTAGCATCCTTCTTAATTTTGTCGTGTCATACAAAGTATTGCAGCGCAGAATAATTAAAACGTTAATTCTAGAGTATTATAGCGACATAATAATATTATAATAGCAATTTCAAAATTTTTAATTTTCTCAGCAAATAATTAAGTATATATCAAGTTGTTAAACTTACCTTGCTAAACCATTATTTAGATGCACATACATGACTATTGATAGACTTTATTTTCTAAAAATCGTTAAAAAGTGGTACAGGAAAGGTAGAGCAGAATTATCATGACGTATTGTATTTAAAACGTGTTCGAACTAAGGATTGCTTTTACAGGGTTTTATTTTTTATTCAGTTTGTGTAAGAAAAGGTAAAACCTTTTGTTTAAATATTAAAACTCTATATTAATAAATAAAGATATAAATCAAAATAAAAATATGATGCATTTCACGTGCTATCCATCTTTCGACACTCGAGCCTATAATATAATACGATTTTCAATCATAACTTCGCATTCCTTTATTAAGTTCTTCATTTTTTATATAAGCTCATACGCGCACTTTTTTTAATTCCACCAATAAACTCCACATCTGTTACAGATACGTAGATTCCACTTTTGGCATACTACAATAAATATTCTATGATTTAACGAAGAACTGAATTAATTCTGGATTGTAATGAAATAACTGATAAGCTAGGTGGAAGAGGTGGAAGTCACGAAGAATGTACCAAAACTTTTACTCATTAGTATTTTTATTGATTTGAATTCTGGCTTGTATAATTAAATTATAACATATGGAACTTAATCAACTTCAGTCTTAAGTAGATAAAAATTTGGAAAAAAAGGAGCATAGCAAGTTTGTAGAAGGACATGGACAATGTTTAAAATAAAACATCGAACACTGAAAATGAGGCAAATATATTCTTAGATATACATTCACACTGCTTATGTACACACATAATAGATAACCATAAACGTAAATAAAGTCATGGTATAACACCAATATTTTAGCGAAGTTCATGGTACATCCAGGTGGTTTGTATATGATAGTAGATAATCACAGTTTTACAAGTGTAGAAAAATTCCTTAATTGTAATAAGAACGATGTGTAGATCGTGTTTAACAATCGTATCTTATTTTTCATTTATCATTAAGAAACATCTGTTTAATTAAACACTATTGAATTTAAATCGCAATATTCTATTATAGCCGGTGTTATCGCAAGTTTCAGTCAATTTAACCGCTTATGACTGAAATACAATGAAGTGAATTCAGGGAAGAGGATGTCATAAATATTACAGAACATATTCATAAATCTTCGTTTTAAACTTGAGAGTATAAAGTTTACGGTTCTCGATTAATACGTCAACCTTTTCCACCAAACTGGTCAATTGAAAATATATCTAATTGTTTTCTTCAAATTTTGAGGCAATCAACATCGTTTAAACACCAATTCATTTTGTAACATCATTAATTTTTTTTTTTTATCATTGGTTTCCATTTTAAATTCTAGGTTTTGAGCCAAATAAAAGAATCTTGTCTAATAATAATGTGTATAATACGCAGCACATGTAATAAGTTTATTCAACGCGAAAAATTATTTAACCGTGATACTTTATCAAAACCTAAAATGTAAAATAGAAGTGTATTATTACAAAGTACTATCAATAATTAATGGAATGTAGAATCGATATTCTTTTAGAGATGTACGGGCTGTGATGTGGAATGCCTCAATCGCGGTAATCTTAATTATCTTTGTGAAACAATAATAAAGACGATAACAATTTCTAATTAATGAAAACTAATGATGTAACGATACAAATTAATCGGCTAAGTATAATGAAACATTGAAATACGTTGAAAGAAATATGTATTATTACAAAATACTTACATGTTTGTACAGATCCAACATTTGAATTCGAGCATTAAGCAACATACGTGTACACTTTTCTGCAAATCGAAATTAACGAAATGAATAGCAAGTTAAAATTTTATATTACGATAAATGCAAATGCTAATTAAAAGTTACACGCACCTATCTTCTGGCGTGCGTGCCAAATATTCACGTTCGATTAAACCTTCGATACGTTTTTTAATTATTACGGGAGAAGGCAAAAAACGTCCTCTTAATTGCTCCGTTACTTCTGTTACAAGTACATTGTGCTGGAAAAGACGTAAAAAGTAAAATTGGAACAGGTTAAGGCACATGAATAACCAGAAACGTAAGAATAGCAGTGTTACATACAGGCATGCGTTTCCGATCTTTCATAATACGAACGATAGCAGCTTCTATCTCATGCTTTCTATCTTCATCAACTTTGTTACGTGTTTCTCTTCTTTCTGGTTCAGATTCGCCTTTCGCCGCCACTGTTTGAATCTTCACTCTTTGTAAAATTATATGCAATTTACAATGTGATATCGAATAGGTTCAAATAAATTTCGTTTATCGCGAAGCGATTAATTCCGGTAATGTTATTTTAGTACAATCGCGGTACCTGTGTAATTTACTGGTAAAACTGTCATTGACACAGAAATAATGCGAAGGTTCTATTTCCTTTGTACGGGGATGCTTTAGTAATACTCTCTGTGTAGCTTTACCCATTGCGAGAGATTGTAACGCTCTAACCAAGTCTCTCTCTGGAATATCGGTTTCACCTTGAATTTCCTACACAACGTTTCATAGATTGTATTGTGAAACATCGAAATTCCAATACAATCGATTTTACAGAATTGATTTTGAACTGACCTCATACGTTAATTTGTCTCTCTTGTTGAACAGCATTAACACGCACATTTGATAAGTTGATACTTGTATTATGTGTTTCCTAGTGTTTCCGCAACTGCTGCTACGCTGACTTAATAGATTACCGTTAGTGCTACCGCTTCCGTTACCAATGGAACTCGAAGACGAAGGTGTATCGCCGCAACTGATCTCTTCTCTTCGTGGCCCGTGAAACACGGCGTTCAAGTCCGCGGAACCTAAAAAATATATAGAATAAAAATGACAAATAACAAAAGAAGATTAGATAATGATATTTAACGGACCTAATTGTGGTTGCAACGTCAACTGTCGGCCGCTGTGTTTAGCGAGATAGAAACGCCGAAAGGCATCGAAAGCATCCCGCGGAGCTGATGGCATGCTACACTTAGGAGTCGCGGATTGCGTCGGCCAGAAACCTGTTGTCAAAACTCTTACACTTATGTCCACACCGTGTAGATTTGTCTATAATACAAAAAGAAAGTAGCAGAGCTGTCTAACCATCAGAAATTACTCTAAATATATTGAATATGAAACTTACATTGGATGTAAGGACATGATCTTTAAATTCATCCATGATAGTATTGCTGACTGTAATGTCTTTGAACATTCCCTCCAATTTCGATGTGAACTGACACCCACATTCAGTCTATAATGTAATTAAAAAATAATCGTCAATACGTAGTTTAAGTACAAGCATTAATAAGTCAACTTCAATATGGATAATTAACCTTTCAAGTACAGATTTAAATCTCTTACTGTAAACACGGCTGGACGGAATTTAAACTACGTGCACAATCAAATAAAAAAAAATTCTAACTAAAAAACTGCGTAACAGAAAAACAGGCTGCTCAATCTCTTTGCGATGACTGTAGTCATCTCACGGACTAAATCGGTTAATAACGAAAACAAACATCTACCTTAAGTTTAGATATCATATTTTTCTCGCTGTCATCGGAGACGGATTTATTTAAAAGAAGACGTTTGGCTAAGTGCTGCTTATAGTATCGTTCAAACACGTCTTTTTCTTGGAGAAATCGAAACAGAACCATGGTTTTGTCCAGGATACCTTCAATTTCCTGCTCTGTCATCTAAAATGCATTAATGAACGCTTTTCTTGAATATAAATTGTCATACAACAACTACCTATTAAATCTGAAGCATTAAAAACAAGTTTGTTTTTCAAATGCACGATTCTTTATATGATAGAGAATATTTAATAACATTTCATGGTACTACCTACCGTTAAGTATATATTTATAGAAATACAATTAACTGAACTAACCCCTTTGACACCCTTTTTCAGCTTGTCGTCGATGAAGAGTGAAAGGTATTCTGGACTTTTTGTATTTAAATTGAGGAAGTATTCAAAATCAGAAGCTATCATTTGTTTATAATTTTTATCATTATTAAACGAGTAGTGAAGAAAATGATCGAAACGATCTTTTAAATCCAACAAATTCTGAATGAAGAGAACAGCGTTTGTTGTCGATTCATGTTCTTCCTGAATCATGGCACGTCCTTGTTCTTTAAGAAACTGTGAGACACAATCGCATACTGTACGCAAGCCATCCGAAACTCGTGAAAATAATTTGTACATACAACCAAGATCTTCGGTTTTCTGATTTTTGAGCATGTGTACCACACCGCTGTTTTCCATCTGTAAGTAAGAAAAAAGTATAATTAATTTAAGAAGGCTAAAAAATATACAAAATATAAAGTATTAAGTAACACGCTATATACCTCAACAATAGTTTTCATATGAATTTTAATTAATTCCTCTTCTACAACTTCTACTATTCGTGGTTCAGTAGACTCGTCTAAATAGTGTTTTGCTCTGTCAGATTCTTCACAGATTCTAGCTTCAACTTTTTTTATATATACGGATGCACTATTCTCTGCCAAAAATTTCTGAGATTCCATCTGTAAGGGGTGCAAAACAAAACAGTTTAAAAAAAATTTGCAAAGAATAGGTATAGAAAACATATGCAAAAGATTCTCTTACTTTATAAAATTCTGCACTTTGTTGTAAAAAAGGCCTTTCAAAATCTTCTTCATAAACTTGACGACTGTTAATACCAAGTAACATTAACATTTGGCAGGCATTTTTTATCGCAATGCGATCTACTACTTCTCCTCTTCTTTCTCTTACTACCATACCTAATAATGTTTCTCTTAAATGGTCTCTTACGCAACCATACCTGACCACCTAAAAATAATAAAACAAATTATTGCACATTTATTTGAAAAATGGATTTTGTCCTGTTATTGTTATTAATTCGTAAAGAATCACCTGATCTCTAAATATGATAAGACCCAAGTTATACACAGTGTCTACATCATTTTGCAGAACATACACTCTATCCATATACATCAAAATATCTCTAATCATCACCATTGACGTCTGATGATCATTCCAAGCTTGATTCAATGTTTGAAGAAAATTATTGTGGAGTGATCTTAATACGTCTTCTCGTACTTTATTTTCAAGATGATGTGTTACAACTTCTTTTAAACCTGTATATAAACGTTCTCCATACTTGTGAAGGACCATAGTATAAGCATTACGATAAAGTTCTTCAAAACTAAGGCCGGAATTATTTTTTTTCTGAATTTCCTGTATTGCATTTTTTAGTAAAGCCCAAATATTTTCCACATACTTTTCATCCATATTAGTCTAAAAAAAAAAGAAGATATGTAATGTTAAAATATATTATTATGGATATAAGTGAGTAACTTTTAAGAATTAAGAGGCTTATATTGAAATAGGAAAGAAAATTAAGAAAGTGATTTTGTTAAGATAAAATTAATACAACTGTAATTGCTAAATATATGAATGATGAAACCCTAATAATATTATTCGTTGCAAGGGTATTCAAGTTGCTCTTATTAGTTGTACTGCTTTTCTTTTAATGTTTTGTTGATCGCGATGCTGAGTCATAATTTCTTCCTTTTTTGTACAAGTTTTATATAAAATTATTATACTACAGTAACAAAAATATTTAAAGACCATTGTTTTATCACTTTACAGATATATATATATATATATATATTGTATAATATCTTATCTTATTATATGAAGGTAAAAGAATTATTGATAACAAACATTAATTACTTGTCACATTTACTTTAATAACTGGAATAATTAAAGTAAACAAATAATACAAAAATGTTTCCTAATAAATTACATATAGTTGTATAAAACATGACCATAAAATGATACACAAATGTTTCCTTTGATAGTTGAAATATTAAAGATAATTTTCATTTAATTTAACGTTGTGTTATTATTTAACATGCAACTTAATACGAATAATTTTATAATTAAAAATTTAGTGGCTAACAATTACAGTTTAATGTTCCAAACTTTAATGACAGGACAGACTGAAATTCATCGTTAAACATTATAACATTGCAACATTTATATTTCATTGCTTCTCTTTTATGCCACTATAGCAACTATAAATTTATCGAACTGATTCCTGCCGATACGTTCATACATGTAGCAGAACACAATAATATTGAAAATGACCCTTGATATGTGGAAAAAACAAAACACTTTAATTGTAAATAACATCTAAATGATATATTCCTATATACATTTATAGGTGTCAAAATATCAAATTTAGATTTAAGATAGAGAATCACGTAACAAAAACTATGTGCTTCTATAAGCAATTATGACAAATAGAAATATGGTCAATTTTCCAATTGGCATATAGTTTAAAAGAACAGGTTATAAAAAAAATATATATACATATATCACACGCATGTGTATATGTGTGAGTGCATATATGCGTGTATGTAAATTTAAGTTGAAAAGTATATGTATGAGTTTGTAGGTTGAACGAAGAAAAGAAACGGGCGAGAAAGAAATAGAATTTCGGTGGTCCAAACGAGACAAGGCTAAAAAAATAAAGGCAAACGACAAGCGAGTACTCACCGGAAAAGCACGTATGCGCATCTTACTTTCTTTCTTAAGCATAGCACTGCTCTTCATCATGTCGAATTTTCTAGTTGAACGGAAGATCCCTTTTAAAAATGCTTTCTGGCCACCGATGCTACGATAACGTTACACCGTGTGTACATTGACACCAGTTAAACGTAGGGAGCATTCACGTTCACGTAGGAGGCAGAACGGCCGATGATGATCGGCCACCGCACGAAAATACGTTCACTCATCCACGTTTACGATATGCAGGGGAACCGAAAATTGTCTTGTTATCGTGTACATTTAATAAAAGAAAGAAAAATACGCGATTCTCGAAAGAGGGGGAGAGAAAACGAGAGGCTCGGAGAAAGAGATAGACAGAGTATCGAAAAATATGAGCGACAGAGCGAACGAACGAATACAAGGGAGGAGGGGCGGCGAGGGTAAAGAGGTGCTCTCTTTTTTGCCCGGCAGATGAAAATGGGGGATAAGGCGCTTAAGGGTTGAAAGGGCAAAGGGAAACGAACACGAGAGGAAAAACAGATAAGGGGGATTGAACGTAGGTGAAACGAGAGAGAAAAACAAAACGGAAAAAGAAAATATCGCGCACCTGTCAACAAACCGAATTCTGTCAGATTTCGGGGGAAAAAAGACCGTACACGAATATTCGTTGGTCCTTGAACACGTTAACGTGATCGTCGGTACGTTTTCAGCGTCTTTCGAGGCATAGTGTGATTCGGTTCGTGAAAACTCGAGTTTCCATCCTACTCGACTAGATGCTCGTTACACGATATACCATTCACGATACACTCCATGCGCATGAATCACGAATACTGCTGCGAGTTAGACATCATGAATTTCACTACTCCACAATACGTCGAGAAACGAACAAAATCTATACCCTTCGTATATTGCATTTGCGTAACGCTTTCGACTTTAAATTTGACACTATCGGCATAAAACTAACATATTCGGCTTAGAACGCTTAAGAAATTTAGAAATCACCGCGACTAAACGTAGCTGATTTCGGATCGGCCTTCCTATAGTTTTCGCAACGTTATCTCTTGAGCGCGACCAATCACGTTTCTTTCGTCGCATATGAATTGTACAAGTTACTTCAGATACTATTTATTATGTTATAAAACATATAATTCCAGGTAAAAGATTAAAACATTATTTTGAGACATTATTTCTGAAGTTGAATTAAAAAATAACTTGTCGACTTATGTGCACTAAAAATAATTATTTAATACTCAACGACCAATAGAAATTCGATACTTAAAGGATGATTTACATGAAACGTGTCATTCGACCACTTCATTTTTGGCGCTTGAAAAGCTGACTTTTCGTTTACGATCGCCGTCATACAAATCGGAAATTATTTTCGTATTGTGTGCTCGAAATGTTCGAACTTCAAAGAGTTTGAAGAGGGGAATTCATTTTCACGCAACTATGCGATTAACTTAGAAAAATAATAATCGATACTTTCAAATTTTGTTGGAAGCTTCATTCGTACTAATTATTAGCAAAATTTTCTTTTATCAAATTAACCGAATATGTGTTTTGTAATTATTTATGTATGCATACGAACCCGTGAAATGGAATTATGTATTTGTGATGTTCATGTGCTTTGCTTACATTGGCCTTGCATTAATCGAGATTTACATGTATACCTACGAAATGCAAATTCGAAGGACGTGAAAGAAGTTGTTGGCAATCGTTTAATGCATTCTCATTCTTTAGATATAATTGGTAGTAATCGTAGAAGAACTGTACATCTTTGTACAATCAAATTTAAATTAATTTCGTAAGGTTATATGGACTTGGGTTTCGTTCAATACTTAAACGAAATATGATTTCACAGAATGGTAGAACTCTTACTTCTTCTTCGGTACAAATTTTATTTTACGAATATGTAATATTCTGTTTACAAATGTGTTTGCCGAAAATATATGGCTACCATGCGTACATTTTCGTGCGTAGACATTGTTTACCATCATGGTACAAACTCCAAAGGTTATATAAAGTTTTTATAGATAAGGGAAACTAGCATTAACGGTTTATCATTAAAGAGAAATTACTGATTTAAAACGTCCTTATACAAGTATCTAACGTCGATTTCATTAGCATTTTGTAATACAGTGTAAGATACACAAGATAGAAAGAACGTTTATAGAAATTGTGAAAGTTTAATGCGTGATATTTATATATGTGTCAAGATAAATTTAGTTGAAAAAGTTAACAAATATTTGCGATAAGTAAAACTACGAACGTAATTAAATCCGTTAAAGAGATATTGGTTAAAAAAGATTTTGTGAACGTATAGAATTAAAAAGAATAGTACAAACACGAAAGTAGGTAACGTGGGTAAGGCTATCATGTTTTCACCCCACCGTCTCCTCAGAGCAAATTTTATAAAGAGTGTCGCTAATATCGAATTGGTTAGTAACAACGTTGCTTCATCGTTGATACCGCCATTGAAAGTTTGTCCGTCTCACGATCAGTTGAGATACTCTCTTGTTAGGGCATTTAGTGTTTCATCTACAGCTATGGTGAAAATACAGGTAAGCAATCAGTAGCGTAATGTCACAGACATTTGTTATGTAGCATATATATGTACGTACTATACGCGTATATGAATTTTAATTAATAATACTTAAGTCAATGACGAATATATTATCCATGTTACGAAGAGAATTGTTTTTACTTGATAAATAAAAATGAATGAGTCTTATATAAAAATAATTTTTATATTTTCTTGCTATATCCTTATTGCAAATTATTTTAGGTTGGACCTGTTGTTGAAGTTTTGGGAGATGAAATGACACGCGTCATTTGGGATGCTATTAGAAACCAATTGATTTTACCATTTTTAGATATTGAATTGCACACATACGACTTGGGTATTGAAAATCGAGATAAAACCAATGACAATGTAACAGTAGAGTGTGCAGAAGCTATTAAGAAATATAATGTAGGAATCAAATGCGCTACTATCACGCCCGATGAGAAAAGAGTAGAAGAATTTAATTTGAAACAAATGTGGAAAAGCCCCAACGGTACTATTAGAAATATTTTAGGCGGTACAGTTTTCCGTGAAGCTATTATTTGTAAAAACATTCCTCGCTTGGTAAATACTTGGAAGCAACCGATTATTATTGGTAGGCATGCTCATGCCGATCAATATAAAGCTACAGACTTTGTAGTACCTGGACCAGGTAAACTTGAAATACAATGGACTGGAGACAGTGGAGAAAATATAAAGTTCACGGTACATTCTTTCAAAGGACCTGGCATTGCGCAAGCTCAGTATAATACGGACGAAAGCATTTGTGACTTTGCTCATAGTTCCTTTAAATTTGCTCTATTAAGAAACTATCCTTTGTATCTTTCGACAAAGAACACAATTCTTAAAAAATATGACGGCAGATTTAAAGATATTTTCCAAGAAATATACGAGAAAGAATATAAAGCGCAATTTGAAGCAAAGAAGATTTGGTACGAGCATAGATTAATAGACGATATGGTAGCATACGCGATGAAATCAGAGGGTGGTTTTGTATGGTCTTGTAAAAATTATGACGGGGATGTTCAGTCTGATTCTGTGGCACAAGGATTTGGATCCTTGGGTTTGATGACTTCGGTCTTAATTTGCCCGGATGGACGTACTGTGGAAGCAGAAGCTGCTCATGGTACAGTCACTAGGCATTACCGTCAGTATCAGCAAAAAAAGCCGACCTCGACTAATCCAATTGCCTCGATATTTGCATGGACAAGAGGTTTGCTTCACAGAGCGAAATTGGACAACAATGACAAACTTAAGCAATTTGCAGAAACTTTAGAGGCAGTCTGTATTAATACTATGGAGGCGGGTTTCATGACAAAAGATCTTGCAATTTGTATTAAAGGCGCTGATAATGTCACTAGTTCTGACTACTTAGAAACATTCGCATTTATGGATAAATTGGCAGAAAACTTGAAACAGCAATGGAAATGACTTGGGAGCGATTGTCCTTGTATGATACAATCAAAGTATTAAAAACACATATAAGACGAATTATAAATATCGCGGGTTGGGGGAAAACGTTACATTTATTACGCATACAGTAAATTGTGAAAACAGCACGTAAATAAAATTAAAAGAAATCGAACGTTATACTTCCTTATCCTTTCTTCATCAAGAAGAAGAAGATTATTTTCGTCATTACGAATTATGTAATTGTGATTTACAGATATATTTTTATGATCGTTTCATTAAATGATTATGCCTAAACATTTATAACTCTAGTCGAACTCTGCTTAGAATTTTATATACCAACTATTTTTCTATAAAATATATAAAAATGTTTAACTTTGAAATTACGTGTTTTTTACGAATCACAACTTGCAACGTCATTCTAGATTGCATAACCTTCTAAATACATTCATCAGAAAAATGTGCGATATATTTCCAAAAGTAATAATAAACTTTTGACAAACTGCACACTAACGCAATATTTGAATAATTTCTTCGATGATATAGTTGCTTATATGTTGTAACGGGTTGTTTCTATAGCGTTTAAAAATAAAGAAAAATGATAAATACATTTTTTTTAATTATATTGCATTCGTTCCAACATCCTTCTATCTCTTCTTTCGAGTTTAATGATAAGAGATTGCAAGAAAAATGATTGATCTTGTTTTACTACAACAGTATATTCCATTTTTTATTTGATATACATATGCATGGTTATTTAGTACATTCATGCATTTGTCTCATTCTGATTCAAAAGTTACTGTACGAGGTGAAGTAATTGACAAATCAATATATATGGATTAGAAAATATGGAGAATAATTTATTTATCAATCGGTCGATATCGGAAGACTATTCTACGATGAGTTATTTTATCTTATCATCAGAACATTCTATAAAAAAAGTAATCGTACGCTGCAAAAATATCGTATTATTTATATATGCACAGCAAAAAACAAGCTGTATTTTAATGAATAATTGTGACCAATAACTAATTAAATAGTCAGACATCAAGTTGATAAAAACATTATTTCTTTGTGCCGTGATTTGTATACGATAACTATAAATATCGTTCAAAATTCTATGCTCATTACGATTAATAAACATTTTCATTATTTTTATGCAATCAATAGTGTAACCAAATTTGTTATTTCATTCCATGTATCGTGTAGAAAATATGTATCTGTTTCGCGTATTCTTTTTCTCCTGGAATTGTTTTTATGCAGGGCTATGACTATAAGTCTAGATGCACATGAGCGGTGCGTTGCCTTTGCGTTTACTATGTCTTTCCTTGTCTTGGGATTGAAAACAACCAAGGCAGACATGGGATCGCCGGTCTTGTCTGTCTTCGTTGTTTTCAATTGCACGACAAGGAACAACATAGAAACGCAACGACAACGCACGACTCATGTGCATCTAGGCTAACTTGGCATACTTACATTTTTCGTAAATTGTCGTTGATAGACCATGCTCGTTTAGCTTATGTTAAATCAATTATCAAATGATATAGACGAAGAAATGTTTCCAATATCTATAACTTGGAATGCAAATTACCATACTACAAATAATGTACTTCCGACTGTAATATACTACCTTGTAATTTAATTAAAAACTAAAAAGAACACAAATACTCACGAAGAAATATTTTATTTCACTTTTTACTTTTATAAAAAGAATTACTTTCATAAAATATTTTTAATACAAATATAGACCATATGTACAACACGCATGCTTTTAGGGAATACAGTATTTTCTGCCTCACAACCGATGATATTAAAACGAACAAATCGAGGATAGCTTACAGTCAACAATCTCTGAAATAACAAAATTATTATACCGATCGAGAAAGCTTCCGACAAACAGAACTTCACGGCACCGCGAATAAGGAACGAAACGCCGAAAACTGTAAAGGAAAAGAGGAATCAATAACAAAAAGTGGTTCGTTGAAGAACTAGAATTTTAGGAATCAAGAGTCCATTGGATGACTGTGAGTCAGAAGACAATTTTGTAGAACAATAAAACATACAAACTTAACACCTGTTAAGCGGCCTAATCGTTTCGACGAAAAACGCCCCCTGAACGAAGAATTAACGGTGGACAAAAAACCAGTAAATAAGATTGATAATATTTAACTACATTTTTGTATAAACTCTTGTAACGGTGCTGCTAAAAATGTACATTGTTGAATAATTAAATAAAGTAATTAAAGGAGAAGCTGAAGGTCTCATTATGTTCTTCGTTTCTCATATTCAAACGACAAATTTGTTTTTTCATTTCGCATAATAATCTGACCACCTTATCTTTGCCATAGTCTTTAATTAGAAAATAATACCAAAGTAACAATAAGTAAAGACAGTAACAGTAGAATAAGTCAAAATTAATACGGTTCAATGTACTAATTAATTCTTAGCAACTCAATAAAGTCACTACTGATGTCATCGGCAATGATCGACGTTCCTTTTTCTCTCAGCTTGATACTTTCTATAAGTCTGAATATCGTATTATTCTATTTTACTACCATTTTGTTTTTGCAATGCAGTTTAATTCAGTAGAAGAAACTGTTATTTCAAATTATTATTTGTTACTTTAATCTCGAAGAGAATTCGTCGAGACTGTTTTCTCTTGCTGTTCCGTCGAGGGCTGCAGGAGAGACCAGCCAGAGGAAGTGGGGGCGTGCGAGGACTGTACCGTGGACACCAGAATCGGAATCAGAATTGGAATTGCAGATGGCGCCCGACCTGCGCCACTTCGGCATCGCTAACGTTCCTGTCCGAGTCGGTCAAAGAGGAGGGAGGGGCTGCTGGTTCGCTCGGTCTTCGTAGTCTTACTACAATTCATCCTTCGGTCTGTCGGCTACTGTTAGCGCCGACGACGACGAGGTGTTCCGAAGATAAATCACGGTATCGAGATAATAAGACGAGCGAGTCCGTGACGAGAAAAAGGAGAAAGGGAGAGAAGGAGGGAGGGAACCGTGGGTCCAGCGAGCGTATCCGATTTTCTCGGTCATCGAAAATCGTAAGAAGTCGCGATGGTAAATCCGGTGCACCTGGTTGGCTGTTCGGATCGTGGGGATTTATCGACGTACCTATTTCCAACGGTCGTTCGATCGGAAGATAACCTACTGCTTCAAGCGAATTAACTCTGCTCGAGGTTTGTTTTCTATTGACGAATCCGAGGTTGAATTTCTCACTCCTCCCCGTTTCCTCTTGGCTCCGCGCACACGCACACGCGTGCAACACGTTTTAAACGGTGTCTGTTGGTCAATCGTTCAACTGTAAACCGGAAATCGCCGGGAGAGAAACGGAAATCGCATACGCGTGTCGGGAAACTGGATCTTCTTCTTTCTCTGTTCATCTATCGTGTCGCTCTCCGTTGGATCGTTCGCGTCAGACGTTTTTCTATCTTCGTACAAAATCATACGGAATTCATGTACTTCGCTATTATAAAGGCACACGAATATAAGCTGTTGTAAAAATGGAAGGAAATGCATGCGCAGAGAAACGATTAACGTTTCGACGACACGTTGACCCGCTGCGATCGACCGTCGTATCGTGTAAACCGGATGTCGGTAGTAGGAAAGTCGAGCCATTCGAAATAATTATACTCGATGCGAGCATTCGTTACGTTGGAAAAAGGTTACCGAACTGCATTTCGTTGAAATAAATGTTCGCAATTGTGAAATTGTTGATCGTTGACCAACGAAAAAAATAATTTTAACGCGTTTTAATAAGAAACTGATACAAAGGTCATATAATTTTTATAACGTGATAATGTGGAATAATTAATTAATTATTTTCTCATCGCTAGTTGAAAAGAAAACAGTTCAATGACCGTTACATTAAATAAATTGATTTATTTCAATTTATTACAATCTATATTATTGTGTTTAAAAGTCCGAAATATTATTTTAAATTGTTGTTTCCTAGTTTAATTTTCAGCGGTAATTTATTCAAGTCTATCGTACGACATGAAATGTAACTATTCAGTTTTTGATGCTCTAACAAAATTCCATGTTTAGCTATCATTAGACGGATCTTGTAAACATAGAAATTAAACGGTTTCGCGTGATCGACGTACATTCGTGAAGTTTCGACGGGTTCTATTGTTATCCAGTTAGCATTACGAAAATTGGTAGGGGAAAACCAACAAAATTACATCGTTTTAGTCCCCGTATTTATCTTGAGTTAAATTCTCGTAAAAGTAGGATTCCTTTGCGGGAACGCTTTGACGCCTTCTTCCTTGTAGCCGTTTCATTGACAAGAAAAAAATATGGCGGCCTGCAGCCTCTAGATCGCACGACCACCGAGTACTTCGTACTCGTACTTCCGTAACGTACACCACAAGGTCTCCTGTCGCGGTTCAATAAATCGAGAATCGAAGGGAGCTTCCGGCGCGAGTATTATACCTGAAATAAAGCCATACACCTTGCTTCACGATGATCTAAATCGTGAAAAGAATCATTTTGAGACCGACACGAAAGTGGAAAACGCGAATATGCGACCATGAAATAGTGGCTCGTAGCGTAATGTCATCGGGAAGGAGAAAACATAGTAGACCGACGGAGAAGTGAATGTCGTTCTCCTTTTTTTTACCCCATTGAAAGATACGCGCGCTTGGGAGGAGATTGAGGGGAAATAAAAGGGTATCTCGATGCGCGACAGGAACGCGAGAGGACGTACGTGGGACAGAACGAGCCTTGTCCAAGATGTCAGGAAGATTGCCCCGTCTGCGTGCACTTCGTCCACGACCTCAACAGCTCAAGACCGAGCTACGCAAGGAAGGTAACCTTAAAGAGGACCGACAAGGAATCGCGATGAGAGAGCACGAGTCGCACAATAATATCGAGAAGACCTCGTACAATGACAAAAATGATGGATCCGCGAAGAGCAACTTGAAGGGCGATCATGATGGCCTCCTCGACGGTTCGGGACCTTCTCAAAGTTACGAGTGCAAAACATGCAAACCATCAAAGTCATTATCAAGTCTTAAGGCGTACCTCGATCATCTGAAAAAGGAGCACAAACAAAAGGTACATTGATATTGTAAATGGGCGAAAATCAAATTTCATCAATGACTAAATTGCTGTTCTCTCTTTTTTTTAAAGAAAAGAAACATAGCGGGTGTAAGGTAATTACGATCTTTTACGAATTTTTTTTAAAAATCAGAATTATAAATAATATTGTTTGATAGAATCTGGACTGTATTGCAGAGATTGATTTGAGACTGAAAGATATCGAAAGAAGTTTATATACAAATCATTATCGTCTTGTTTTCAAATTATAACTATGTTTTAAGTTGCAACAATATATTCATTTTACTATCCATTCGAAGTATCAACAACAATTTGGTTTTAATCTATGGGCAGAAATTATAGCTAATAATTTAATAGAAATTCTTGTCTTGTCTAATATAGATGGGACAAGAGTAATCTATAGCAATGTTTTAAAAAATCATTTACAAAAATTATTGAAATAGAGTTACTACTAACTCTACAATGGGCATATAATGATTTTTAGGGAAAATTTGTACGCGATGCTGGCAATCGATGTTCAATGTGTTCGTATGTTGCACTAAATTCAAGGGACCTTGAAACACATCAAAGAGTGCATCATTTAAAAAGAAGATTCTTTCGATGTGCTAAATGTTCTTATGTAACACATGTACGTGCTCGTTATACAAAACATGTAAAATATCATTCTATGCCGATGATCAAGTGTGATGCCTGTGATTTTCGTACACCGTACAAGGTCAATGAAGTTTCTATAAACTGATAAATTTATATGACAAAATAATAATGATAAATATACCCTTGCAGTGGAATTTGGACAGACATACTCGAAATCATGGAGGAGTTGGTGCTTTTCAGTGTTGTGTTTGCAATTTCACAGCTGATATCAGGCAGAGTTTAACAGTGCACGAGACCAATCATCATGAGCCACCTGTAGGTCAAACAAACCACAAGTCTAATGCACCTTTCGAGCGCAAACCAAGAAATAGTCCCAAGCGTTATAATCAGGTAATAATTTCTTTTATAAATATTTTCCTGTATTCTAAGGCGTAATCTGTGTCTAAATCTGTGAAAATTTGTGTTTAATATTTCAGGTGGGTGCAAGTGACTTTCGGGAAACATTACATATATCTGGGAGTACAATGCTGTCCCTCAGTCCTGGAGATTCGTTCGTTTCCGATCAGTCAATGAATTCCATAGATGATAAACGAACTGCAATAGCTAATGCAGAGTGCATAGCGCTAAAATGCGAAGAGAAAGGCTGCCAATTTATTACTGCATGGGATTCTGAAATGCAACGACACTTAGCAGAATGTCATGCTCCGCTTACACCTAATAAATCTAGAAAACCACTGCCAATGTTGATACCATTGAGTCCTAGTAAATGTAGCAGTGGTACCAGTGGACCTTCCACTACACTATTAAAAGTTCCACGAGTGAGAGTTAGACCAGAACTCGCACAAATAGCCAGAGATACGGAATTGGCCAAGTTGTATGGGAATAAAGAAGTGAGTTCTTTTTTATTGATTAGTATATATATATATGTATATACATAAAAATTCGTAAATTCGTTGTGTTTATAATTTTTTTAACGATAGGAATTGATTTTTTTGCAGGCCAGCAACTTAAAGAAGGATGCAAATAATGCAGCAGATTTGTTTGAAAAAAAAAATGCGTCCTTCTTTGATAAGTTAAAGGAAAAGCTTACAACATCGGCGTCAATTAATAACGGAGTAGCGGAGGTAGCTGTAAGTACTACGAACGATTTGAAATGCTGGTGTACTTTTAAAGCTAGTAGCATGGAGGAGCTGGCTTGTCACAAACAAACACACCACACTGCTCTCAGTGTATCTGTGGGTACAACGCGTTGCCCTAAGTGCAGAAGACGTTGCAAAAGTTCGACTGATCTACAAGCGCATATGCAGTGTTGTCGCTCGACAAGCAACGATACGTCCATAGACAGTAGCTTAGAAAAATTATCGAATTGTTCAGAACTACGTGTGACCTCGTATCGCGGTGAATATGCATTCCCTGCGCAAACGGATTGGGACGTTAATCTCAGTGGACTGAATTCTTCTGGATCATCGGTATGGTGTTTCTACAGAAATAATATACTTTTACATAACGCGTGCACATGAACAATAAACGAACACACGAATGAATATGAGAATTGCAATACGAGAGTCAACAGATCTGACTATTTTCTATTCACGTCGTATTTTACACTAAATGTTTTTGATTGCAAGCACCCCATACGGCCATTAGAAACAATCATAGTTAAAGTACGTTTCCGTTCAGCTTGAAGCCACAAGTCTTTTCATTCAAGTATGCAACGCTATTGTGATAAATATTGTGTACAATTATATTTATATTTTTCTTTTCCACGATTATTTTTTTCTTTTTATTATTAAGAATGTGCTTTAAATGTTATTTATGACAGTCGAGACCGTAGCCCGTTGTGTTTCGAGCGTGTTAACAGTTTATTTTGATAAAGGCAGTAAAATCTTTTGTCAGGTTGAAGGCGCCTCGACACATCCAAGCGGCCGACGGGTATTCAAATGCCCGCATTGTCCATTTTGGGCATCCACCGCAAGTCGCTTTCACGTTCATATTGTCGGTCATTTAAATCGGAAGCCATTCGAGTGTTCCCTGTGCGCGTATCGCTCTAACTGGCGGTGGGACATCACAAAACATATTAAACTTAAAGCAGCTAAAGATCCAGTTCATATGACTGCCAGGGTACTTATGACGGATGAAACAGGTCGACGGAATTATTCCAAGTATAACAAGTATCTTGCACAGGTGAAAGCACAAATTTCACTTACATTAAGCAAACCAGTTCACATTATTAGTGACAGTGCTTGTCGATTTTTATAGGCGCACTGATTTTTCTATAGTTTGTTTCAATGCTGTTTTTTTTTTTTTTTTCGTTCAATTTTTTCTTTCTGTGACAAGCACGAGTGATGATCCTTAGATAAAGTTAATCGTAGAAGACGGATAATACATGTAAAAACTGAACAACGGAACAACAATTTTACAAACGAAAAATGTACTTCCTGTATCGAAGCGCTTGGACACTTGATTGGTGTTATGATGTCAAATTTGATTGCAATAACAAGCATATTCTTAGTAAATGGAACCGACATGATAACGTTCAAAATGTTTCCATTGCCTCGAACGTGACATTAATTTTTGTAATATAATTCTCAGTGTGCCGAGCAATTTCGTTTTTATGCTGAGTTACAAGTTTGTTTTCCGCCGTGCAACAAATATAATAATGCGCGTGTACGTTAAATGCGATGGATAAAAAGAATTCATTGCAGCGTTATTGTTTCTTTCTTAGGTCGAGCAACAGTCATGGGACGAACAAAACATGGAAGAACGTAGCGTGGAAGAATCTATTTCCGACGAGCCGCCGACTAAGCTGTTAATAATGAACAATGATGAGTATTTACAAGCACCAGAGCTTACGTCCACTCCCGTTTCAACCGTGTCCACGAACGAAGAGAGTAATAACGCTAATAGTATTAATGTTGGTCTGAGACCACCGCCTCCGCTTAAAGCTGCCGCTAGAAATCGAGGACAATCTGTGCTAAAAAATAATTTGATCTCCACGCATGGACAATGCGGATCTCCTTCTACTTCGATCACGGAAGAAAGCAAACGCACTATGTGGAAGTGCAAGCGTTGCAACTTTAGACATTCAAATAGGGACACTGTGTCGTTGCACGTGAAATCTCACAACGAATCGGAACAACGCCACGGAGAAGAAAAAGTATGCTATCTTGAATACTTATTATATTTTTTACATTAACTCGAATGCTATTTGTTTATAGAATCCGTTTGGCTGTGGCGACTGTCCATTTTCCGCGCCCGATGCTACAACTTTGTCAATGCACAGAGTACATCATCGTCCGAACTTGGAAGCCATTTTCAAATGCTACCTCTGTCCGTACTACGTCAGCACGAAAGTGTATGTATTTCTGTACCGTTATAACTGTATTCATAACATTATTAGAAAATACTTACTTCTCCTGTTATCGCAGAGAGTTATTGGACCACGTTAGACTTCACGGCGAAGAACTTGCTGTTGTTCATCAACAAAATATGGACTATAATTACACATCTGCTAAATATAAATCGCAACACGCTTCGAATATCGATAACAGTAAGTTTAACAAATTCTTTGCAGTGTTTGAGCTGGTTGAAACTATCATGAAGGATTTCAAAGTCGAATTATATCGGTTTCAGTTCTTCGTAACTGTTTTAAGAATTTAAACCTATATTATAACAGTTTTTAAGCCTTGATTTTTGTTATTTCAGATATTAATCGAATGAAACAAGAGAAGAACGTAGAACAGGTGATTCATATAACTACGCAGAACAATGTGACTTGTATCGCCAACGCTTCAAAGAATTCCAATACACCGCCACCGCTGCTTCTAGATACCCGAGCGCTGCCAGAGGCCCCATTAGTTTGGGTGACTCGCCCGGACGGTACGCTCTCAAAAATGCTGAAATGTCGTCATTGCCCCTTCGTTTCTTCGCGACGTGCCGAAGTTCGAGATCACGAAAGTATGCATCTCGATTCCCCTAATCATGGACACGTGATCGCTTGCACCGATTGTAGTTTCACCTGTACGCGAAGAGACGTGATGGTTACTCACACGGACATGCATTCCGGGTCGTTGGGTACCGTTCACTGTCTAGTAGACGATACGAGACCAGATTCGCAACAATTGAGCGACTTAGTTACGCTTCTCGGATTCACGCATCCTCCTGTGTTAGGTTCAGAGCCTGATCTGCGAGATTCGAGGCTGGTACACTGCTGTAGCAAATGCCCGGCACGATTCCTATGCGAGAAAGAGTTGAGGATCCATTTACGATACCATTCCACGGAATTAGCTTATTCTTGTCAATGGTGTTCGTACGCTGCCCGCCAACCGGCCCATCTGTTAGCCCACCAAAAAGCACACTCTACGGAGTATCAAGAGCGTACCAAGTATTTATTGTCTCTGTACGGCCATTCGCAACGATACTCACCTCCAACCACGGCTTGCGTCGAAGCAGGCGGCCAAGACTCGACCAACTCGGCCGCGGCCGCAATCGCGTGGATCGTTGTGGAAGTTTCTGAAAACTCGAGCAACAGCTTCAATAACAACGCGAATCAACGAACGGGTAATCAAGTGTTCACGTGTGCGAAATGCCCGGCTCGTTACTTCAAGCTGGACGCTCTGGAGTACCATATGACGTTGCACGGATCGAACAACAGATTCAGATGCACCGAGTGTGATTATTCGTCGAAAACGGCGCAGAATCTGGTGAAGCATCAGGTCGTTCATCGACGGCAGAACGAAGCGAGTGAATTGACCTCGAATCTGTCGCCGCCCCCTGATCCACAGTTCGGAATCTTCATGCGTGGAAACCCCAATTTCGTGTACCCTGGTTATCTAAGGAACGGTCGGTTGAAAGAGAAACGGTACAAGTGTCACAAATGTCCCTCTGCGTTCGAGAAACGAGAACAGTACAGGGTTCATTTGACGTTGCATGGCGCGAAACAGAGATACCGTTGCGACACTTGCGACTATTCCGTTAAGTACTATGCCAATTACATTCAACATTTGAAGAAACATCAGGCGAACGCGGAGGCACAAGCCTCGCGCAGACAATTCGAGGACGACACGATTACTATCGACAGCGACAACTTTACAGACAATATAGGCTCTGTGTCTCGTTCGGGCAAGACTCTGAAGTCGTCGAATAACGCGGTGACGATATGCGTGAACGGGACATCGATGTTGAATTACGGCGGGGTTCAAGCCTCGAATCAAGATAAACAATCTTTGTTACTGCTACAGAAAAAGGGAATGCTTCTGTCGCCCAACGAGGAGGTGGAGACTTTACGCTGCCAAAGTTGTCCGTTCTCCACGTGCGACAAAGACGCGTTGGATTCCCACAAACGTCGACACGGCATCGAGAGAATGACACCGTCCTGTCCACACTGCGATTATATACCGCGTAAAGATGAGAATGTCGGCGAACATATCAGGCTACATTTCACGAGACTCTACAAACCGGAATCCTATCTCATCATAGAACTTTTGACATTGACAATGAGAAAAATAGCGACGAATGGTAAAGAAGAGAAACAAAAGGCTGCGGAATTACTGTTTAAAGAATGCGCGGACGGAAGATTCTTTCCGCTCGCCGATGCGAATTCCTTCGGCGGTACGTCTACCGTGAACAATTGCAAGGAAAAAGTTATAGTGGATCCTAACACAGGAGAGACGAAACATTTGGCCGTTTAAAACGATACTAAGGATCATGTAATATGTATATATTTTTGTGTATATAATATTAGTATATCGCATATTTTAGGTGTTTACATTGCATTTTCTAGATCTTTGATAATAGAACCGTTAAAAAATTGTTATGTTTTCGATTATTAGGCTATGCGACAAAGTGTAACATAAGTATCGTAGGATCTTTATCGAACGAGTCCGTATTGAAATTAATATAACTCGGTTTTTATCATTACTATCTATTTGTATGCATGTACAAGGTGTCACAAAATTATATATCACGACCACCACGGTGTTATTCCACGCCTCTGGATTGGTGGAGATCTATTAAAAATTCTATCCGCAGAATTCTACCGTTAGTAGAATATAATGCAATCGTAAAAAAATTTAACTTTCGAAAAGACGGTCAAGAACAATTCTGCGGGCAGAATTTTTTATAGATCTTCACCGATCCAGAGATCTAGAATCACACTGTGTTTGGTGGTGACATTAGAATTTTGTGGCGCTTTGTATCGAAGAAAAAATCTTTTGCCGGTAATAATGTCTATTACAATAATTGTAAGTGATGATTGATCATGGTCGTGGCTTCCGGCTGGATACTTTTGAGATTCGTTGCGTCGTAAATGTGTAAACTTAGACGACATGCCATATTTTGTTGATTTATCGAATATTTTGCCAGGCGTAGTTTAACGTTACTGTATATAATACTTAAAACTATCAATCTTGTACGATACAATAATAAACAAGTACTATTAAAGATTGGTGTTTATATATCCCGTAATGCTTTCCAATTCGAGAGACCGTTATTAAGAATTAGCTCTTTAATTCAAGTTTAAACTTTTCGTCTCCGTGGACCAATTACAAATTTATAGACTTCATTTTATTACGTTTGTTTTTTGTTAAAATAATAACTGCAAAGCACATGTTCGATAGAAATCTTTCGAGTAGGCGTAGATAGGTGTTAACGTATTTGCGTTAACACGGGAATCCCAAAGCGAGAGAAAACAAGATCAATACAATCCTCCTGGTGTACTTTCGCGCATGACAAAATTTATTTTACGAATTTCTTAAGGTTATGAAAGAAACCCGTGCTAGAAAACCGTGTTATACCGAACGCGACAAGTAAACAACGCAGTAGTTCTACGTAAATGCGGAACAATGTTCGAAGGTGCCATAGCGGCGTTCCTGAATAGACTTTTGGGCAAATATGTCGAGGATTTAGACACCGAACAGTTTAATGTTGGTATCTTTTCCGGTGATACGTGTCTCATCGATCTTAAATTAAAACCCGAGGCTTTGGTAAGCGAATTTATAATAATTCCCTCAAATTTAATTAAATAAATAGACAGACTCGTCCTAATAATTTATGGTTTGCAGTATCAGCTTGGTCTACCCATCAGAGTAGAAGTAGGATTAATAGGAAAGATAGTTTTAAAGATACCATGGTCCGGATTATTTTCTCAACCCATTATAGTTTGCATAGAGGTAGGAAATTTGTTACTTTTAAAATTACTTACTGTCAAGCATTGCGATGACTTGTCGTTGGTACGTAATATTTAAATTTTTGCTTTTAAGGATGTATATATAGTAGCAGTACCTGCTGCTTATGGCACTTATAATGCAGAAGTACAAAAGAAGTTGACGAGAGCGGAGAAGAAAAAGATATTGGAAGATTTAAAAGAAGATGACACGTATAGAACAGGTGGTTTACAGAGTAAAAATTGAAACATTTATCGCAATGGCTTTGTTCATAAATCTCTGTATTTCGCTAACAGGATATCTCTGTAAATTTTGATAAAAATAGTAGAAAAATTACAGAGATATCCTGTTAGTGTGCACTGAATTCAATGAAGTATGGCACATGCAGGACAATGTACAATATAGGTCATATATGCTTCATATTGCAATCATTAATATTTACAATTGTTTTCAGAATTATTCGATAATCTATTGGCATCTGTGACAAAGAATTTTCAGATATCTATAAATAATGTACATATTAGGTACGAAGAGAAGTTAAATGAATCTTTATGCGCTTGTGGCATCTGCATACAAAGTATATCTGTGATGACCACGAACAGGTAGCTATCTCTTTTGTCTATTTGTTTAAATTACATTTTCTTCGTTGATATTAAACTTAAACAAATTTTAGTAAATGGAAACCTGGTGTCTGTGCAAGTAACACGAGCACGATTTACCAATTAGTACGGGCAGAATCTCTGAGTATATATATGGATCATGACACAGAATCTTCTCTTCCATACAATAATCACGAGTGGGACATATCTAGTTTTTTAGAATGGAAGGATATAATGCACAGATCTCTGCAAACTTTTGGCATGAAGAACAAGGAATTTCAATTTCGTAAGTGTATGAACTTGTGTTTCTCTTTAATTCGAATATAATGTAACTGTAGTGTTTGGAAAAATTAACAATACTAACTGTTTTCTAGTTCTAAAGCCTTTCACGGCAAAGATAAAAATAATCATACATAAAGGAAACGAGGCGCAGATGTCTCGTATGTTGGTCGACATTGTTCTTCACGATGTAGCGATGCAAGTTTCCGAAACGCAATACATTACGTTTTGCCGCCTCTATGATTCATTATTACGTGCAATTATTAATAGGTCCGTAAATTATTTATAATATTTTTTTAGATAAAATACAATTTTGTTTACTGCGATTAATAAATATTATTTTAGACCCTATGTTAAATATCGCCCGAACGAAACTGTGAAGAAATGCCCATCGGCTTGGTGGAAGTATGTCTATAATGCAGTTTTAGAGTATAACATAAAACCCTACACTTGGGCAAGAGTGATCGAACACAGAAAGAATTATAGGAAGTACAAGGAGACATGTCTGCAGAGTTTGCTTCGGCCGAATGACACGGAATTGAAGCTAGATTTACAAAAATACGAAGATTGTTTAACAATATTGAATATAGTGATTGCCCGAGAACATGCTAGACAGGAATTGAAAAATAAAACCATAGAAGAAGAATGCCAAAATGTGAATGCTGGTATTTCTATGCAAAAGATCGCGGAAAATACATCTTTAACTGGAGAAGAACAACATACAAATATTGAGAATGACAAGACACAAAAAGTTCGAAAGTTGTCTCATCAAAGTATTAATAGCGCATCAGGAAGGAAGATAAAATTGGAAAAATTACCGCAACCGATCGGTACAATCTTGAAAGCTTAGACAATAATACAAACCAAATAGATTCATTAAGAATAGTAAATGTAATTTTTTATACTTTGTTTCAGATTATAAATTCAATTTCACCCTAGCCAATTCTTGTTTAAGTCTTCTAAATAATGACAAAGAAATTCTCGTTATAACTATAACTCAATTTCTGACAAGCATTGAAATACAGTCTGTACTCTCTGCTTTTAAAGTATCTGCTCGAGCTGAGAGTTTCGTAGTCGAGGGTGTTTCCTTGGAAGGTGATCTAGTACCTTTAATCACAGTGGATAATGTTTTAACAGGTATAACGATAATAATTTTCAGAAATTTTCTGCACTGTGTATCTTATTATGATTTGTTTACTTAGGAAATGTATCGACCAATTTCTTGGCAGTGGACTTTGAGAGAAATGGAGAAAATGTGGATCCGACTTTTGATGTGTCCATAACACTGGAATCGATCGAAGTGACTTATTATCATGTAATAACAATATAATGTACAAATGTATGTGTATATATAGGTGCATTGTTATTGTAATTATCTTTTATTATATTTCAGCATGCCACGATGGAGATAATTCAGTTCTTTAAATTGAACGATGCGAATATTCAAACCACAGTTCTGTGGGCTTACAAATTGTACGAATACATAAAAGGAAACTTCTTGGTTCTGGTTGACAATATCGTTTCTCAGACGCTTCGGATTAGTTTCAAGATAGATATCAAAGGGCCGTACATTATATTTCCTGAACATGGATCGATACAGAAGTGCGTTTGATACGTGACATTTATAAATGCATAATTGTGGTTGGTCTTTATCATAACACAAAGGGATTTTAGAGGCGGGCATATACTTGTCATGGATTTTGGTGATGTGAGTGTGTCTAACGAACTTCAAGCGACGAACTTACAACTTGAAGACGCGACGCTCATGGAATTAGAAGAATTACTGTATGATAGAATACACCTTGAATTTTCTGGGGCACAAGTTTTATTTTGTCATTCGGGTACGCATTATTATCTCTATGTACTCTTTGTACAAGCTGATACTTCTGTGTTTAATATCCCTTATTATACTACAGGAGATGATTGGAGATCTGCTAGGAAAAGAAAAGATTCCGAATTTCATTTTATACCAAAGATACAGGCAAACACAACTATATCATACAACATAAGACCGGAATACCATCAGTTGCCAAGGTATTTTCTAATTTTCAGCTAACATTAAATCAGATTTAATCTAATTTGTCTCCCAATATTTTAGGACCAAAGTGAACGTTTCAATTTCGAGTATAAAGTTCAATTTATCAGAAAATAAGATACAGATGATCGTTCATTTCCTGAATGTATTATTGTTGACGTATCAAAAGAATGTTGAAAAATATGACAATGATTTGAAACTACACGATTCTAAGAAAAGTTGGAACAAGACCATCGTAACGATGAAAGAACTGAAAACTGTGCAGCGCAGTGTATGTCTGTTATCGGTCATAACGTTGCAGAATAAATTTACGCACGTTACGAAGGAACTTTTGACGAACAATGTGCAGAAACAAAAACTCGATAGGTAACGAAGTAAGACTAAATATTAACGCATAAGATATATTTTTTTAATATTTTGCTGAGTCACGAACTATTCAGTTAGTCGCATACAAAACAGTTGACAATTATTTTACGCTATAGGAGCGTTGTGTCTTCCGAGGTCAGTGAAGAAGATTTGGAATTACTCTCGAAGACTATCAATTTGTCTGGATTCGACGATAACATTTCCCCATGTAACCATATCAATCTGTTATTAAGATTTGCTATTGGAGAGGTGCTACATACACGTACTTTGTTATAAAGTACATTCACAGTATTCTAATAATATTTTCAAACTTCCAGTTATCAGTCCACTTGATAACGATAAATCACGGAAGGGAAGAGCCTTATTTAAACTTACGGTTGCACGCATTGTATCTTGAAACTGCGTTAATGCAGTATGGGCCTGCTATACAATTTGGCGTGGGGTCTGTTCTTTTGGTGGACAAAACAAACGCCGGTGTAACGGGATCATATTTGGAATTAATATCTACCGAGGAACCCCATGAAGTTTTTGTTGTATCATACCGTAAGGTACTCTACAGATCACTTAGAATTATTGTCCATTGCGTAAAATATATCTAAGCGTGGAATTTCTTAGGTGAAATCGACTTGTCCCGATTTTAAATCCCATTTTAAAAGCATCGAGCGATCCCTCATCATGAACATACTGAACGTCAATGTAAATCTTCACAGACCCGCTCTGTTGAAAATAAAAGAATATTGGTACAATTTGGCCAAGTAAGTTATTCTTATCCTTAACAAAGATGAATTGTTTCGCTCATAAGTACTATTTTTTCCAGCACTCTCGAAGACAATGATATCATTGGTTTCGCTGGGAAGTTATTCCATAGCATCGTGCAGTGGAAAGCAAAAGAGGACGATCCACCCATTCCTCCTGGTACGACATATGATAAAATTATTGTAAATTTCGTTTATCGTCAAATGTTTCTACTCTATCCTCTCTCAGGTGCAATTAAACTGAATTATTCTGCAAGGCTTAACGCGCTCGTTCTAAAATTTTGCGACAAAGACCTGGATTTGTTGGAAATTCAAATCTTGGGGCTGGAGAACGATTGCATTTACAATGCTAACGAAAGAATGGTTTTGCGTGCGCATCTTAGACATTTGTCCGTGGAAGATTTGAACGAGGAGACTCTTTATTCGAAAGTAAGCTTTTTTAACTATTTCTGTTGTATTTTTAACACTTTAACGACCGATCACGCAACATGTGTGTGATGCTACCGCCGAAGGTTGTTGGGCCAGTACCACACTCTTTGTGTGATAATTTATGAATGTGAACAAGCGTGGATATTACTATTGGCTTCGTATTTCATCGCCACGTCTTTGATTTTAGGTAATTATTGGCAAATTTTTAATTTTTGATTTTAAACTACAGTGGTGTACCACGTAAATTATGGAGCAAATATCGCCGGTCGACGTTGGTATAGTACGCTAAGCTGCCGTATAAGCGCTAGTGTCGCGCGCGTTTTCTAGTTCAAATTACCATGATTTTTTAATTAAATTAGGAACTGCGTGGATTAAAACTACTAATGATGCCTACTACATCATCGCGTCGTTCGTTCCAATCCAGTGGAAAGATTAACTGGAGGAATAAAACATCAATTAGTTCAAATATCGGCAATAAAAAAGGGTGTACGAAGGGATTGCCATGTTTTCTATGCAAATAAAATTAGAAAACCTACATATTTTATGTGCAAGACATGTAAAATACCATTACATGTAGGCGATTGCTTTAATAATTATCATACAAAGGAAAAATATTAAATTTGTCGTTAAATTGTTGTTGTTTTTTTGTTTTATGTTAACTTTTTCGTGAATTCAATAAAGTTCTTTAAAATTAATTCTTCAAAAATACTGCCGGCCCCTGGCGACGTTTGACTGCGTAGACGGGCGGTCGTTAAAGTGTTAATGTAATATGCGTACTGAACTTGCTATGTTCTGTTACAAGCTGTTGACTACGGACGAGGATAAAGTTCTTGATCTAAAGTACGTAAGGCATATGCCAAGACTGTATACGTGTTCTGACATCGACACGAGTCAGGACGATGTAATGTCGGATGGAACATTCAAGCTTTCTATCGGGAGAATCAATTGCGTACTTATTTCTAAAATACTGCACGATTTAAAGGTACGAACTTCACATATGTTCTACTAATATTTTAAGAGTATCATAATCACGAATTCTATGTATTTGCGCAGCATTTCTTAACACCGTTCACTTCAACGTATTGTTTGTGGTTAAAAAATTATGTAATCAACAAGCTGATAAGTGGTATCAAGCAGTTTAAAAGAAGCGCGACAAAGCTACATATTTTTATTGACATTCAAGGCCCGATACTTCTTCTGCCTCAGTGGAAGGATGTTTCGAGCAGTCTCCTAGTATTAAACACAGGTCCTGATTATTGAAAACTATGTATGATCAATAATTATCTGTAAAAAGCATAAACATAAACATTGACGCTTGCGTTGTGACTTTCAGGTGTACTGTCGGTTGAAAATTTTTTCAAAAAGATCGATCAATCCGTTCAAAATATCAAAACACCTAATAACGACACGTATCAATTGATAATTGATAATATTTTGGTGAAATTGAAGAACATGACTATATCTAGAGCGATTATGACATTGAGCCGCGACCTGATAATTCAAGTAAAATTTAATACTTTTTAAATATGCAAATATATTAAATCAATAAATTAAATCATGTTAAATTTCTGCTCGCAGGAACCCATGGTCGAGCCCGTGCATATTCACTTTGATATCAAGAGAAAAACCGAGTATCGTCGCGCGATGGAATTTCAAATATATGGTTTATTCAATATACAAGGCTCCATAGACACGATATACATTAATCTAAGCCAGAGAGATTTGAAATCTATTATATTAGTGTGGAAAGATAACATTTCAAAAATTATACCGTTTGAAGATTCATATGAAAATGAGCCGCATTCTACCATGGCTAGTCAATCCAAGAAATCTGATCAAGAAGACGAGATGGTGAAAAAATTGGAAGATTTTCTCACTCATAATGAGAATTCTGTCTGCGAAATTAATTCGAAGCTAACTATGGATGGATTTCAACTGAACTTGTTTTTAGATCCAGAAGAGGTATACGCGGAACTTAATTTCGGTTTTTTCAGTTTTTATTAACCATTTAAATCATTTGTTTCAATTTTAGGTACTGAGTTCTCCGGTTCGTGACTTGAATCGTGGTTTATGCAGGCTAATATTTGGAGAGATGATCGTTACGTACGCGTTCTACAGTGATAAGAGTTTGAAGATGAAACTGTCTCTTCAAAGCTGCATGTTGCAAGACACCCGGAAAGATTCCCATGTCATGAGAACGTCAGTATTTATAAATATATTTTGTTCTTCATACTTTTAATGTAACTGTTAATACTAATATACTAATTCGAATTGAAGGATAATTCAGTCGCCTGCGAAACTAATAGGGGTACATCCTGAATCCTGTATATCCGTATCGATGTCGCCTATCGTTGACATCGCGTACACTTGTGCCCCGGCTGGAGAGAAATGTTTGGACGCATTGATTCAAGAATTTCGAATAAATCTGTCCGTGCCATTCGTAATGCATTTAATACGATACATCACGGACTCTTTTCCAAGCGAACAGGTCGATGAAGGAATCATCAATCATGGCTACGAAAGCAACAATCAAACAGTAGTAAGTGATTGGCTCTTGCATCGACTGAAATTCATTTTACTTTCTTATTCAAGTATATTGCGACTACTTTGAGCGTTCCGTGTATCCATTTGGTAACGTTGAATATGTTTTTCAAAATATATTTATTTTAAATCAAGAGCAGGGACATTACCAGTGCAGAAAAAGATAAATTAAAATACGCACAATATTTTAAGGAGGAACCAGGTATTTACGCACATTTAAATGCCGTTGCTTTCGTTGTTCTTTTTTTCAATTATACACGGTGTAACAGTTAAACAATTAGAAGGCCATGGAATTGACATTTGTAATGCATTTATATAATTATGCATGTACACTGTGGTTTATCTTTGCAATCGTTGAGAGATTATATTACCATGGAGTTGAACGGAGCTATTTTGTATGATTATATAGATGCCTCTGTATCCGTGAGGATACACAAACCAGAGATTTTATTCTTCGGAGATCTGAAAGCAAGCAACGCACATGTGATTTTATTGCAAGCGGAGGTGACGATCGAAAGCAGCAGGCACAGCTGTTCGTCGTCGATTGTCTGCACTTTTACCGACGTACGTGCTAAATCAAAAAGACAGGGGAATTATTCGAAACATACTTCGTATTGGTTGCTAAGTCCTTGCGACATAGAAATTTGCAGAAAAGAAGAAGCGCCTGAATGTAACGTCCAATACATCGTCGCTGTGAACACTATCAATGTTCACCTAACCGCAGACATCGTACGCACATTTATCGATGTAAGTGCTTTTTTAAATTTATGGTAAGAGATGTTTCGTTTACTGGAGAATAATACTTATATTGTTTGCAGATACTGAACGAAATTACAAGTTTTGGTGGTAATCTAAAAATAGAAGAAAAATTTCAAAGTCAAGACGCAAACATTCACACTAACTTGTGGACGCCAAAGAAAATATCAAATGTGCCGTATAAGAAGCTTGCCGATGGTAAGTGTTTTAATAGTTCAGTTTCGTTTAATTTAAATATTCACCTAACTGTAAAACTTACTAACTAACTGGCAAACTAACTAACTAACTGGCAAACTAAATCATATTTTACAGATGATTCGAATCTAGTATGCGAATACAGCGAGCAAGTGGTGACTTTTACTTTAAAACCGCTGGTAGTTCGGTTGTTATTAGAGATCGAATACTCGACGGAAAGGCTTCCTGTTATAAAAATAGAGAGTATAGTCACAGCCTCGGTAAACGATTGGTTTAATGATTTCAATTTTGAATCCAGTATAAAATTGAATGCATTCTGTTACAATGCTGATTACAAAAGCTGGGAACCTTTGATCGATTTGTGTTCGGAGGATGATAGTAACTACAGATCGTGGGAATTAATGTTGAAAGTAAATATTCTCTCGCGTGAAGTTAATATTATCCTGTCTACATATTTGTCTTTAACCAACTGTTATTTTGATTATATATTCAGATGCGTCACGGTGAAGCTTTTATGATAAATTCTAGTTGGACCGATCCATATCAGCAGATAAAACTGGATGCATCGAATACCAAGAAGAGAAGTCTTAGAAGCACCGATCAAGACGTTACTGACATGGTTTTTATAACTCCGGATCATGCAGCTGTACCAAAGCCAAACGGTACCTCGAATTACGATTGTTTGATTAACTATAATTCATAAATATATAAGTAAAATAAGCACAAGTGTTTCAGAGACAGAATTATATTCGACGTACGAGGAAGATTCTGACACGGATGATGATGAAAGGCAGAGAAAATTAACGAGAACGTCTAATTATTTATTTAACAATAATAGTAGCGAAGAAGAAGATTCTGAAAGCGATGATTCTAGCACGAACGAAGACGAAGGACTTGAATTAACACCGGAATGCAACGTAGATTCTTGTAAGGACATTATAAATTTCCTTAAAAATCTCAATGTATTTTGTATTTCGTTAATGCAACAAATTTTCATTTACAGTTGGTCCCCTTGGCCGGGAATCGATCAAATCAAACGATTTGGCAGTTTACATCACCGTGTCCGCGGAAGAGAAACTCAACGTTATCATTACTCCGAATTTAATCGCTGTAACGGATATTCTTCTGAACGCATTTCAGCAAGCTACCAGCGGAATACCAATTATACTTACTAGTATACAAAAATTGAATCTACAAAATTATATTGGCCACGAAAGTCGCATAGAGCTTCTCGCTGCGGAAGACGTTAGTATATACACTTCGACTAATATACTATTAAATATTAAACACATTGACGATACCAGGCTAAAGAATCTGAAAAACATCAATCGGTTAGAAAGTTACACAAAGACTACTCGAAACGCTTGACGCCAATGCGTTAAGAATGTATTTCCAGAAATGATTTTGTTTTTGTTCCGTTACAGGAAGATAGCAAAAATGCTACTCGCGTTATAGCGAGTCAAGAGTTTCATGATACCGATTCACCGCCTAGTATTCCGAGTAGTCCGGAACCAGAGGCCCAATCGGCCCCCGGTAGCCCCCAGTGGAGTGAAAACGAAATGGATTTTATAGATCCAGACGTAAATTTACAGAATTGTTCGATGCCAATCGGGGAAATGTTTCAAGATGATTCATCGATCAGAATATATAAGACAATCACCGGAGAAGTATTACGTATTGTTTTCCAAGGTATTGTTTCATTCTTTTACATACATATACAAATATATTGAAAAGCAATTTTTTTTTTTAAATTACTCATATCCATAGGGTTTGACGATGTATTAGTATACTGTCCTAAAAGAAAAGGTTGCAATCTAATTCCGCTTCGACCTATCAGGCACGAGATTCGCTATCACTTAGTTATAGAAGCTACGATTGATAATTATTTGCATCGTACGATTACTGTGCGATCCCCTTTACAGGTAAAATATTTAATACTTGTCCGTTCGTTTTGTTATATTTTACAATGGTGCTTTCATTTCAGTTTCGAAACGAAACTTCTTATGCTCTGGGTCTTTATTATAAGAAATCATTGTTGGATAAGCTGGGACTCACGTGTATCGGGAAGTTTACAAATCCCTTTGACGACAACATTCGAATGACAATCATTGAACCTGACTCTACTTACAGTATTCCTTTATACATAGCCTATCACTTCCCTATACATATACTGCCTGCTTATTTAGAGTAAGTGGAAGCCTAGAAACTATGTAACTTTATTGAATCCTATGTTTAAACAGAACCATTTGTCGTAGAAAGTACCAAGTCAGCGAAGAAGGGATTTTTTGGAAAGAATTAAGCGCAACGATGAATCTAGCTAAGGATATCTGTTGCAAAATGAAAGAAGATGAAAGTAATTCTGTGTTCTGTGTAAAAGTCTCTTGCAACGAAATTCCATTGGCCGTAAGACCAAGTTGTCAAGTACCGAACTACTTGATAAGCATTTACTCGCCTCTTATTTTCAACAATCAGCTACCATTCGTTATTGATGTTAACATACCTATTATTAACTACGAATTGAAAATTGAGCCAGGGGAGAAGATTAATATGCATTCATTGAACTGTAACAACGATATTCAATTTGTCTTTAAGGTATGTACGTTGATGTAACAAACTATCGACTTGAATCGAGTTTTGATAATTATTCATAGATTCCAAATTATTTGGGCGCGTACTGGACTGGTACATCAAAACTGAACACGAACTTGGAAAGGAAATTCATTTTAATGACTGCGGACAGCGAGTCAGATTTAACAAAGCCGTTCCTATTATGTATAGAACTGTGTAAAATTACAAGTTGGCACATCGTTATTCAGTCTCAGTATTGGATGATAAATAAATCTGGACTGCCTTTGTTCATTCAGGTAAGTTGCTCGATTTCAATGTGGATATTAATACGCTTAACAATTTACTATTCTTAGGAGTGTCATTCTCATGCAATCAATGAGTTACCGGAAGAAGAACTAATAGTATTCTCTCAGAAAAATAACAAAAAGGGCACGGTTCGATTAAGAGCTCATCAATCCGAATGGTCTTTGCCATTTGGGCTGGAAGGGATCACTTCGATGTCTTTGATCGTGTGCAAAGACACAGAACGCGGACGGAAATACCAAATTTTAACAGAAATCGAAAGTTCCCGTCTTTCGCCCAATTTCACCAAGATCATAACGTTCCTACCTTATTTCTACATCAGTAATAAACTGAAAAGAACTTTGAGGTTCATGGAAGAAAACGATCAAGCGGACTTGTGGAACGACCTTCTATCTGGACAGAGCATGCCGTTTTGGCCAGTCACGGAATCAATGAGAATGCGAATAAAATGGAGGAACAGTCAACTGGTGTCTCAACACTTCAACATTACTCATTCGGGGAAAACAATATTGAGAATGGATAACGGCGTAAGTGATCGAGACGTTTTTAGTTAAAATAAAAATTCGAAATTATGGTAAGAGAATTTGTTAATTTCTAGTCGGCAGTCAGGGTAGAAATCGAAGGTGGCATCAATTCCCCGTTTTATGTTACGTTCCAAAAGTGTATGCCTGGCGATATACCCGTAAGAATAGATAATTTTTGTGACGATCTATTTTTAAAGATCAGTCAACACAATTTAGGACAAGTAGCCCTTATTAATCCCTTTCAAAGTCTGTTGTACACTTGGGACGATCCTACGAAGCCCAGGGAGCTTATTTGGAATGTATATAACAATAAAAAAACTGGATACAGCGCAAAATTCGAGAAGGTACAGACGTATATCATCATCCTTACATTACTGTTGTACCATGTGTCCACGAGAAGAAGGCACATAGTACCAACACAATTATTTTACTTTCAGGACGGATACGGACAAGAGGTTGTACCCCTTGTGATCGTCGATAAATGTAACGGCGTACAAACTTCCACATCTTCCGTTAAACAGCTAAACAATAAATCAGCATGGCTAGAAACGAAATCTGGAAGTTTTAGCAGCAGCGAAAGCAATACGTGCGACGACGATGTAAAATCGTCCATGTTAAAACAGAAACAATCGGACGTAACGATAATTTATTGGGTGAGCTACATGGAAAGTAACCAGCGAGTCTTACTGTTCACGCAGCATGAGACGGTATTTCTAAAAGCAAAAAATATCATCGATCCTGAATCCAGTAAAAAGGAGATATTCCTTTCTTTTGCTGGTATCGGCATTAGCATCGTAAGTACACACCGATCGCTAAAGTGGGAGTAAGGACGATGCTGTTTTAACGTATCGATGGCATTGCAGGTGACAAAATCCAATGAAATTCTAAAGGAATTAGTGTACGCGAATATAACGAACTCTGCGGCTCACTGGGAACTTTACTTTGGTAGAAAATGGAAAAGTTTGTCCTTGGAACTGAGTGCTTGGATCGAAAGCAAATATGTAAATTTTTGTAAAAAGGCGCAGTTAGATAATTTAATTGATGTACGTATGTTCGTAAATTTTTAGCATAGAGCAGGATGAATGTATACATGACTTTTCAGATCGACCTTGTAAAAATGCACATGACCAAACCGTTCTTTGGAAAGCTAAGAAGAACCTATTCTCCAGGAATTTGGTTACACTGCAGAAAATCTCTATCGCTGACCTATTTGCAAGGCTATGTGCATAGAATACAGGTATAAATACGTCGTTCTTTTTACAGTATTTTCTGAGAAGTTATAAATTGTGACAACTTCTCAGAAAATATTATATTTGTTATTGCTCGGATACGTAACAAAATACTTGACATGAATTTTAGGTGGACAATCAAATTCGCAACACTATGTTTCCAGTTGTCTTGTACTCAAATTTGCAGAAAAGTGTTATCAATTACGCGGGGAGTCATAAATTGAAGCATTGTATAGAATTTGCGTGCTTGAAACAGAAGAAGTGGAATTATAATGTTTACAAGTGCGTGATCATTATCATATCTATTTGTATCAATGTTCGCTATATTATTTATTATAATCGTCGAACATATTTTTGCAGAGGCATTTGTGTTATAATCAGAGAATTTGACTTGAATCTACAGGAAGGTTTCCTTCTGTCTTTGATCAACTTGATCCCAAGGAAACCAGAAACTAAATATTCTATTGCCGCAAAATTGAGAAAGGATGTTTCGAGCGTTCATATTTTGCCTTCCAACAAAAGTAATTATGTATGTTCGATTATAATTATTCTATTACTCGTACTAAGAAATTCTTCATAGATTGATAGCAACATACTTGATTGTAGAATTCAACTGTTAAGAGGAAGAATGTGATAGAAGATATGTATATTTCTCCAATCTTAATACGCTTAATATTGTTGGCTGATACAGAGAGACCTAATATTTATAATATCAGTGATATCGCAGATTACAAGAATATCGTAAAATTTATTTTTGAGTACTCTGAAAAGGGAGGATCTGAGAAGCATGCTGAATTCAGGTTCTGAAGTATACGATAATATATTTAGAGTTAATGCGCTTGTCATGTACGAACTTCGTTTTTTCGTATTTTAGGCTCCCTTGTTATCAAAGAAGTTTTATCACTGTTGACAATACGGAACTTCTGTTGGATCTTTCGCGATCTTACGAGGCTCAAATTATTCAGCAATTTCAGGTTTTAATTCGCTCGACCACCGTCTTGGGGAACCAATACGGTTATAATTTTAAATCGCCCGGAGACAACTTTTACGAGTCTAACACTGTAGGTGAAAATTGAATCGAATAATGTTTCACTGATATTTAAAAATCTTATTTTCCAACATCCTTTGCAGTTGATCTTGTGCGGAGATGAAATAGCGGAGAAACTGAGCCACGAGGTGGCATGTCAATTGGGGTACGCTACCGCGGATACTATACAAAATTCGATATTTAATTTTGATTTCGAACTACGTACAATTCCATCTAAGGTATATCGAAAATCCGAAAAACACAATAATTCCATTTTCCTGATGATCTTAAATGACAATAAAAAATTTGATTCCAGGTAAAAGAGCCATGCTTTCAAAATAAGGATGTACCTCCTTCGAATCCTTTGATTCGTACCTCGTTTTCTACAGAAATCGAACTAGAAACATGCAGCTTGGTAACTGCATTTATAAATAGTAAGTGCAGAATGTTTGCTATCGAAGACAACGATAACAAAGGTTCTTACTCGATGTTATAATTTTTAGGTATCCATCAAGAAGAGTTGAAGTATTTCTTCAAAACATTGGGAAAGAAGACATCAATATTTTTTAATAATGAGAGTTCGTTACTGAAAGATTCGAAAATGATACCAGATATCATAAAAAGGTACTAATCGAAATAACGTTGCGTGTAATTTAACACGTTTGTACTGAATCGTATGTTTCAGGGCACAAGAAATAGGTTATAAGTTTATATCCCGGATACGCTTACCACGCTATATCAATCCATACAAGGTAAAGCGCATTAAAATTTTTAATAAGTAATATTAAATTAAGATGTGTTCTTTTGTTAGGGAATTGAGATATTCTCGGCGCATAAAGCAAAAGGAATGCACTTCCTAAGTATAATAAACAAGAATCCCTGTGTCGAAATGGATACATATTGGGCGCATGCTGCTCTTTCTAACGATGGAAAACATATAGCTCTTGTGTCCTTAGAGTAAGTACACACGAATATAACAGAACGTTTGATTTGTCTATGATAATACGCTTTTATTAATTCGACGTCTTGTTTAGACGATTGTATTTCATTGAAAAAGGATGTACATGGGGATCTTTAAATGTAAAGTGGACTTTAGAAACTCATCAGTTGCTGTCACCCTCGACCGTAGTTAACAATAAACTTATTCTACATGTGAACAAGGTATTTACTTTTGTATATCTATTATAAAATCTAACATGCACGTATGTACGTAAAGCATAATGAATTGATCTTACCCACAGAATGGAGGTGACGCTTTGTCGCCCGTTGCAGACTGGTATTTGGAAAGCGAAGCGACGGATATTCTGGAGTGGCTATGCCAGAAAATAAATATAGCCATGATCCTGAATATGGAGAACAGTATATGTTCAAAGCAAGTTGTATAATTGGAATCCAAACTATAAAAGAAAAAAAAAAGATCATTGTATATTTAATCAGGCACAATAAATTTCTCTGACGAACGCAGTACTTTTTCATTTATATTGAAAATCAATACCTAAAAAGCAACATCGTTTCCTACAAATACAATTGTTTCATTTTCAACTTTCGTATAGTTCAGAAATCTTCTACGCCATCACAAGTTTAAGATACTCAAGTATATCATACTCTCACAATAGTTTGTTCTCTTCCCTTAAATCGCTATTATCAAGATTTGTTTTTCAGAGAGTTAGACATATATCTGCATATTATATAGTCATTTGGATAAAGTACGTCTAGTTTATTTCATAATTTATTTACAAAAAGTCTTAGTAAATTACACTTACAGGCATCTCCACTCGAACTAAAGTAAATAATTTAAGAACTACACGTATTTAGATATCTATAGAGTAGGATACTTTGGGGTCAGGGAGAAGCTGGGATCAGGGAAAGTGTTCTGTTTAACTTATTTACCTCATCCTTTGTGTTTTTTTTTTCTTTTTTTTTTTTTTCATTTTCCTTCGTCCTCTTCGCCAAATTATCCTCGAACAATGTCGAATCTGATCGTTTTGTTTCTTTTTTTTTTCTTTTTATACATACGCTACCCTCGTGGGAACTGAAACACCGTTCGTTCGTTTTATTCTGTTTCTATGAAATGAAAAAGGAAGTACCGGCATGGAAGGTGGTGTGAATGCAAAATGTCCGTCGATCCAACTGACGTTAAAAATGAGGGTGGTTTTCTGTTTTCTCTTTCCATTTTCGTTACATTAGGTAAATGTATATGTAAGAAACGTCGAAATATGTGCAAAAGCTGACAATGGGGGGCGGGGGGATAGTACTTGTTAGTTTCTTTTTTACGATACATATGCGCTTTAAAAAGCATAAAGTCTTGAGATTATAAATACATCCCATTAGAATCGTTTAATGGCACGATCGAGAGCTTAAGATTTAAAAATTCCGTGTTTTTTGTTTTTTTTCTTCTTTTTACCCGTCGCTTATATTTCATTTCTTACATCACCGAAAAAACATTCTCTACTTTGTTTTACTTTCTTTCCGTTCCTCTGAACCGTTATTTATCGCTAACGTTACTACTCGTCGACACCCCCCCCTCTTATTACGTACTTTTACGCTACGTGTTCAAATTTGATCGCAACGGCATTCGGTTACGTTTATCCCGAAACAAAACAAAGTCTGCGATTAAACATTATCTATTTTTTTTTAGAGATCTCCCGTAACTCCGGAGAATAGCAAGAACGAAATCAGAAATTAAAAAATAAAAACAAATATCTACCAAAAACAAAATACGTGAAATATTTTAGATAAACTTTCTTTTTTACCTTAAAGCGTGACCACACTCGCTGTTCAAACTTTCCTCCTTCTTTTTACCGTCGCTTACGTTTTTCGTCTCTCAATCACTCTCTCTCGTAAGCTCGTATAATGTGTATATTAGCGGTTTGTTTATTTCACAGACACTATTCCCCACCCCTTTTTCTACCAGACCCCCATCCTTCGTGCACGCAACCGAGGCATTCGTTCCTTCATTTACCTCTTGTTCGATACACACGCAAAATTTTCACGCACGCGGACGGGTCGCCGCGCGCGCATAAAACTGCATGTGTTCCTTTCTGTTTTGTCCTCGTTATTCGCTTCCCTTTATCCTTCCTCTCTTTTTCACTCACTCTCTCTCTCTCTCTCTCTCTCTCGTTCTGCATTCATACTTGACGAGGCGAATCTGTAAGTTTGTCCTTAACCTGTATCTTTTTTTAACAGGGTAAACAACGCCATGCCGGTCCCTGGGGACCGGCACTAAACTTTCCGTTTAGGCGGCGTCGGTCCCTGGGGACCAACAGTGTCAAATTTAAAAAAAAAATAATACCTTATAGCAATTTACATAAATTCCAAAACAATGTGTTTAGACATTTTTTTTTTCAATGGACTTTATTGAAACATTTTAAACAAAAATGTAATTTCCTGCTGGTTAACTTTTGTTCAAAAAACAGACGCATTTTTCTATATTTACACGCCGCCTAAATGGAAAGCGAAACAAAACTGGCTCGGGGCGTCTAACGCGTTCACAACGGGGGGGCCGTGATTCTTGTGCCTTACCGTGGGCGCAGCTCTATTTTATTTGTACTTTCTTCCATCGGGCGTCGCTGATTCGAACTCGATCGCATGATGTCGTTTATCCGACCAGTGTATCTCTTTTGTTAATATACAAAAAAGAACAAACAAAAATAAAAAAACAATCATTTTATAGAAACATATTAGGCTCGGCGAGAAACGTACGCAAACGATGTAGAGAATGTTGTGAAAAATTATCTGAACAATATTGGGTGCTGTGAAAAAGTCAAACGCTACGACGTTTTGCGTTTTTTTCTTCTTTTTATATAAAAATTAACCGCCTTTTGTTATAAAATAAATAATTTTCTTTAATGCAATGAATTAAATAAATCTGTCGATTACAGTAATAAATTTTTTAATTGGTACGAATAGTATTAATATATATACGAGTATATATATTTAGATGGTAACTATTCAGATTCGAGCAATCGCCTAGATTCGGTCCATTTACAAACTTTTTCCTAATTTTATTAACAAAAAGACAGATAAATTTAGATCAGATCCGTTTGTATCACCAGTGGTACAAACCGCCCGACAGAACGATCGTGTTATGTACCACCAGTGGCGCACGCGACCCGTTGGGACGGTCGTTCGTGTGTACCACCGGCGATACACACCCGGCGTGAACGCGTTAACGTTGTGAACTTTCTATATTCGTCTTTGCCTTTTTTCTTCTCTCATTTTCTTGCTCGCCCTTGAAATAATCATTCGCGTATATACATACCCTTTCTACCATTCACACGCCATTCGTAACATACGCATTCTCTCCGGCAGAAGGATCACGCTATTTTTTAATTGTTCTCTTCTCAGCTTCGGTTTTTGTTTTCTTCCACCGTTCTTCGATGCTCTCGTTCGTTCTTTCACGCTTCGACTCTCTTTCATCTCTCGCTCGCTCGTGATCATCGATCTCTCCATCCTTTTCTAATAATGTCTTTCTTCAGTTCTAGTTTCTGCCTGTGCTTCTAAAGTCGAGACTTTCGGTGGCCTGCTGCATTTCTATTACAAGAGCGTAGTCAGGTCGGGACAAACGGGGGGCACGGTAACCCCCCCCATCCTAATTACATACGAATAAATAAATTTTACATTCGATTTTCCTTTGAAAATAAACAACCGAAAGGTGCAACGCGATTGTAGCATCGAAAGATAACGAGAATCACAAGCGTTCAATACAATGTCGATTATTGTATAAATATTGTAATATTATATTAAAAAATAAGTAATTAGTAATTAAGTTTTTAGTCTAGCACATTTGCCCCTTCCTAGACAAAAATTCTGACTACGCCTTTGTTCTCTTATATTTTGTTTTTTTTTATCGCAAGGTAAACCACCGTGGGGCGTTCGCGCCGCATTATGTATTTTGTATTCCTTTCGTATCTTCATTTCTTTTTTTTTTCTTCCCCCTCGTTTTGTTACTTCTCACGCGCGGCGCGGCGCAGTTCGAATAAGATTCAATGGAAGTGTGTGTGTGTGTAGTGTGTGTGTGTGTACGTGTATGTGTGTTATCTACAAAATATCTTAATTACTCGCTAATTACAGCACAAAACATGCAAATATAAAAATTTGCATTATATTATATCGTTAATATTTATATACATACAGTATTCCCACTATAAATGTGCGAAAGCACATCACGTTAAATGTGAAAATTTTTATCCCCGCTACAGTATTCCCACTATAAATGCGCGAAAGCACATTATGTTAAATGTGAAAATTATAATCCCCGCTACTAGGGAAATCAACTATGGGATCAGTGAAGCGATTAATGTGACATTATAGATGTCGGACGCCGAATAGTCTGACAAGATTCAGTATTGAATATTCGTGCGAAACAACGCTAAGAAAAAAAGCAAAACTACTGTATTTTTGAATAAAATTTTTATAATGTATCTGTGACAATTTCCATGATTAAAATGAGACCGAACACTGCATAATTTAGATAATATTTAAACGTACATAGTACATTCTAATACAATAAAGCCAAAAGTGTTCTTGTTTTTATTTATATTTATCGTAAATTCTAATATAATAAAGCCAAAAGTGTTCTTGTTTTTATTTATATTTATCGTAAATTAGAAACGAGGCTCATGGTACGAAACAACTTTATTATTTATAGAAATTTGCTATGTACATGTAAATATTATCTAAATTAAGTCGTTTTTGAACTCATTTTAATCAGGAAAATGTCTCGAATATGTTAAGAAAGAAAACTGAAAAAGTTTTTGCTTTTTCCTCGTTGTTGCCTCGCACGAATATTCGAATAGAACGAGCTCGACACTCAGTTGATCTTCGTCCTTCGCTTTCTATCTCTCTGTACGTTCCGCCGTGTGGCAAAACGCAAAGAACGTTGACTCCTTTCGATCAGTGTGCCTCTTCGGTTCCAAGTAACGTACATTTAACGTGGGAACACTGTAATCATCACTCCGATATTATCGTTTCGCATCGCACGATTTTAAGGTTCGTCAAACAGATTTTTTTTTTTGTATAGTTTTGTCTCATTCGTCATCTCTCGGTATTCTTTATACAGGGTGTCCCACTTTAATCTCCCGGGGTAAATATCTCGAAAGATACAGTGCTCCCGCGTGAAACATGCGTTTAGGGACCTCTTGAACGACGAGACACACCTCGAAGCGGGTCACGCGACGAACGATGGGTTTTCGAGACCCTTAAAAATCGGTTTACATGCTTCTTGCACATTTGATACTCATCGCGTTGCACATGTTTATCAACTCAATCGATTTCTGTTTGTTACTGGCGATCTGTCGAGGATCGACGAAGCAGTTGCACCGAAATAAACGCAATAGAAACGCCAACAAAAAATACACGTATAACAAAGTAACGAATACTTTCTCTGAGATCTATTGGGTGCCAGCTAATAAAGTAATAAATCTTGCTCGATAAAAAAAGGTAAGTTGTTGCTTAACATGAGCGAAAAAAATCTCGTTACGCTACTAGATAGTTACCTCAGAAAACAAATTTAAGGTTCATCTGTTTTTTTTGTAAATAAGCCATTTGGATGGTGTACTTTTTTAATCGCTTTGCTGATTCTGAAGCTGATTCTCCTAGTAGCGAGGACAACATTCTCACGCTTAACGCGATGTGCTTTCGCTCATTTATAGCAGGGATACTGTAGTAAAGATACGAAAAAATGTTTCGAACGAAAGTTGTACGATATCGAGGGGGACAGTTCCAGATGCCATTATTTGACCTTACGATATTCTTGAACATGTCCTTGGAGGTCAATGTTGATATTTCAAATTGAAACCTCTGTATATTCTTCTAGCTTGCATTATACGCTTTCAAAGTACTACAGATATGTATCTTTTGCATGAGCCATTCCCGAGATATGAACTTTTTAAAAACTTGATGCACCTGCGCCATTAACATTATCCAATGTACACAGCGTGAGATACATGGCTGGACTTTGTACATCATGGTTGTCTTATAAAAAGCTCTTTTGTACTTAATTTTGTGAATTAAGAGTTGCTGCAGAAAATCTTCGGACAAGCCTTAGACAAATTGGAAGTCTTCGTAATTTGCCTACTCTTTTCGTACGTAGCTGATTTCTAGTCCAGTGCTCCGTCAAGATCGATGGTCTTTTAACGTAGATAGAAGTCTTCGAAATAAATTGCCATCTCTTTCAAGGGGGGCCTCTGACAAAAAAGAATAAGTTTGGACAAAAATTTATTGGTATCGAGTGTACAACAGATGACAACAATAAAGATTCTGAAACCAGTATGTTTTCATAGAGAAATTAAGGTCACCTTGGGTATTTCAAATAAGAACACATGTTTTTCGTCTTATTATATTGTGGTGAGATGTAAAGACAAATTCAAAACGCACATTACACTACATTCGTTACTATAATATTAACATATTGCTAGATTCACAATAGTGAAAATCTTTCCATTTAAGCTTTTCGTTGAACTTTACTATCAGACGGTGGAAACATTTTTTAAACCTCGGATTGACGAATGTAAATACAGAACGTTGCTCAGAAAGCAATTGTAACCATAAAATCCTAGTCCTATGAAAAATATAGGTTTCAATTTGAAAATCTGACACTAACCTCCGTAAGCATGGTCAAGGACATCTTAAGGTCAAACAAACGACGACTGGATATGCCCCCCTTGATATCGTACAACTTTTGTCCCGTACCATTTCTTCGTATCTTCACTACCCTTTCGAGATATTTGCCTGGGGAGATTAAAATGGGACACCCTGTATATTATTATGCTGCTAATAATCGTTTGTTACTTTTCCCTTTCTCCGTCCTCTCATCTTTCCTCGACGTCTTCGTGTTTACTCCATTTCCCTCTCCCTCTATCGCTACTTCCGCCCCTCTGCATCACCATCACGATTATTTCATTCGTCGTACTTGACCATTCCTATTTTGCGTCAGTTCCACTTCCGTTTCTTTTCATTAACTATGTAAATATCTTACACTATCGATATTATTCCAATTCACGAAGGGGGGAAAGGTATATCCGACGTTATCATGTTAGTCGCGTCGAATTATACCTTAACTCGCTGCTAACACCAATAATTAACTTTCTTACTTCGAGTTTACTCGATATAAAACTACAACCACACGCTGTCATGGCGTTTATATATCGACACTTTGTTCCTTTTACACATTTTATAACCATCCCGCATTTCCATTATTTTCTCGCTGCTCTATGTGTATTATTCCCTCCCTTTCTTCCACTCTTTCTTTCTCTCCTTTTCACTCGTACGCTTTCTATACCTTTCTACGTTTCTTGCGCGCACACTTTCTTTCTCTCTCTCTCTCTCTCTCTCTCTCTCTCTCTCTCTCTCTCTCTCTCGCTACAGGGCGTTCCCGGACGAGCGATACATTGGACGGCGGTTGATTTGAAGTGTAAAAATATAATCGAAAAAAAGAAAAGTAATAATATTTTCCGTTTGAAGCTCCGTTTACAAGAAAATCAAGCTTGAAAATTCTTTCGAGTATGCACACACTAATACTAGCTCTCCGATGAAGTGCCTGTTAAAAACATTCTTTTTTTCGCTAACACTTCCATATTCATTGCCTTCTGTAACGTTTACACTCCGCCCTCCGCCATACGATTACTTTTAGTCTGTTTGTATCGGGTCTCGATTGTAACAATGTCTCGCTACAACAATCGTGAATATATCGTTGACAAGGTGAAAGCGTTAGGGGCTTGTAACTAGAGCGCAACAGCAGCAGCTGAGTATTACAGACAACAAAACAATAGATTAATCGAGTGCGATTCATTTTATGATTATCATAAATCTGGTAGTCGTAAAGGATCTGCAAAATTTAGACACAGCAGTTTTTAACAGCGTTGTTAACGATCCGAAATAAATATAATTCCCGCTTGTAACATAAAAACAAAATGCATCTCTACTAGATACTCGGTGCGGAGGAACTCGAAAAACCTGATAATTTGAGACGTTTAAGCTTTTGCAACTAGTTGCTTCAACAGTATGATAACGATCAAACAGTTTACATCATACATTTTATGGACGGATGAATCGACATTTACTCCAGATTTTGCTATCAATAGACGACACGTTCACCGGTGGTTATCCGAAGATCCACGCACGATCCAAGAAAAACACTCAAACGAAATGAAAAAGTTAATGTCTAAACAGGGATAGTCGACTCGTGCATCGTAGGATGCACCCTTGTTTATCATACGAAAATTAAGATTCTCTCGCAAAACGTACGATTATTACTAAATGAATGACATCAATGTTGATTGTGTATATATATAAATTTACCAGCAAGATCTTGATCCACTAGACACGTTGAAGAAATAGTAGAATTAGTATTTTGAAACCAAACCAGTGAGAATCTTTCACGGTTGAACGAAAGAATAATAAATGTTTCCGATCCGACAAAGCAACGAAACGTTGTGGCATCAGTCCACGATTCACTGATGAGAAGAGCGTGGTTATGTACACGTCAGCAAGGTCGACACTTTGTACAATTCATTTAATGTAACGTAACTAATAATAAACGTATTATCTACACATTGACGCGACATCTTATTTATTAATATATACATTCCTAAATCTGGGGGGAAATACGCGTGCGTATTGAAAAAAATGTTCAATCTTGAATTTTCTCGCAAACGAAGCTTCAAATGGAAAGAGTGTTACTCCTTTTTTTCGGGTTTATTTTCACACGTAGAATTCACACCCTGACCGATGGTACCACCCGTCTGGGAACACTGTATCTTTCTCTCTCTCTCTCGCTCTCGCTCTCTCTCTCTCGCCCCTTCTCTCTCTCTCGTATTCTCTAAAGAATTAGCAGCCACTATAATTATAGCTGTCTTTTCAACACCTTGGGAAAAAGGTCATCATTTTACACAAGGGAGGCTAAACAAACACGGATAAACACACCCGCGGGCCCAAAAGAAAAATGAGAATACCGTCTTAACAAAGTTACGCGCCCCTGGAACACTGGAACAACACACGAGCAACGATCGCGGCCACCTGCTGATCCAGAATTTGACTCATCACCAGGGCGAGTAGCCGGGATTCGTGTTGCAATAGTAAAGTTCTGTTGTCCGGATGCCTGGCGAGGTTCAACAGGGTGCCAGCCGCGCGTCGTAGCATGTCCAAGCTGGTACCCATCGACTCGGGATTGTCGCGCAATGCGGCCAATCCGTGCTGGTTCGCGACTCCCAGTGCGCTCGATTCTGCCTGCTCGATGAACGCCACCAACAACGCGACGCATGGTGTCTGTAGGGCAATGGTGCGCGCCACACCGCTGTCGGCCGCGGACAAGAAGTGGAGCAGATTGACACCGAACTCGCGCAGCACCTGCTCCTCGCTTCGACAAAGTAGCCTGGTCAGTACGGAGCAGAGTCTCTGGAGTCGCGAGTACGGCGGTGTGGCGACGACCAGGTCCACGTTGCACTCCGTGACGCAGAGCTTGCACAGGGCCTCCAGCGCTAGTCTCTGCGGCGACAGAGACGAGTTCGGGCCGACCGTGGGGAAAGGATCTTGACCGTGTGCAGCGGGACACACCGCCCAATGCAACAATCCGTCCAGGACCGGTCGTGATATCTCCTCCGGATGCTGACTTAGATCCATGTGACCAGCTATGTTCGCCGCCATCACCAGCACGTTTTCTCTGATGTGATGCAAGAAATCCCACCACCATTCGCTCTCGCCTTGCAAGCTGCTGCAGGAGTCCGCGAAATCCGCGTCCTCCTCCCGATCGTAGTTGCGCGTCTTTTGCGTCTTGACCGGATGCTCGTGGTGCAGCAGCAACAGTTTGCCGAGAAGGCTCAAATACGTTACGTTCTTCGCGAACTCGGCCTCGTTGCCCGGTATGAACGTGAGATTTCTTAGGATCGTGGACAGGCAAACGCAACGTCGTGCCAGGCTGTCTTGGGTTTCGGTGACGAGGTACAAACTCGCCTCGTCCCTCGAATAACTCTCGTCCTCGTAATCGCTTATTCGTCTCCTCTTCAACGTTCCCGCCGGATCTCTTATTTTTAATCTTGGTCCCTCCTTATTATCGTCGTCTTTCGTCATCGAGTCTTGCTCCTCGTTCTCCACTTTGATCACGGTTTTATCGAGCTCGACGTTGTTCGCGTTATCGTTCAATCCATTCTGCGTCGGAACGAGTTCCTCGTCGGGCTTCTGTATGTCTGCGAAGTGCTCGCCCATGTTGTTGTTCACCTTCGCCTCGGTTTCGCACTCCTTCTTGAATCCGTCGTTCTTCTTCTCGAACAACTCTCTCGTAAGATCGTTCATCTCCACCGGTTCTTTCTTGATCCTCGACAGAACGTCGCTCAAGGTCTTCGTTTTCTTTTTCTTATCCAGCTGTTTCTTTTCGCTGATCTCTTTCGGCTTTTCATCGGGCTCGATGGTCTTCTGTGAAAACTCCGGCGTCTCAAGCATACCGGCATCCGCTTTGGTTTCGTCCTTTGAGTCCGTGCACTCTACCTCTTTCTGAAGCAAGGGCGGTTTCTCGTCTCTGAGTAGACGCGCAAACGGTGCTGATGATCCTATTTCAGATTGAAAGCAGGTCACTATGTACTTGGTGGTGTTAATGTCGACTTGCCAAGGCTCGGTTTCCAGTTCGCAATCTTGATGATCCCAAGTCCTCCGAGTGTCTAAGACAAACAGATCCTCGTCTCTTGGAACGATCTTTACTGGACGACCCCTTCTCGACAAAAATGTGTAATTCGACGTCGAAAGCAGTTTGGTTCGATCCTCGGGGTCGATGGGGCGTGTAACGGCGCCAAGATCAACTTCGGGCCCGTCTGCAGATTGATTCCAGTTTGGATCGTCCTCGTTCACTAACGGTGATTCGAACATGTCGGACAAGGAACGGGAGAAATGCTCCACCAGAACATCCAATAGCCCAGGAAAATGCATTAACCCGAAATAACTTACCTGTAAATTTATTTTGACTAGTTAGTGTTTACGTTCATTAATTGAGCCATTTACGAGCCAAAGTGATTAGCTCTACTTATTCTTAACGCTATAAATTTTAAAGGGAAGCTTAAGAAAGAATGTATTTTATTTTGTCAATTTCTTTGCTTTTCCTTTTGCGGGGTTAATCAATTTGGCAAGTGAGCGGCTCAAATTCTTGCAAAGTAAGAACAAAGAATATGAAACTCACAGATGAATCATCAAATAATAAAATATTCAGTACGTCGAGACCCCAACAACTTTCAGCTAATAGGCCTGATCGTAGTGTCATCATAATGCGCCAAGCTTCTACCGGTGCCACGTCGATTCGCGTGAGTTTTCGCCGTTTGTAAAGAAGTGGAGTTACTGCTTCTACACTATCGGGAGGGAATGTCATTTCTCTCTTTGACGTAGGCTGTTGACTGATCATAGGATTTATCCCAAGCTGATTCTGCAAACAACATCCGTGTATTACCCTTCACTTCAACGCGAAGTACAGTCATACAAACAGATAGGTTTTTTTATTATTTGACTAGGGAAGTAAAGTTTACCGTGTACTTGTATTTATTTGATTGTTTGAATCAACGTCTATCGTGTCACTACTAAAAACAACATGAGTGCGAAACTACGTGAGTCAGGGTATGACTCTATAAGAATATCATAGAGACTAGGCATGTTAAATACGATTCCATCTATTTACATTATTTTTTGTTCAGTATGCATTTTCGTATCTGCAAAATGGTGTCATGTATGAAATAATGCTACTTAAGGAAAAAAATGTGTTCTAATATACCAATGTCTTTTGTAAATAAATGTGTGCTTTTGCTTATTTTTGTAAATCCAAGATCACATTGATATTTAATTGTGGAATTATAAGAAGGAATAAGCTCACACTATGATATGTAGTTATGATACATCATTTTCATATTATCTTTTTGAAAATAGTACTGATATAGATTTTAGTGAAAGTTAACCATGCATTAAGTACCTGATGATTTCCAGGTGCAGAATAAAGAGGGGACGGTTGATTCGTATAACGATGATCCCACGGTGGAGGAGCATGCGCTATAGTGTTCAAAGTTGGCTGAGGTGTGGTTCTATTTGGCTGTTGACTACCCCACTGTGGACTACTAGCAATTACTCCTGTCGAAGGCGTAGCAGGAACAGGACCAACTGGCGGCGTTTGCTGTTGCGATTGTTGCTGCTGTTGCGGCGTTTGCGACTGCGGTGGCTGAGATGGATATTGAACTCTGTTGTTCCCGCTACTACTATTGTACTGGTTGGTTGTATTTGGCCATCCTGCAATCATAACATTATCACATGCCGTTTAATAAAACGCTCATACAAAATATTGAAAACGGAAAATACATTTAATTACCAACGCTACATTAATGGAACAATTGATTTACCTGGATACGCTGGTCGCTGTTGATTATATTGAGGATACTGTTGGTCTTTGGCAAAATCAGGATGACGCCTCGGCGGATTTGGACCTGGTGGCGGTGGTGGCATATTTTTGTTTGCGCTCGCACCACCCGAGTATATTTGAGTTCCTGCAGGAGCTCCATACCCACCACCCTTTAACATGGATTATATTGTGATTCAATAATATTGTGAATTAATTTGCTGTTCACTACACGAATTACGGTTTTCTTTCTTTGTATACACTGTGTCACGTTTAAACACAAACAATCGAATGTCTCACAAGGAATTGAAGAAATACATTATGTGGGATACATACCTTTTAATAATAATGACTGTAAATGTCTACGAAAAATACTGTAACTAAAATTATTTTAGGTTTCCTGTATTATTATAATTTATACTCATTTTCAGTTCGGGAGTAAATGATAGTTTTTGAGAAATGAAAACATAAGAGATAGGAGATGAAGATGTACGTCACCTGTTCCGGTCGGTAGTATTCCTGAGGGCAAGAATAGGATGAAGCAGCAGAAGGCTGGGAAGGCGAAGAGGGTTGACTGGTAGCAGTTTGTTGGGGCACAGTAGCTGGATGAGGTTGCGGCGCAGATGGATAGCTGTTACTTCTTGCGTTAGGTGGTGTTCCTGCTGGATAGTTTGCAGGTTGTTGACTACTACTATATCGATTGTATATATCCTGTCCGCTGGCGTTGTTCGGCGGCATGTTTCCTCCAGGATACACTCTGTACAGTACTTACAGTCAAGTTCTGTCCCTTTCGCACAAAATCCTGCATAACTTTTATTTCTCACCTATCAACATCCGGTACGTAAGATGAATAATGCGACCTCTGTGAATAGGGTTGATTGAACTCCCCTTGTTGAGCCAATGTGTTTCCCTGAGATCGAATATATTGATCCTGAGAATAGTTTTGGTAGGGACCTGTGTTCTGATAACTGCCTTGTTGTATACCTTGAACGCAAGCAAATTCATTTTAAGAGCACGTCGTCAAGAACCTTTTTTTGATTGTAACAACGTCACAAATAATGAGAAGAAAATTATAACAAGTAAATAGCGACACAAGGAACATTGACGGAGAGGAGAAATGTATTACATAGTGAGTCGTGAAAGGAGACATGGAAGAGAGAAGTACCTGGGGTTCGTAGTGGACCAGGATAGGGCGTTGCGTTCGACTTGTGAGGAAGACGTCCCACGCCGTTGTCGAACGGTTTCGCACTATTCTGCCCGCCCTGGTTCGAACCACCTGCCAGAACATCATTCTCTCAACCGCAATTCCTTTCACAAGATTGTACGTACAGCTATTAGGTTGGTGGATTTCACATTGACTAGTTTCAACATTACATACACCAACCAAATACACTCAATTCTCTTTTTACATGGAAAATATGTTCAAACATACATTATGTAAAAAGGAAACAAAACTATTTATAAAGGGAAAGCTCCCCCCCCCCAAAAAAATGTGTAAAAAAGTTTATATGATAAGTTGTATGAATAAGTATTTAATAAATGTACGTATTTAACTGTACCAAATAAAATCAAATTCATATTTGAAGACAATCATGACCTGAACTGTGTAACCGATTTATCACATTACCCTTTCAAAAAAAGATACGATGATTTTCAATGTAACGTAGAGAGATCAAGAGTATATAAAATATTTTGGGGTTCGTTCGCTAATAACTTCAAGATTTAATTATTGGTGTCACAAATGTCCTACGTAAGAACATGTATTTGTATAATAGACATTTTTTAAATAATTAATTTTGGGACCGTGTTGAATCGAAACCATTTAAAAAAAGAATTGAGTGTACGTTATATCGAATGAAAGCAATACGTATCAACATATTAGAATAACGTATACGTTCTTTACCTTGATGAGGAGAAGGAGCACTACTCTGGCTGGGAGGTCTAGGAGGAGGAGGTGTATACTCTGAAGAAGGTCCTCCGGGTGTACCGCCAGTGTAACCACTTTGGTAACTTCCATAACCATCCATGGAAGCATTACTCGATCCAGCTGCAGGGAAGGAATCTTGTGAATTGGAAGACCCTGAAAGAAGAGAAAACACGACGGTTATATTACTTGATCGAAACGAGTTTGAAACATCTTATGAAGATATTTGTAACACCCACCTGGTGAGGGTACAGAGGCAGTTCCCTTCGATCCTTTCTTTTTCGAACCAGCTTCAACTTGATTTATAATGGGCTGAGGATCTACACCTCCACGGTCGAAGTGACATTCGTACGCCAACAAATGCTTTGTATAGTGTTTTCGCAGCGTGTACGCCGCACTACTGCTCGCGCCGATGCCAAGTAAACCAGCAATGTCTTTCCACGTTTTGTTCTTTGTTACCTATAGAGAATTAACGTCATTTTTCCTCGTTAGTCCTTGTGCCAAGCTTTCCAGAACAAAATCCAAACAGCAAAAATCTGCATCTCGAAAACGCAAAATAAAAAACACGTGGAACAAAAATCATTACGGCGACTAATCTAAGAGAAACGAAATACCGGCTTGGTAAAGTAACCAGCTCTTTTCATTTTTTACGTCCAAATGCTTCGACTCCTGACCATGCAAGTGTGAAAAACGAAACGAACAGACAAGAGTACAATCGAAACGAATTACCGTTATTATATCGATATTAAAAGTTTATCTTCGCTGATTATTAGAATAATTCCATATAGCACCAAGGTTTGTAGATCAGGGCGTTTTCCATACGCGTTGAATGACTACTTCAAGAAAAGACGTGTTAAGACTTCTTTGTTGTTTTTCTCATACTTCATACAGTATACAAGAAAACGAAAAAAAGAAACACTAATAGCAAAAAAAAAAAAAAAAGAAATAAAAAAGAAAAAATAGAAACAAAAGGGAAGAAAATACAATGTGATCATGCACAATTCAGCGCAAACATAAAGAAGCGTGTTCTGTGTTGTATCAAGTACTTCAACGACTGTAGATACTTTAAAATGCCAAAACGAAACTCGGATGAAAATCATCCGAGTTGTGAATATTTGGCATCTAGATGTGTATACAAATATTTGGAAAAGAAAAATGTGAACACATAGAGACAATAAAAAAACTACGTAGACACCGAGGGCTAGATGGAACTACACTGCACCTTGCATACCTCCATGAAGCCCCCCCTCTCTTTCACGTAGAGGTATAGCCGAAATAGGTCGAGGGGGTTCTTGGAGATGGTAGGACAGCTTGTAATTGGTGTTCTTCGTTCTTCCATAAAGCTAACTAATTTGTCCAGCCATGTTCTTCGTTCCATCGAGTCGTCCATTTCGTACAGCTTTGCCAAGCTGTCGGATTTCTGCAATAATCATTTGTGACATCCATTAGCTTACCCTTTAATAAGTATTACAGATGATTGTTCTGAAATTTTCATGTACTATTTCTAAGAACGTATGTTACACGTATACTCTCATATTATTGTATGTTACAGACTTGGAACCGTTATTACTTTTGTTTGAGTATGTTAAGTGCTGCCATAACCCACAGTTTTCATGCAGTAAGTGCTATTTCTGAGAATTCTATATTAAATGATGGTTGAACATAAAACACATATCGAAGGTATCATGCAGCTATGCGAAGCAAAGTAATATGTAGGGTTCTTTTGGTAATAAAAAAAATTAACAAATAAAATGTTCATGAGATTATTGTGTTCTGAATTTTAATTTTTGTTTATTGAAGTTAATAAATAGCAAATGTATTTTATACACAAACGTGTATAAAAAACTGTACTTGCTATTCAATAACCTTTTGTTGACTACATTATAAGCAATTGTACAAAAAAAAAAAAAAAAATACAGAGAACACACTAGTACTTTATGACAGACAAATGAAAGGATGATATATAACTATTTTTGTAAAAGTATGTAATTGTGAAAAGGGAAATGTTATAACGAAAAACAAAGGACATTGCTAAGCGGGTACTAAGATTTATCGGGATTAAACAAAGCTGAAGCATTCAGTGTAAGTGGTATCTTTTGCAACAGTATAATAAATACTTATAGTGAAAAAACAGTAACCTTAGATCTGTACGGGTCTTGAGGCACATGACTGTTAAAAACCTGTAAAATATATAAAATATTGAAAAATCGAAAAGGCTGCAGTATAAAAACATTAACCCTGAATCGTATATCTTTCATAGAATTTTCATGTGGAAACATTAAACATGCGTATAAAAGATACAAATATACATACGAAGTAGTGAACTGTTATGTAAAAACTTTTAAAGAGTCATACGATAAAACAAAATACATACAGGACTAGCGGGAGTACGTGGCCAACCAGGACTGTTCATATCAGGATATTCTTCGTGTATTGAATTGATACTCGCGGCACCAGGAGATGGAACTGTACTTTGTGGCGTAGTTGGATGGCTGTGATAACCTCCTATCATTTCTTTCCGAACCTTTGGTGTAAATGCTGGATCTTCCCCAGAAGCTAGAATGACGTACATTTATGTATCTTTATGTAAAAAAAAATTTAATGTATTTTTAAAACTATATACTAACCAGCTGATGCATTTGATAACGTAGATTGTTGAGATCCTTCATCCAAAGATGTTCCATCAGGTCCAGTTGTTATTACAGATGTAACAGTACCACTCGAGGTGGATGTGACATTAATAGCCGATGTTCCTAGAGAAATAATACATATTTTAACGTAGATGAATCAAGTACTAGAAGAGAAGTACAGTAAGTCCTCGACTTCTGCGACTAATTCGTTCTGGAGCTTTTCGCATAAGTCGAATTGTATAAATACGATATATTAGAGGGTGAAAGAAAGATCAGATGGAGATTAAGAATATTTTGATTAGACTACAAATTTCTAAAAATATTCCTTGATGAAAAGAAAACTTCATTTAATATATACAAGGACATAAGTGGGGGCACAACTAGGTATCTACGTATATACAGCTGAAAAAGACAAATACCTGAAGCAGTAGTAGTTATTCCACTATCGTTGGAGGTCTCGGTAGTAAGATCTGCAGAACTGTGACTGGTTGGTGTTGGTGTCGAAGTAGGATGTGAATTAGGAGTAGTACTTGGTGGGGGCATTGGACTTCCTTCATGATTGAGTGGTGGTGTGGCTGCAGGAGTATGTAAATGCGGCACAGTCGAGCTTGTTGGAGGTGGCTGACTGCTGACATGATTAGGTGATGGTGGTGGAGGTCCCATAGAGCTTGCTGGAGGTCCCATATTACCGATCACAGCCACTCCGGGAGTACCTGGTGGTGCCATGCCTGTTGTATTACTACCTCCATAGACTTGGGGTGGTCCCGGGCTAGGTGGCATTCCCGGTGACACGCTATTAAATCCCACTTTATGCTAAAAATAAAGAATATATATTTATTGAATGAACGAACTCACAACTTCCACGCTATTCTTCAAAGTTGTTATACAAGCTTACTGTATATGAAGAATATTGCACCAAGTTGTTGGGTCTATTAGGAGCCTGATATTGATTGTTAGGTGGTAGTTGTGAATTGGCTGGCGATGGATATCCTTGTGGAAACTGCATATGTGGACGTGATGGTGGAGACGGATAGGTACTTTGCGTATGATAACCCCCAGGGTGACCAGCAGCCGTTCCACCAGCTGCATATCCCATCCCACCACCCATTGGGTTTATTCCACCAAGGCTTGTAGAACCAGATCCTGGTTGAACAACACCAGGACCAGTGTTATTCATTTTATAGCTATGCATGTGTGATGAAGGACCCAATGGCTGCTGGTATGCTCCTGAAATTACAAACATTTCCATTATAAATGTTTTACATAAAAAAAAAGACACAGAACTTTTTCTATCTCATAATAAAATTAAATATATAGTATTCCCTGTTTACCTTGTGTTGTCATAGGAGAATGACTCATTCGTGCTGGTCCACTACCATCTGACTGGCTACTTGACGGACGTGGAGGCATCTGAACGTTTTGTTGGCCTAAAAAAGGAAAAACACAAAGCTCAATTTACAGGGTCAAAAGATTTATTTTAATTATAATTAAAGTACAATTCTACGTATTGATAAAGTCTAACTAATACGATATAAGAACTGAAAATGAACAAACCAACAGCAGGGGACATCGAGCGAGAACCTGTGGATCCTGTAGGCGAAGGGGTTGGTCTCATCCCCTGTGAATTTGGTGTTCCTGGACAAGCTGGTCCATTTGAACTATCATTACTATTTTGCCCTGATAATTCCTGCAATATAAACAATGGAGAACTGTGTTACACAAGCCAAGGTTGAATTAAAATACAATGGAAAAGATTTAAGTAGAACCATATATCTTGTGTCTATTATAAATTAATTGTAATTTAGTAATTGTTTAGAATGATTTATAAAATCTATACTAACGTGCAGCATAACATTATTGAAGTAAAATGTATAAAAAGCGACTGGCAGTAAACGGGAAAGGGTTATGTGCACTGAAGTCACTCTTGAGCAATCGTTCGATACGTTATTTCTTGTATCGTTTTTCAATCAATTTACACGACCGCGCGACTCACTAACACGATCACAGACGATGTTGGTATATCGATAAAATCAAATAAACGAATTCTCGATGAAAAACGATCGACGAAAGACATCACTTTTCACGACACGCAAATTTATCCTCTGCACGTAATATGCTTTATTCGCTGTCACATTTTGGCCACGAGAAAATCGGTGATATACACTACACGCGGTATTCGATATACTAATCGTACGGTGCAACATAACACGTCATACACAGGCACATGTTTCAATGATATTCATTCTTTTGCATGTGCATTTGCGTATATATACACGTAACACTTCGCACAGGTCGTCACAATGATACATTAAGAACGAGAGAGAAAGAGACAGAAGTAGGGGAATAGAGAGAGAGAACGAGTACCGAGATATAAAGAAAGATGGAGGGATAGGCAAAAGATAGCAGATAAATGGATAAAGATAGAGGTGGGGGGAAGGGGCCGAATGTATGCCTGTGTGCGTGTGAGAAAGAGAACGAGCGAGAGCGAGAGCGAGAAAGAGAGAGGACAACACGAAGAGAAGGGGAAGAGTGAGAAAGAAAGAGCACATCATTACACCTACCAGACAGTGGACAATTCATCCGTACAGAAGACGATTAGAGACTTCCTCGGATGTATCATGAAACGTATAGTATACACGGTGTCGGACACAAGGACTCTCTGCACGACGCGAGAATCGAAGGAGAGGCGTTACCCCGCGCACTACGACAAAACCCACCATGAACGATTCGTATGTTCTCCGTACGATTTTCACATGTTATACGGGAATCTCGTGTAACAATAACACATCGTACTCGGATCATGTGCAGTCGAGAGAGTCGGTGGTTTAGAACCATATGAAAGCGGGCATAATCTTGTCAGTGCGCTATAGAACTGCTGCTGGTTCACCGTGTGCTTCGTTCGACCATCGCATGTTGTGTCAATAAGCCCCACAGCGCTTTCGTATCGCAAGGAACAACCCTCCAATATTCTTAATCCTGAACGGCTACGTTCGATCGTCAGACTCACGGCTAGTAATAGGTTAGAATTCGGAGCGTTGATCGTCTACGTAAGTATACGTGGCCGGGAGTAACTAAAAACGTGATTCTTTTTATCGAGTGTTCCGTGACTTCGGTTTACAGATTTCGCGTCTAGCTGCTCGTTGGAGGGCGTTCTTTCGTGGCGCGGCAAGCGTTCGGTAACCGTCGGTCGTTTTCGCCGTAGTTCGACGAAAAGCACCCGTGTGCTCCAAAAACCCCGAGAGAGTATACACACGAAAGAGAAAACTGCTCTAAAGCCCAAACACTATGGAAGTGAACTCTTTTTTTCTTTTCTAACAAGATGAATTAAATGGAAATGTATAACATATTAATTGAATTGTATTCGATAATGTTTTAAGTGTAAGCGTCAGTAATCTATTTTAAAAAAAGTAACGGTTAAATTTTGCAACATTTATCTCGTAAATATTTCAACATCTTTGACTCCTATTACTCTGTATAGGAGCAACGTACGTCATCGTATAAATATTTCTTTATTAGCGCAAAGTAACGCGCGCGTTATACAGCGAACTACGTAGATAATAAAACACGAGTAAATTTACGTTGCTTCGAGACAATTATTGGGGATATTATATAATAATATATTTATCTGTTAATGCCGTAACGTCGCTATCGCAATAAGACGGATTCGATGACACAATAGCCATTCTAAATTAGAGTACATTCAACTTTTGTAAAACCTTGCCAGTTTCAAAAGCATATTTGTACAACATGCTATATAAAAGGTGTTAGTCGTTGAACGAAAGTTCATCCATACGTAAAATTAATTATCTTGCATCTGCGATGCGAAAGAAAAGGGGAAAAGGAAAAATTAAATATTACGCTAGACTGATTTTTATCCCTGCGTTTATGACAAATAAATGATTTACGGGTACCTAAAAGGTTCCTGATTGTATACGAATAAATAAGGCTGCATTTAATGTAGTTTTAAACAAACTGTTCATCGAACGTTTAAACTATATTTGACACTTTTGAACCGCGTCATGGGAATACGAGAAGTTCGATAGCATGTCGCAGAGTGACAGTTGCATGATCTAACGAACCGAATATAGCTGAACGATATAAAACGTCAGAAATGGTGGGGGGAACTGCCTCGGATACTCTGTTTTCTCCCCACCACGTCAATTCGAGCGAATCGCACGCTCGCTCTTCCTCTCTCCTGTACCCACCCGTGTAACCTATGTTACACACCGGCCTCTTACTAACCCGCCCATCTATGTTGGAAGAAGCGAGAGACCGAATGTGCCGTGGGAGGGATGTGTACGTGTGCGAAACGCGTGCAAATGTATGTGTTTGGAAAGGAGACAGCCAACAGGGAGGGAGGACACACACGCATACACGTAAAGGGAGCGAGAGAGAAGGGGAAGTCGCTAATATCTGGGGCTCCAGCGGCCGCGCAACTCGCGCCCTAATCGAACTCTACAAGTCGCTTACTCTCCATCCCCACTTCCCACACCCTGCCCCTCCTTCCGTAGGCAAGCCATACTCGAGAGGTCTCCCTTTCGCTCACTCATGCTTGCTCTTTACACGAGGAAAGTATTCAAGTACCTTCCGTCCACTGTATCCAAGATCAAATGGCACTTTATGCGACGTGAAATTAGAATTGCTTAGCAATAACTAACTCTTTCAACCGATAAAGGACTACGTCGTTCGTCACTTTTTCTATTTCCAATCGATTCGAGACCAATCGTCGAACACAAAGATAAAATAACAATAACACGTGTACACACGTGCATTTGTGCGCATGTGCTCTATAATTAAGATTAAAGCGAGATACGCGAAATTTAAAAGAACTGTCAAGAATCCTAACTTTTTTCGCGTTTATAATACAAATATTCGTAAAGAAAGGTATCCGACACGATCTTTGGCGATCCAAAAGCATGCTATTTATAGAGTTTTTATAGAGTTTGCTAGGATATAGTGTATGTTAATATGTAAGTGTTGAGATAACAAAAACACTCACCCCCGAATCGATTCCTTGAGTATTTGGTGTTGTGGATCGTTGCTGCAGATTGTGAAAACTCTATACACAAAAAAAAATTCTTTGTTATTATAAATTTTAACTTGAATGGAAAAGAACATATAGATAAGCAACTAATAATTATTTTTCTTTTACTTCTATAAGAACTAAGTTTCTTTGTAAATTCAAATGTCTGTATAAATTTTGTAGTAAACAATAATGCCTTGAAAACATTTTCTATACAAAAGGGATGTACATTTGTTACTAAAATAATAAAAGAATCCTATCCCAAAGATTTTAATTACAACAATAATTATATATTTATACATTTATGTCTTTGTATTTTCTATATTCGTTTGCAAAGTGAAAATTGAAATAAACAAGAAATATATTTCTTATAGGTGTAACTTACTTGCGATTGGTTGGTTGATTGTGGCTGTGGAGATGCCGAAGGTGGTGGTGCTGGAGATTGAGAAAGAGCACGTTGGGGTGACTGACTGGAAGGATTAGCTTGATTAGTTGGAAGTGGTGGTGGATTTGGTGGTCCACCTTGATTCCATCCCCTCTGTTCTGTATATAGACTGGAAGGGTGGCTGGTTTGCGTAGTATATGAGTTTAGCTAAAAGGAACAACCATTAAATTAATATTAATTATCGCATTGCTAAAAAATTGGTTATCAATTACTATATGTTGTAAACTTGCGCAAAAACATTATTCAAATATACCTGATGGTGACTATATGGTGCATGAGATCTCGTAGGAGTAGGAAAACGTGTATATTGTTGATATGGCATAGGAGTTGGAGAACTTGGTCCTCCAGGCCCTGCGTGTAATCTTGGTGATCCCTGTTTACAGCATAATATATTCAAATATGAGACAACGAACAAAACTATAAACATTATATCTGATAATAAAACAGAGTGTACATAGACTATTGTAAACAACAACAGTAATTTGTTTTTTAACTTATTTTCCTTTCATCTAAACATAGTTTATACAAATTGTACGAACAAAAATTGTAATAAAATTACCGTCTGTGGAGGCCGTTGACCAGGTTGGGGATAAACCGAAGGAACAACCGGTGGCCGCTGATTGGGCCAAGGTTGTTGATAAGGCTCGGGTCCCATTCCAGGATAGTTTCCATGAAACCGATGCACAGGTGTAGATGCCTGAAGTAACTGGTTCAACGTTGGTGTCGGACCGGTAGCTTGCGATATACTTTGTCCCGATAGAAACTTTGGCTGACCCGGAAAACTGCTCGACGTAGGTCCTACGTATGCCAATCGCGATTCAATCTTGGAAGGTGCATAATGCTCTTCCATTTCGGGACGATGAACTCTTTCACTTTCATGTATTATGTGTTTACCATGATAATCCAACTGTTTCCCTTGGAAATCTCCATGCTTTCCCACATACTCTGGTATTTGTTTGCCCGGATAATCGGTCAACGACTTAGAGGGAAACTCGTTCGATTTGTTGGTATATTCGTCCGAGTAATCGCGTATAACGTTCGGCGTGAACGGATGTCCGGGATGGTTCGAATGTCCGGGATGGTTCGGATGCCCGGGCGCGTCGATAGGCTCCTGCTTGCCGATAGATTCTTGAGGCGCCTGACCAGCCTCTCTGGGTGATTTTACCTCACCGGCAGTGTGTCCACCAATGTCCTCGCGGTATTGACTCATCTCGAAACCCGTGTCCCCGCCGCGATTCACATATTTAAGCAGCTGGGCCGCGCCCCGGGGCACTTTATCACCCGGCTCTGGATCCAGCTGCTGCTTCGTGTTAACACTCGCAATATTCCCACCGACTTGCGAACGTTTCTGGGCGCATTTCACGGACTCGTTCAGCTTCACATCGTTTTGTTGGCTCTCGGCTTGCGTCGCAGCCATGTTCTTCTCTCCTCACGGAGCCATCGTCGTCTCATAAACTGGCCAATCGCGGGACCTCGTGTGTCTCGCGTACTATGTGCTCGAAATCGAAATCCTTTCCTGTTGAATCTCTCCTATCGTACTCAACACCTTCCACCACATCCTCAATCAAACCAGCGAGCACTAAGCACCGTACAAACAATTTTCGCTTCCTGCCGTTTTCAAAGTAGAAGGAACCAAAAAAAAAAACTCATACGCGAACGTCAAAAGCAGCGTCGCACGTATTACGCCATCTTGTGGCTCTGCCGTGAACTGGTGGTACCCTAAACGCTAATCTCCAATCAGCGACGTTTCTTAAGACCGTGGTTTCATCGAATCCTCTTTCCGAGCACTACACAATTCTACATAATAATGAAAACTCTCCGATCATGTAATGTCTAAAATAATAAACAGAATACCAATTGCCTTGTAACGTTTTATTCTTTGCGATTGCCGATTTATCTTGATCGTTAATGTAACGTCACGATGGCTTCTATAGGTGTCAATATTTTGACACAAATACGCTGTGTCTCGATGTATCTAATATCGAGGAAGAAAAAATTAGAGAAAAGTATAGAAATATGATAAATCGTCCTGAAGAGAGATGATAAATAGTAAATTAAACGTGACATCACTTACGTTGCTTTCTTTCTTTTCGTTGTCGTGAAATTAGCGCGAAGATGAAAAGAATCGGTTATGTTATAATACGATTGCCTCTTTTTGTTTTGTGATCCCATGCATAAACTATTCACTCTGGCGCAAGCGCACAGGTTAACGTGCTATGACACGATAGATTTGATACAGTAACGTTGCGTTCCTGTGCAATGTTTAGCCTTGTTTTTTTTTTATATTAACAATAACCGAACAAAGATTTACAATATGCGTTTCTCTTTAAATTTTCCGAACGTCGTTCGTCAGAATACTAATCCTCTAGAAACTAAAAAATAATCATGCCATGGGAAAAAGAACTTGTGCAATATTTTTTTCGCGATTTTTAATTAGCTACAGACTTTGAAAATGGCAACACGTATTTTTCGAAAGCAATTTAATCAAGATCTTACTATTAACTGAAAATAATCAAAATTTTAAATACCTATTGCAGTTATTGTAACTGTACATCTCGATCGTTAAACTCTGAAATGTTCTGTCGAACAATAAAAAAATCCAAGCTCACGGAATTACCAATAAATTAAATGAAAAAAAAAGAAAAAAAGAAAAACGCAATTGTAAACATGGTTTTAATTAGATGATTTTGAAAAGCGAAAACAGTCATTAATATTAACGTAAAAAGCGTGGTCAAAATAATAGCGTGGCGTTTATTGAAGTTTGTTACCGACGATAAGCGGTACGCGGTGTAACATTAATTACAAAAAAAAATTTACTCGAAGGTGAAAGGTAGAAATTCCGATAAGAGTAATATCATAAATATAAAGTATAGTGTTCCATACCGTACGGTTGTATGGGTAGCAATAACTATGGATGTGTTGTTATCACCTATGTGTGTCAATATATACATACGTGTACGCGGTATTTCAATCCTACGTGGCAATGTTAAACAGTAATAATTATTTTATAGCTTTATTTTAATGAGCCGACATGTAGATAGCTGGTATGTATTTTTCGAAAATTTAGAAAAATAAGAATACATTGTAATTAACACGGGAAAATAAATTATTATCGCACGTTATTATTTTGTTGATTTTTTACAGATTTTTTCATTCTCTTGGTAGCATACTTGAAAAAATTTTCACTCTGTAACGATTGCAATTATGTTATTTGAAAAAAAAGTGTATCAATACCTTGCAAATGTAGAAAATATTGCTTGTTTCTTTCACAATTCTTAATATTTCTGTTTTCTAATTTTTTTTAGATAAAAACAGCCAGATTTCATTTATAATTCATATTATTATGAATAAATTTTTTAATAAACATTAGAGAATAATGCAACAGAAAAAGAAAAAATCAGGAGTAATGCGTGCATTAATTCTTGTCGGTGGATATGGAACTAGATTAAGACCGCTCACGTTAAGTCGACCTAAACCGTTGATCGAGTTTGCTAATAAACCTATGCTTCTACATCAAATAGAGGCTTTGGTACGTTAAATGTTTAAATACATTTGAAACTTTGATAAATTAATCGTAATGAATTTGATTGTTAGGTGGAAACAAATGTGACAGAGGTAATACTAGCCGTCTCGTATCGTGCGGAGGAAATGGAAAGAGATTTGGGCGATGCAGCAAAAAAATTGGGAGTGAATTTAATATTTTCACACGAGCCAAAACCTCTCGGTACCGCAGGACCGCTCGCGCTTGTGCACGACCTTCTTTGCTCTGAGGATAATGAGCCATTTTTTGTTTTAAATTCTGACATTATTTGTGACTTTCCATTCAAGCAACTTCTCGAGTTCCATAAAAGTCATGGTAAAGAAGGTACGATAGTTGTTACTAAAGTGGAGGAACCGTCAAAGTATGGTGTGGTTGTTTACGGAGATGATGGGAAAATAGAAAGCTTTGTAGAAAAACCTCAAGAATTTATCTCCAATAAAATAAATGCAGGTTCTGTCTCTTTTATTTTTAATAGAAGAATTGATTGCTTCTCGAATATTTAATTGCAACATTCGTTACAATTTTACAGGTATGTACATTTTGAATCCAAGTGTCTTAAAAAGAATAGAACTGAAGCCTACAAGTATAGAAAAGGAAGTGTTTCCACTGATGGCTCAGGATGAAGAATTGTATGCAATGGAACTAACAGGATTTTGGATGGATGTCGGACAACCAAAAGATTTTCTTAAAGGTATATGCCTCAAAGTTTTTGTTTTTGTTTCATATGCAAGGAATATGTAAATATAAAGGTGTATATTTTATCTTTTTACGTTTGATTTATGTAGGAATGAGTATGTACCTGACGTTTTTGAGACAGAAGTCCCCAGAAAAATTATATTCTGGTCCAGGTGTGGTAGGCAACGTTTTAATAGACGAAACAGCAAAGATTGGAAAAGACTGCAGAATAGGACCTAATGTCACAATCGGTCCTGGTGTTGTATTGTCTGACGGATGTTGTATCAAAAGAAGTACTATCCTTAAATCGGCTATAATAAAAGAACATGCGTGGCTAGATGGGTAAGTTTCGAAACAATATGGTCGATATTTTCGTTAAACATTATTATATATATATAATAACGTAATATCTTACAACAGGTGCATCGTAGGTTGGAGGAGCGTCGTAGGACGTTGGGTCCGGATGGAAGGTATTACGGTACTTGGTGAAGACGTGATCGTTAAGGATGAATTATACATAAACGGAGGTCAGGTTTTACCTCACAAAAGTATTTCCAGTTCTGTACCGGAACCACAAATAATAATGTGACTAAAGACAATACTTTAAAGTAGACACATTGGGCATAATGAATGACCAAACTACAAAATCTATAAATAAAAAGTTTTTACCAGCTTTTTTAACCTTATGTAAATTAATATCGAATATTTGTATTCGTTTGTATCGTATTTACATTTACAATTTAAATCAACTTTATTGGCAATCCTCGTGTCACTATTGCAGCCGCGGTCATATACTGAGAACAGACATATTTACACTGCCACTGCTCTCAACATCTCAGGTTCCAGAGGAATATTTTGAGCGACTTTTTTTATGAATTTTTTGGAAATTCTAATTGAAAAATTAGATTAAAAAATTTTAATAGAATTATGGTAATAAAAGTATAAGTATTTGTACTAACTTAAAATATGTCGACGTCAGCCCATGGTCTGTTTAATGGCGATGGAATCCATCTACTAATGAAATTTGTAGTCATTTTATCAATATGAACATCTGTAATTTCTCATAACATACCAAGTACGCATGGACTAAAAATAAAATAATTACTGGAAAACACTTCTTGATTTGTGTAACAATTCAATTTAAATTATATGTTAAATCGCACAATAATTTTTAAATTTTAGAATTTACTACCTGCTTGCTATTAGATACGAGTTGAAACACCGGTGGATAACGTCCTCCCACTTCAAGTAATTTTATACTACCACAACCAAATAATAAAACAATTGACTTCACCTTAAGTCTTTCAATTTGTTCTCCTGGTAAATATTCTATCCCATTACCATGACCATTATACCTATTTAATACTATTACTAATATTAAGAAATCAATGGTAGAGAATGGTAAAATCTGTTGAAGCATAACGATTGCTTCCTTAGCCCTGTACTGTTTCGAGCCTATTGCAGTCACATGATTTTGTATATATGAAGTTCTGAGGGTTAAAAAGACTACAATAGAACGAGAGACGTTGCAAAAGTTCTATTTAGGTGTATTATCAATGAATATGCATTTCTTTATTATTTAAAAATTTCCTCCATTTTTTATTGCATTTGTATTGACTATACAAAATGTTTGTAAATGCAAAGTGTCAAAATATATGAATTTTGTTATACTTTCTTCATATAGATGTACAAATTGTCAATATTTATAATGCAATTTAAAGCATTACGATTTATATTGTATTTAAAAATACGAAGAATTCTTAAAAATTTATTTGCACATTGTTTTTATTCTGGCTTAATTCATTTTATGAAGGTATATATGCGTATATACGAAATACTGTTTCTCATATTTTATGATTCGATACGTAATGCGACTAAAACGTACGATTCCTTTTTTCTATCGCTGGTATAAAATTTTGATATAGTCGTTCGAAGTTCTTAACGTCCTTAAAGTTCTCAATTTTTTCATTAAATCACAGAAAAATGAAGCTTGTATTTATGCAACGAGCTAAAGATTTTCTTTAACAAGTATAAGGATATACTTTAATCTCGCTGCTGTAAAAACAATGCAGAACAATAACTGATTGTATTATTCCAGAACATAAGGACCACCGAACGATTGTCCTTGTACGTGGCTCAAATTTTCTCCTGCATACGATAACAAAGGAGCTACCTCTACATCGTCTGTAACACTTGTCGCTCCAGCATTTAGTAACCATTTTTTATGAAGTTTAAGTACATCACTGCGAGCGGTGCTTGGACAATCTTGACCAGCGGAATCTCCGTTCTTAAGAGGACTGAAATCTTCCTCGCGAATTCCTTCCCAAACTGCCAATTCTTTGGCAAACATGAATACATCGAATACGAATTTTTCTATTTTAATACCATTCGACGATGTAGGCACGTTTCTACGCCCATCTTCGTCGATATATGGAATTTTCTTTTTTGCAGCATGCAACTCCATTTCCTTCTCGTACTCATTACCAACAGAACACAGAAAATCAACCGTGAAGTAGTGATTACATATATTTGCAGCATTGTAGACCAACTGTCCATTGTCATGACGTAATTCAGCTGTTACTTTCGATATTTCACTATACTCGACGACTCGATAAGTATCATCGACCTGTGGTAACGAAAATAATATAAAAAATAGAATAATAAAACGGTATTCTATAAATGATCGTGATGTCTATAAACATACTTTACAGACAATTCCTACTGGTTCGTTTGGCGATGATTTCTCTACGACTTTAACTCCGCAATCGGTAGACGAAGACAAACAGTATCCTAGGAAAATAGGATCAGCCACTTTTATTAAGATGTTATCAACTGAATAAACATGGACGCTACGAATGTTACGTCGCGTCATATCATCCAATATTCCTTGTACTTTCATAGCTCTATACAATCCTCCATTTCCATCCGGTGCTTTAGCAATTTTATGTTTTTGGTCCAAAATAATTTTACCTTCGAGCGTGAAGCACGGCAACATGCCTTGCATAAAGGTTTTAACATTGCTTTCTTTCAAATTAAAATAATTATGTTCGCTAAGGAAGGCAACGGTCGTATCATGGGTAGCTTCGCTGGTTAATATATACCTAATGAGAAAAAATTAAATATTATTTTGAGATTCGAGGCTTTAGCAGCCTGAGTTCTTATCGATGTTCACGGCTTCCATCTGGAAGTCATGAACATTAACAAACATTATTCTATTCAAGATATAGACTTTTATACAATTTCTAAATCGTTGTATCGATAAAAATAATATATATACCATGTTATTTCTCCTCGTTTCCCACATTCCTCCTCTGCCATATTTTGCAAACGAAGTATTCTTTCTGCTTGTAATTGAAACAGAGTTTTACCAGAAGGTAATCCAACATTGTACATGCCCTTGGGATAAGGTACTCCCAGTCGAGTGCCTTGACCACCAGCCAACAATAACACAGCCACTCTGCCATCCGCGACTTCTTGCAATCCTAATTTCTCATACATTTTCAGCGTATCCTTGTTCGTTGTTTTAACAGATGCAATATTCCCTTTCGGAATAGGAGATACTTTATCGTCTAATGTGTTCGTGAGCATACAAGAGGAAGTACATATTGCCTTCTGGTAATACGATGTCACCTCCACAAGGTCTAATTCAAGTATATCTTTGCAAAGCTCGTTTCTCTCGTTTTCTGACAGTTGATCCCAGAATCTTAACAAATGTTCCTGGCCACAATCGACGAGACTTTTTCGAAGTGACTCCATATTCGTATGTTTCCCGTTTGACAATCCTGAGTGCACTGTCAACAATTGCAGTATTCCGTTATCGTGGCACCGTTATCATTAATGCGATAAAAAAATGCGTCTGACGATACGTATTGTGCTTCTAGCATCAATGAGAATGTATTTGAAACGTGTCAAGCAACAGGTATCCTGCCGATGTTTGTAACCTAACCCAACTCATAGGTAGAGCGGGGTACACCTTCACTTTCACGATTCCACGTAGCACATTTGATTCGATTTCTCTTATCGGTCCCTCTCACCCTTCCAGCCTCTCTGTCGATTCTCCTTTTCCTTTCTAACATATTTTACTTTTACGAACGTGCGACGACGATCGTGAAAGATCATCGTTTCTTACTCGGGTCTCAAATATAAACACCGAGACCGCAACCTTTCGTAGCCGTACGATATTACTGGCTCGTTTTCCCGTTTTATCTACGAGATACGGCTGAGAAAACCGAAGGGTTTTCAATAACTTCACGGGGATTCCGAAGACAATTTTATATCTCTTCGACAACGAACGACAGCGGAAAGTGAAAGGATGCGAAGTGAACCAACGACCTTGCATTCCGGCCATACAAAACTAAAATATTTTGGAGTCTGATACTCATGACAATAACGTTAAAATTCATTCCAAGAGAGCATCTGTAACCTACGTTACCTGTAATCATTGAATGTCATTCTAAACTAAAAAATAATAATATTCGTGTCTTTTATGTGGTATTTTTTAAATATTTGAAGCATCGATTCATGTTCAAGTGTTAAATCTTTCATAAAATTAGAATTATGTACGATTACTCGTGTATGAAAACCTTGAAAATAATTGGAGTAATAATAAGAATATGACAGATGTTCATCGAAAAGATCTATGCTCTTAATCGTTTTTAATCGGTTAATCAGTTGATTACCGGCGTGCGCATGCGTAGACACGTAGAGCTGAAAAATATTTAAATACTTAAAGAAGGGTGCGTCAAGAAAGATTAACAAGAGGTATATAATTTGTAACTTCGTAACAATAATGATTAATTAATTATACGTGGAATGTAATATGATATGTAATTATCATGTAATATATAACATAATATAGAATTACAATACATAAAATTTTATTACCTTATCCATGTTCGTAAGTATGGATGCTGCGCCCGTTATGTCATCGAAACAATTTCATTTTCCTAAACAGAGCATTGTATAAGAATATTTTATGTCACATTCTTCATTTACCTTTAAACGAGTGTCCCTCCTTACAGTTATGCTATAAATTACTGGATGGCCCGTATAGGCCGGTACCGCGCTTACGTTCGTAGATATTATTATGCTTCGTATTGAGTCATCAAGATGCATTTGTATCGTAATAATCTTCGCTGTTACGTCGATTTTAATTTTGAACGTGTCGCATGTGACAGTGGGCTAACAAAGCCTTGTAATTATTTTTAATGCTGTCCATCCAAATAGAAATATATACTCGTCTAGACCCGACGCGATGTAAAATTTTTAAACGTATCGCCAATTACGGGTTAGTAAAAGATCGCGACAGACGGTGGCGCTTTAAATTCTCTGTCAGAGCCCCAATGCATACAGACGTGATCGCGATTTTTCGTTCAAGTTACACGCGTGTTTGCTTGTGACTTACGACGAGACATCATGCTGTACATGCCTAAATAACGTTTCTGGCGATGCTGCGGCAATATTACGGCTGTAACGATAAGTTATGTGCAGCGATGTGATATGTCTACGCGTTCATGATAAAGTACTCGCCCTTTGTAAATGTATTTCGGTGAGTTACATTTACGCCTGCTTCGTGTTACACTCCTTCGAGCGATTGCTGACTCGAAGGATTTCTTTAAAAAAAAATTCGTCATCAATTGTCATGCAAGTTACACGACCGATCGGAATATTTATCGCGACGATTGTTCGGTATTATTCCGCGGTCTATTGCTCATTTTTTTTTTTTTAAATTAACAAAATTTTTAATAGTGTACCCGATTATGTTCCGAATGTGTCACAGAATTTATTCGCGTTGTATTATTTTATTAACGTTTGTTTATTTAAATTATACGTGTTGTTTCGATAGGTTAGGGGAAACGTCCTTGAGTTTTAACGATATTCAAAAGTTGCACTATTTATTAAATTGTTATTCATACTTTAAAGTAACAAATTTCAGATATAGGTTAGAGATTAATAGAATTCGTTGTTTCTGGTACACCGCATTTTTCTAAGAAGAATATTTAGTATGAGAAATTGTCCCAATAATGCCGAAAAATATTTGCTATTAATTTGGGAGTAAAAGATCAAAGAAACTTGTTATTTTATTTGCCATGTTGTTGTTGCACTTTAAACGTTTAGAAAGTAGGTAAATAATTTTTTCTAAAGGTTGAAATTTGTTAAATTTAGGTGCCAGGCGTGTAGGAAGCAGCTGGCAAGATGGGCAAGTTGTTGTCAAAGATCTTTGGCAACAAGGAGATGCGAATTCTTATGTTAGGATTGGATGCTGCTGGGAAAACTAGTATCCTTTATTTGTATTCTTTTGTTTACATAGAACATTTTGAAAACTAGGAAAAGAACATCTAAAACTGCACTGTGTTTTGTACTCGATAGTTTTTCCTTAATTATATATCAGCAATACTATATAAACTTAAACTAGGACAGTCTGTAACAACTATACCAACTGTAGGATTCAATGTAGAAACAGTTACCTATAAGAACGTTAAGTTCAATGTTTGGGTAAGCAATGGATCTTAAATCTTTTTACCACATTATCGCAGAAATTTTCGTAGCTTGAACAAATTGATTTTTTTCGTTCAGGATGTTGGAGGACAAGATAAAATACGTCCATTATGGCGTCATTATTATACTGGAACACAAGGACTTATTTTTGTAGTAGACTGTGCAGACAGAGATCGAATTGATGAAGCACGTCAAGAACTTCATCGAATTATAAATGATAGAGAAATGCGAGATGCTATTATTTTAATTTTTGCAAATAAGCAAGATCTTCCTGATGGTGAGTATTAATGTTTGTCGGTTATGTGTTTGAAAGATTTGATATTTACACACATGCACGCGTATACAAAATGAGTGAAAGAGAGAACGTTGGTATATTGAATATTTTAAAATTTCTAGCAATGAAACCGCACGAAATACAAGAAAAGTTGGGTTTAACTAGGATACGAGACAGGAATTGGTATGTTCAACCATCATGTGCCACAACTGGTGATGGGCTTTATGAAGGCCTTACATGGTTGACCAGTAATCATAAATTATGAGCAAATATTTATTTTTCATCGATTAGCCACATACCAAGAATGTACGTTTGCTTTGTATTTTCATTTTTATTTATCATGTAGAGGCTCTGTAATGCAACCGATAATGATCGTAAAGATCCATAAGGGAAAAAGAGATCATTTTAAGCGTACAACAGCAAATGTAACACAACCATTAATATTGAATTGTGCGTTTCAGTAATACTAATACTATATAAATAGAAATTTATCGAAGTACCAAAAGATATAGACTTTGTTACTAACTGTTCATTGAAGTCCATGAAAATAGCTATTACAATATTGATTAGATTATCATGTTCAACATTTTACTATAATTTATATATATGTATATGCGCGTGTGTATCGTATTATGGGATACTAATTGTAAGTGAATACAAAAATGATGAGAGCCATTTATGATATTAAGGGATGCATTTATATAAAAATTCTTTTCAATTTGAGAATAATCATTGATACAATGATTAATTGAAACTGTCATGCCCAAAACACAGACATGAAGTTAAGTTTTCATTGGTCGTTGTCAATGTTACATAAATATGTATCACATAATATTCATAGATATAATCTCATTGATATATGTGAGTAAACATTCAAAGCACTTACATTATTGGCTTCATATAGCACCAAGATATTATTCATTGATAAATTCTTGTAAACAACCATTTGCTTAAAAAGTTACTTCGCCGTTCCATTCGTTTTTTTTTTTTTCTCCTTTTTGGATCGTCTTCCAATTCAGTCACATCTTAACGCATATCGATCAATTTACTGTTTCTTTTTTTTTCCTCAAAAACTTCTCACGGTTCTATATACATATTTTTTTTTATACTTTACTTTCATTAAAATGCATTAAATATACGTAAACACACGTATATATACTGATGGGGTTGTTCTGTACGCACAAATGGCAAATCACGGGATTTAATATGACATTTTTAATCTGTTATTATTACGAGCTCAAAACAAAAAAAAAATAAAAAACAGAGAAGGAAAGTAGGAACAATGTTACTCGAAACGTAACAGCATCGAATCTGCCAATATTTTTTACCAGTTAAGTGGTCAGATAACGCAAAACTAGAATTAGATCGCAGAGGGAAAGAGTCAGATACGTTTTTAGCGAGTCTCAGTTTGTTTCCTTCTTAAGTAATAATCTGTAGAATAAGAGTGATAAACGTATTTATCAATATGAACTATTAATTCGACAAAAAAGAAAGAAATTTTTTTTTTACGAACTTCGTAACGCATACCAGAATTACACATTATAACTAAAACAAAGTAACAATGGTATGTTATCCTTTCAATCTGTTGCTCTATCAACAATTTTATTTGCATTCCACAATTACATTAAGGCATTAGGATTTTAACAGATTGTATTATTTTACACGAAATATTGGTAATGATTATACAGGTATACAAGTGTCGGAATCATTTTCTTGGCATCTGTACCATTAACGTTAAGCGTCACATTTAATGAAAGATAATGTGCAAAATGATTAGCTAATGTTTAACTGTCATGGACAGGCTTTGGAAAAGATGTAATGTACTATTCCTAGGTGTGTTCATTAGTACTGAATAGTGCTCTATGGCTATACATGTTTATACTGCATCATTACCATCAGTTTTGTGTTCATATGAAAGGTATATAATGTTGTGTCATTTTTTGTTTTTCCTTTGTTTTAATTGTAAATGAAAGAGATGGAATAATTGTAACTGGAGTAGCTTTGTTGAAGACTAGTTATTGTTAAAGAAAAAAAAAAAACATGTTTTAATATTATGAAACGGCAAACAAATTTTGGCAATAAACTTTATTCGTATGAATAATGTACTTATAACTGAATTAAAATTTAAAGAAATGAAATCGGGGAAAATATGAATTATGTGTGACGTCAAATAGAATTTTCTACGTAAAAAAAAAAAATTAATATAAGCGTAGTTACACATTATTTTATAGTTGCAAACACTTTTTCACATTCGACTTATTTGTTATCGAGAATTACTAAATTTATAACCAATGGAAAATTCGTTTTTCGAACTTTATTCACGATAGTTTGTAACATATGTTTTGTAACCATAGAGTACATATTGCAGTATTAAATCTCCAAAGCCTGAGATCATACAAATCTTACAAGCGATAGTAAAATTGTTTGCAACATATATTTTAGTAATTCTCTTTTTAACAAGAAGGCGAGTTTCATCTAATAGCAATATATTTATTCGTTCTCTGTTCAATGTGAAATAACAAAAGTATTTATAATCAAGATACTGATTTTGCTTAAGGAAAAAAAACAGAACGGGCGTATGCAAGTTTTATAATTATTACGGCATACGTCTTTACATAATATTAGTACATAACATTGTCAAACAGATTTATTGTCAAAGTAAGCAATCGATATCACCGTATCCATTGTTCATTCAGTTACAAGTACGTATCCTTTATATTTTCCAACAATTTTTTTTAACAGGGGCCATTCAGAATGCAGGGCTCAATATAAAACGCTTCGGAGTAAGGAAGAAAATCAGTTATTTCAATAAATTATCAGCGTTTCTTAACAATCACTTCATGGATCGTTTATTTCTAAAAAGATTAGCGATGATTCAAGGCGCTGTGTTTCATCTGTAATTAAATGTTTTGAGAAAACTGAAAGTAGATTTAGAAAACATGATCGCCTTTTTTATCAACTATAAATTTTACTTGGTTAACGATAACGGTCCACGAAGTTCAAAATTGGGAAACGCTGACCTATACTATTAGCCAGAGAATTCTCAATGCACCAACATCGATGAATATTATTAAATTACACTGTTCGAAAACCAAATAAAAAACAATTCTTTTTCAGTCGTACGACAATGATGTCCGTAATTAGAAAATTCATTTTACACGTAGAAAAGTTGTTTTTCTGCAATTATTTATTTCATTTTACAAAAGCTATACGAAACATTAAAAATACTTTTTAATCAGCAAACAGGAGACAGTTACACGTGTTCGTATAATATACGTATTGATCGATCATCGTTTTATATAAATTTTCCTGGGTGTAAAAAGTTGTTAGCTAAAGAACAGTATTGTTTCTCGCAAAGTGGTGAATGTTAAAATATTATTGCGAGTAGCAACTAAAGGTGCAATAGAATTTTTTGGTTCTTAGTACAAGTAAAAGCTACAATATAAATATATGATAAGTGTAATACTACAGTAAATATTATATAGATAAATAACGGTAATTTTTACAAAATTGAAAACCGATAAACCTGGAAAAAATATATGTACTTGTATATTATTATTATAATAATAATTATTATTATTTGTATAATAAAGACACTTTTAAATTATAAGAGCATTTTTTCAAAATGCGAAAATACTATGTATTTGAATATGATATTTGTAATTGCACCTAATATTTATAAATCGTTTTTAAAATACATTAAAACATTTTTGCAAGTATCCAATTAATATTCTGCTACTAAATCGACAGGGAAATGTAAAAAATATCAAAGAAACGACAGATTGTGATTTTCGTTCAAAAAAAAATTCAATCGTAACTTCAACAAACTTATAGATGTTATAATTTTCATAAGAAATAACATACATTTAAAAAATATTCTCAATTATTATATTATATATGAAAAGATCTATAAAAATAAAACGAATACGAAGAATAATATTTACATCGGCGTTTCTACAACGACAAAAAAAAACAGTAGTTGTCGAACTGTCGATCGTAGAAACGAATTATGGTTGCCCGTATTAACGTTTGTATACCCTAGAAGTACAGCTATTTTTGTTTCCAAAAAATTCTCTCCATTTTTGTCATTTACATATTATAGATACACACGCGCGCGCGCGCGCGCGCATACATGTATATAAAAGCAGTGGCAGATTATTGCATGGTCAGCGGAAGTGTACACCTTGAGCCTGGCATGCATCAGGGGGACCCCCAAACCAACCAAATAAATTATCTTTTTATTTATTTTGACTTTATTGGTCAGTACTTATAACTTTGTTCTACATATTTTACTATACAAATAAAACGTTTAAATACAAATCGATGCCTTGCTTTTCTTCCATTTAAATCACGGTATTTTAAAATATTAGGCGGGACCTCTGCGAACATAAATAAATAATCTGCCACTGGCTATACACTTTCAACACGTATAGTTCATCGAAATTGTAAACCTTATATAGTTAGCTTCTATATTCTTTAAGGTTAGCGACCATTGAACTTAAGTATAGAAAAGCGTAAGTCAAACGTAAAGTTATTACCATTATCAGATCCAATAACGTTTGAATTTCGAAATTGAAAGCGCACGCAACTTTTCATTCAAAATCTCGTTAATACTGTAATAAATTTTATACGTTTCCTATTATACGGAGTGAAAAATACACGATTGTATTAAACATGTTTATACGCGAAGCGACTCGTACATAACAAAGGGTTTACCGGAACCCTTGTTCACAAATTTCATCGATCGTCTATCTCGTCAATAATGATCAGCACGAAGGTCGGTCGACGAAACTCGTAGTAAAACCTCTAATAAATCTCCATGTGTATAGGACTACTAACGGTATCGTACGAATCTAATAATAATTATAAATTTCGATATGAGATTCGTTTAATTATTTAACGATGTATATCCCAGTGATACTAGATTTTGAATTTTATCACATACCCCTTTAATTTTACAAACTAATTTTCGACAGATCTATTAAAACCAGGAATTGGAAACTGTTACGTTATCGATTTCGGTTCTCAAACAGTTACCTTCGGAAGCTTTTCAACCCCCGATTAAAAGCCATATTATGGACCCGAGATACACACGCTGATTAAAAAAAAAAAATGTAATTGTCATGAAAACTAGAGAGATATTAAGTTGACCCACTTACTTCAGCGGTACAATAATATTTTTTCCAAATATTTACAAGGAAAAAAAAATACATTTTTCTTCCTCTGTTAGTTATTTCTATGAATTCGTGGTTCAAGCAATTCCTATTTCGACGTAGTCTTGAGATGTATTATAATGTATAGCCTGATGCTATCTACCGGGCCGTTGTTCTTCTATTAATGCTATTAATCTTTGTCGAGTTTTCTTATTATTCTGATACGCCGAAGAAATCAAGCCAATTAAATGTTTTACAGAATATTCCTGTAATATAAACATCCACGATAATTTATTTAAAAATATCAATACAACGATACGTAAAATAATACCGATGTATTTAATTACCTTATGCTCTTTTATCCACTCTTCCAAACTATTTTCTGGAAGATAGTATGCTTTAATGTATAATTCGACATATTCTCTGTGCGGCATCGGTCTTAGAGAAGTTAACGTTTCGAATTTTGACTTCAGTTGCGTGAAATCGAGTTGCATCAGTGCTCTACCTCCGTTCGAGCACTTTTTGGCATTCGAGAATCTATAACACGTATCGATACAGGTAAGGCAAGCGCTAGGAAAGATAGAAAAGCCGTAATATGTAGAATTATTTACCCTTCTACCAAAGTATGAGTTATTAGGTGTGCGACATTTTCCCAAACGGCGTTATATACATCGCTTGACAAAGGAAGACAACTTCCAATATTCTCCAGTCTTTCGTTCAACACGGTTATTTCCTGTGTGTGTTACAAAAATCTCAATGCATAAATAATAAATTGTTCACGTTTACTTAAAAATATACATACTTGAAGCAACGAGTCAATGTAACCACTATGTTGAGACATGACATCCGTCACCTCCCAATTGACCTTGTTCATTAAAATTAAAATGTTTGTAACGTCGAATGCTTGGGACGCAACCGCCATATATACCGGCTTTCTTAAATCCGTCGTCGACGCTATTGTTTGCATATAAAATTGATGGAGGAAACCGCGCTGCGGACTAGTCGCGATAAGATGTTCCAGATACGGTTTTAAGCCTTCGTATTGCTGGCCCAAAAATATCAAAGACTCCACTGCTACGATACGTTCGATCAAACCGTGAAGCCTTTCCGGCTGTGATAAATTTACGGTGGAAGAAAGCTGCGGTTGTTGTACTTTATCAGAGTTCGATTTAATATTGTCCTCGGTATCGTTCTCACAGATAATTAAGTTCTCCTTAATTCTTGCCAATGATAATTTTAACTTTGGACTGTACAACGAGTCGCTATTTATTTGCTGAAAGAAACGAAAATCGTTCATCGTCGCTATCAAATATTGTGTATTTAAATCATTATTGTATACGTGTATACGTAAGTATATGGAACTACGAACTTACAAGATCCGAAGTAAAGAATAAATGTACCGTGTAGAAGCACAGTTCATAAAATTGTATCATACTTTGTATGACAGTGACCGCGATCGAGCGCAGAAGTCTCGACATTTGTAGATATTTACCACAAACGCGCAATATACTTAACGTAGTGTTCGTCACCATGGGTCCTGATTGTTTTAGTTTGCATTTCTTTTTATTCGTTTTAACATGATCCGAGTCATCGACGTATTCGTGCTTCAATTCATCAGGAATATCGTCGTCTGATTCATCGGAATAGTATCCCGGTGGATTGTCCTAAACGATACGTGCATTTCATGATACATATGTTTTATAGATGATCAAATAAATACATAAAAAAGAAACAGTTCATTTAAAAACTCGATTAATTTCCAGTAGTAAATTATTTTTACGCGAAACAACATCATACCTCATTCTTTACCAAAATATCTTCGTCCATCGTATCGTCTAAACCTATGGAAAACGGGGATACGCCTCCTTCCAAATATTTTTGAACCCATTCTAACCCCATAGGATTATCATTCTCGCTAACGTTCGAGTTATCTAAACTATTCCATACTTTACAAATATTCAGCGACGGTTTTAAACTTTTAAACTCTTGCAATTGAGTAGCTACAAAATTAGATTTCACGGGGCACAATTCCCAACCATCATTCTCTAAAAATATTCTGAGTTCATCCAGCCTCGATGCATGATAATGAGAGAAATATGATAATGATTGTTTTCGTATAGATTCCTGTAAATTTTCCGATTTGAAACCACACAACTCTTCTCCAATTTCCATTAATCTGTAAATATTTTTTTCTTGTAAACATAACGTATATTTAACCTATAGCAAAATTAACACGGGATAGCTTAACATTCTTTTACCTGTTAACTATACCCAAAACTTGAACAAATTGTTCAAATTTGATGTAAGTTAAATCAGCATTCATTAAAAATATTGATATTTTCATTTCGACATCGTGCCATACCCGAATCATACTGTTCCCTAATTTATGTTTTACATACTCTTTGCTAAAAGTCCCTTCTAAATCTTTAACGTCAGGATCAAATTTTACTTTATTCTCTTGTGTATTATGCCAATTTACTACCAAGTAATAGGAGCTTAATATCGTCCAGAGCGATTTACACAGTTCTGTTAGACAAGCAATGCAATTTTCACAGGGCACAGATTGACAGAGTTGTTTGTACTGCCTTTTCGTGTCCCCACCTGCGTACGAATGAACAGCAGCAAAGGCAGTATTGTGGATTGCCGCTGTGAAATGCATGTGCAGCTGATCTATTGCAGATTGAGTTTTCCCTAATAGAGAATATGCTTCTTGTATCGATGTATAAATAGTTACATCGAACTGCGTGCACATTTTCGAAAGCATAATATCCAATGCTTCTTCCGCTTGTTCTAAAATATCTTGTAATTTTCCATTTAAAGCAGCAATGCAATGGAAATGCTTATAAGTCTGCGCAGCGCTTTGACATTCCAAAAGTAACGAAATTGCTCTAGGATAATTCTTTTCATTCAAAAGCTCCTGTAATCGGTCTCCCGTACGTTGCTACAAAGAAAAAATAAAAGCAACAATTTGTGGCGCATTCATCGTATTAATAATTTAAGTAAAATCAGGAAAAAACGTACCAATGTCTTTATAGTATTTAAATTATTTAACAACTCCTCTATAATTTGACGTTTTTGATAATTTGCTAGTATTCCCAAGCTGGCTGTCGTAAATTGCTTTTCAGCTAATTTTAAGTCCGCTCTTCCCATTCTACATATTTCTAGAACATCCTGCAGTTGTTCCTGAATCAGCAAGATTTTCTCAAATTCCTTTTTGCAAGCATTCTGCTTCTGCAAAATAAGCTGTAGAACTTTCTTCGAAACGACCTGATGTTGTTGTTTAAGCTTTTTGCAACATTTATCGATCTCTTTGGATTGCAAAACATTTGGTAATTTTTCTAGCTCGTGCCTACTAGAATCAAAATTATGGTCTGTATTAAAATAAATTTCTTCGATGGATTCTAATATGTCTTGATCAGGGACAGGTTCACTTTCCGTCGACTGGTCGGCTTCTGATTGTACGTCTTCTAATTTTTGTGTCTCCGGTGGATTGAGCAAGTCTGAATGTAAACCCATAAGGGGTACTTTGGTTGCATTCTAAACAATAATGAAAAATATAAATGCTAGGTTATATTCTTTTAACCTCTTGTGCTGGAATAACTTTGTTATTCGAAAGCCTTATGTCGTGTAACAAGCGAGCGATATGTTGAAAACTTTGCTAAAAAAAAAGCCCTCGAAGAGGGTGCTAAGTTTTGTGCAGAGAACAAAAAATTCAGTGAAACTACCTGGAATTGTATGAAACTTCTTGTTCCATTTCTTATTTCATATTGCTTTGAAGTTTATCATTCCATATAAAATTATTAACAAACAGATTTACTGTACGCGTCTGCCTAAAATTTATATAGAAATGACATTTTGGTGTGGAACGCTACCGTGTCCTTTAATTTCGAGTTATGGTTCATTTGGAATTATCGTGAACAGTTTGGTAACGCACATTGGAGAATTAATTCCAGCACAAGTGGTTAACACGAAGCAACATTAAAACCGTACAAAAGTAATTCATGAAATAGATCATAAAACCATGTAGAAAACCAATGCAACATAACCTAAAGCACCAGCACAAAATACAAAGGATAATCGTGGTCATGTTATCGTTACATGTAAAATAATATTTAATCGTCGCAAACTTAATATAAATTTATTTACCTGTTTGTTAATAAGACCAAGGAATTTAAATTTTAGATCCTCCATTCTGTTCGTTTCTTCAAAATTCGGTTCGACACATTTTCATCTGTTTACTCGATTTCGTGGCGTTTCTGTCAATGCAATTGTCATAGCAAATAATATCGGCATTATCTCGTCGTAATTACTTTATTAACACCATTTTATTGTTTGAACGATACGTTCTAAGAACAATCGGAACACCTAGTAAGTATGTACCTATGTGCGTACTTACGTATATCAATATTTTTCTCAGGTTATGTAGGTTACGAAGTTACCGCGAAAGTTGCGAGTTCGTATCAATATATCAGATTTTCAGGCATTGCTATCTTCAGACAGTATTCGTATATAGTAGAAAAATAATACATGTAATTAATGCTGTTATTTGTAAAATATAGCGAGGCAAGTAATTCGATAATATATTCATACGCATTTCTCGAATGTTATACATATTCATTACGCTTAATGTATTCGTGCCGAACAATCGGGTATGTTTATTTAAAATGTTTCATGGTTAACACCGTGAATTTAGAACCTTTCGCTAAAGAAAATTTAATGCTTGTTAAATACGTAAACGTATCTATGTACTACGCGAACACGGAGCTAAATTACGCTCGACTTTTTTTTCTGTTTTTCACTGGATCCCTGAAATTTGTAGCCTCGGCTAAAGTTTCTACAAACTCGGAAAGTTACGTCGACATTTTTTTATTATCTTCAAAGTAAGTACACACGCGCGAAAACATGGGGCGTACAATCTTGTTCTCGTTGCAATTAAGAGTTACTCATTATATTATTACGTAATATTGCAACGCGAAGTATTGATCAATTTGTCGATCGAAGTCGATCAAAAATCTAATTAACTACTATGACGTTTAAACGATGCGGTGTTTGCGGGTTAGCTTGGGCTTTTGAATCGCGTTCAATATTTAGAGTATTTTATCGATGAGTATGAATAATGTATATCAAATTCACGAAGCCATGCGATACACTACGTGCTTCTAGCTAGCGATTGTCTTTGAAATCGCATTCGGTTTTCAAACGTCTTAATCGCATCCGACTTACGTCATTTCGTCGTTGCGTCGTTTCTTTTAACAACGCAATCGGTATTTGTTTCAGATGTATGAATGTACTGTAAAGAGATAGGATAACTGTATGAAAATCGGGATCCAAGCCAAAGCTGAATATCAAATGCACATATCGACAAAGACCGATGTAACTTTAGACGTCTCCGTTAGCGTAAACAATCGCCAAACGATGTAATCACGGTGTGATATGTTGTAGATACTAATATATTTTTCTTAATAGGTATCTCCGAAACTAAAGTAGACCTAGTTTTGGTGCAAAGAAAAAAAGTTGTACAAAGTATAGCCGTTAGAAACATTTAAAAATCATGCAGATCAATCACTGTGTAAAACTTCGACAAGTTTACCGTGCTTCGAAGTTCGTCTTCGTATTGTGCCGAATTTAAAAAAGGGCAAACGAAAGAGAAAAATAAACATATCGGTAAGATAATTATTGTAGTCGGTAAAAATAGAAATTTTGTTTATTAAATGCACATAATTTTTGAATGAACGGAATTTCCTAATCCAGACTATACTTGTACGTTTTACTAATGCAGCCATTTTATTTCTAACGAACTCAGAAGGTGGACTTGCATCACTATGATGTATCTAAACGGTTTGTTCTCTTTTTTATCATTTTTCAAACAGACAATGTTTTCAAGATTTGAAAAAAAGATGTTAATATAAATTTTTCGAATTTGATATTCGAACACCTCTGATTCTCAGCCCGCCAATTATAATGCGCGATGGAGAAAATTAACAGATACGTCGCAGTTCCAGTACGTTGTCTATTGACACAGGAGAAGTAAATTTGATTTTAGCTCGATTTACATTAGAAGATTAACTGTGAAGAGTTATCATAATGTTTGTTAAGGCAACAGGATCACGAGTAAATCAGAAAAGATAATTACAAATTATTTAGAAGTAGTTCTATTCAACTAACATTCTATTTTGTTGTAGAAACACCGAGGTGTCAACATTTTCTGGGAATAGACAGCCCCTTCTCGACATAACAATTGTATTCTGGAGATATTGCACGGAATTATGAAAATTTCGCTGAGCCCGCTCGCCATGGAGAAAGACAATTGTTTGGGCGAGGTCGAGGTCGCGCGTTAAGTTGATTAAATAGCGAGTTCCTCGAAATCGTACGAACCATTTCCCATTGGTTCCCAAAGGTGGCGCACGGCAGGCATATCCTGCCCGCGTATTCTTATCGCGGCGTAAACGCAACGTTATAACGATAAACAAAAGTTACGCACGGGCGCAGGGCGGTTGAAATCGATGCGACTCGGCGGAAGAAGGGTTGCGTGGGTGTATCAGGGTAGGATGTTTGATGTCGGTGGCCGTGATTGGTCGCGGGCAGCGAGAGCCGCGAGTCGATTGGCCGAACGGGTTCCGACGCGAGCCCCCACCCAGCCGAGGAAAGGTATCGCGAGGAGTGGGGGATCGTGATACGGCTCGACACGGCATGTATGGTACGTACGTACGCAGGTGTGTTCACAGTGCCTATGCACCCCGTGTCACGCGCCAGCCACTCGGAGTCATAGAGAGACGGTGGGTGGCTGTGAAAAACGAGAGAAAAAAATAAAAAGCCAAACAGAAGGAAGAGTGGAGGCGAACAATCGTACTCGTATTTTTCCTCGGAGGGGTCGGTGCGCGTACAGACAATCGTCCTTCGATTTACGTCGTTTCTCCCCGTACAAGCTCGAGATTCGCTACAGTTCGCGTCGCGTTGTAGAGGGTAGTTCCGTGTCGCCTACCCGCCCGACCAAAAGAAACCACGCAGTACGCGTGAACACGCTCGTCGGGAGAGTTGTCAACCGTTTGCCGGCCGAGAATGGTCCAAAGGTTCTGCACCAGCGTGGCTGCGCTTAGCCTCGCCCTCAGTACGTGTGTTGTTTTTCCGCGTGCCGTCATGGCGATCGACTTGAGTCGATTTTACGGTCACTTCAACTCGAAGCGTACAGGTAAGTCACCGTGTTCGCCTCGAACTTGGCCGAAAATCGAATTCGAACGCAACCACGATACGCTCGCACGAGAATTGTTCTTGGACTATGGACGGTCCCGCGCATTTTATGCGATTAAACCGAAATCGCGTACGATAAATGGCGACGACGAACTGTTTCGGTGCATCGTTGCTAGAAATTCGCATTTAAATACGGTAGAACTCCACCGTGGGTTTATTCTGGTAATTTTTTTTTTAGGAAAAACATGTAAAAAGACAGGGACGAGCCGAACAGCCGGGATGTTGTATCGTATATAAATTGTAATCTTTGTACAATTTATTATAACGGTTTAAGGCAGCGTCGTTTAAGTGGCAATTTGAGTCCACGTGGTACACTAAGCGTATCACGAAGACGAACCGTGATACGCTGTACGTTGTTCATTCGATTCAATGAGCGGAGAGGTGGTCCGTTTTGTCAGTGAGTAGAGCTCAATCGCTTCAAGCAATAAACGTCACTTAAAGGGTAAATTCCGTCCAAGAATAAACAGCGTTAAGTTTCTTACGGTAATGAGTAGAGCTCGAATTACCTCGTCGACCGACGTTTCGTGGTTGAACGATCGATGTACAGTGGCGGACGTACACTTACGAACACTTCTTAGCATTAGATTCTCTAGCTGGTAATATCGTACAGGAAGGATATAAATAAATTTCCATTCCATGTGTATGTATTTGAAAGGCGCAGAGTTACTTCTGGTTAACTTAAAAATCAAACAAGACAGCAAGGATTAAAGTCATTTTTATGTTCTGTCTTGTAGACATATGTTTACGAACAATTTATTTTATTTTAGTATTGGTACCTTATGGGACCAGTACCAGTAATGATCATGCAACGAGTACGTATCTACCACCTCCTTTAACCCTTGGCTTAATACATTTTGTCTTAAAAAATATATTTTTTTTCTCTCAAATATTACCTAGAAAATTTGCAATTAAATTCCCCCTTCCGTTTTAATTTAGAAAAACGCCACGAACGGTAAATTGCTTCATTCATAATTCGATTCAGCGTAAGGATGCTATAAAAATGTATTTTTTTAAAATGTTACGCAGAACGTTACTAATATTTGGTTTTCAGCTTAAAAACCCCCCTTCAATTTGCAACTAAATTACCCCTTGCTCTTTAATTTGGGAAAACGTCACGAACGGTAAATTGCTTCATTCATATTTCGATTCAGCGTAAAGAATGCTACAAAAATGTATTTTTTTAAAATGTTACGCAGAACGTTACTAATATTTGGTTTTCAGCTTAAGAACCCCCCTTCTAATTTGCGAAAGTGCCGCGAACGGTCGCTCCGGAGTAATGAAATTAATAGTCCATTAAACGTTAGTGAAAAGAAACCGTTTGCAGCACCAATGTCGCGTGTAAGAGATCGCGTTCTCCCTCTTTAATATTGCTCGGTCAATATCGCACATGCTGTTGACTACCAATAAATGCCGTCTATGCATATTAATTTGAACGTTGCCACGCGCACAAATCTCTTGGACGAATTCGTTAATTATCTTCACACTTTTTTGTCAAATTCGCTGTTTCGATAAATTGTGTTAGAGTAAAATCGTGTTACTATTATTTAGTTTCTTGATCGGTGTTGGTAAACGCGTGGTAGCGAACGTGTTACGCACATGTTTCTTGTCTCGAAGTTTCTGATTTACCTGTTTGTGTATTTGTGAAACAAAGTGGTTGGGTAAAACATTAAAAAGAAATATGTAATCGACGTGTAAGTTGAGGGGATTGAACAATGTTTATTCTTGCGTGTTACAGAAGACGCTTGTCGTCCGTACGAGCCGTTTAAGTGTCCAGGAGACAAAATATGTATCTCGATTCAGTATCTCTGCGATGGAGCGCCGGATTGCCAGGACGGTTACGACGAAGATACACGATTGTGCACAGCTGGTAAATTTCCTTTTCAATTACAAACACGACCGGTTCGTTCCGTAAATCCATCTGTTCCAATCGCACAGTTTCAGTTGAGTTATAAGTAGACTGCGGATGTTTATGCATTTATAGGAAATTTTAATAAGAAATACTTAAAGTAAGATACGAATTATTATATTTAGGGGTTGAGACAGCCCTCTGCGAAGCTTCCGTTTCATTAATTCTATTAATAAAATTGTGAATTTGCATAAAGATCCGCAGTCTAGTTATAAGGGAACGTATCAAACTGTAAATCATCAATTTTTATGAAACGTGTTCAATAGATGAAAATCGCCCCTAAAATTCAAAGTGAAAATCTACATTTTAATTATTGTATTTTTGCCAGGTGAATCAACGTTTAGGTTTAAATTTATTGTGCAGTTTTTTTTTTAAATTCTTTCAAATTCGAAATCCGTAAACGCCCCACGATTGAATCCACAAATCTTAGATAAAATCAGTTCGTTTCAGGTTGGCTATATTTTTAAAGAAGGGAAAAATTCTAGGCGCAACGTCTCTGGTTCGTTGATTATCCAAGATGTTCGTGAATTTTTATGATATTTCTTTCTAAAGCGGTTTCCAGCCTCTTATTACGAAAGTTCCAATCGACTACAAAGTTCAGTAAAAGTTCCACGAACTTATTATAAATTTAATGAAGTTACGGAGCTACTTCTTCGCTGTACTTCGCGAAACAACGCTGGTTGTTTTCAGACTGGGATGCTTTTTATCGATGTTTTGCTGCACAATTTAGCGATGCTAGCCTCGTAATAGGTAGGGAAGTAGTAATACCGGACTAGTATAACTCAACCTTTGAACGTACTCTAGTCGTGCCATATGGAAACTTCCTCGTAACCTTGTGTCCGTTTTCATTGTCGGATTATTCCAATTCTCTGTTCGTTTCGATGAAAAAAATATTTCCAATCGTTCTGAAAAAATTATTCTCGGTTGCAGGGGTCAATTACAATCATTTTTGGTGATTACACATACCTCCGAAATACTACGCATTTTCGAGTAAAAAATTCAAAAAAGTGGACAAATTTTTCGTCGAAAAAAAAAATTTCAAATCGTTCTGAAAAAATTATTCTCGGTTGCGGGGGTCAATTGCAATCATTTTTGGTCAATAGACATAACCTTGAATTCCTAATCATTTTCGAGAAAAAAATTCAAGAAGGTGGACAAACTTTTCGACAAAATTAAAAAATTTCAAATCGTTCTGAAAATATTATTTTCGGTTGCGGGGGACAATTACAGTCATTTTTGGTGAATACACATACCCCTGAAATCCTACGCTTTTTCGAGCAAAAAATTCAAGAAGGTGGACAAATTTTACGTCGAAATTAAAAAATTTCAAATCGTTCTGGAAAAATTATTTTCGGTTGCAGGGGTCAATTGCAATTATTTTTGGTCAATAGACATACCCTTGAAATCCTGATCATTTTCGAGAAAAAAATTCAAGAAGGTGGACAAATTTTACGTCGAAAAAAAAAATTTCAAATCGTTCTGGAAAAATTATTGTCGGTTGCAGGGGTCAATTGCAATCATGTTTGGTCAATAGACATACGTTTGAAATCCTAACCATTTTCGAGAAAAAAATTCGAGTAGGTGGCCAAATTTTTTGACAAAATTAAAAAATTTCAAATCGTTCTGGAAAAATTATTTTTGTCTGCGGGGGACAATTACAGTCATTTTTGGTGAATACACATACCCCCAAAATCCTACGTACTTTCGAGAAAAAAATTCTTTATCGAAAATATAATGCGTGACCAAGGAATGATTCTGTAATTTCATTTTCTGTCTCACTTCCTTTTGCGTTCATTTGTGCAACCTGTTGGTAATGTTGAGGGTGACACGAAAATGGTAATGAAAAGAAAAATGGGGCGAAAAAATACATTGGATGTAAGGTCTACTCGTGTACCTCGTCTGTGACTGTACTTTACATTTCACTTATCAGTGTTTCAGTACGTATAAGCATCAATCAACACTTTGTTTCGTATTTCAGCTAAGAGACCACCGGTAGAGGAAACTGCCAGTTTCCTGCAATCGTTGTTGGCAAGTCACGGTCCTAATTATCTCGAGAAACTGTTCGGGACCAAGGCGCGGGACACGCTAAAACCTCTCGGTGGAGTGAACGCGGTGGCTATAGCACTTTCTGGTAAGCTCGGCTAATTCCCCAACCCCGAAACACAACGTTTTTGATAACATCATAAACCGAGATGGAAGAAGGTAGAAATGGTAAACATTCACAGCATCAAAATTGTAAGGTCGAGGGTGTGCTTGATACAAAATTTTAACTACGGGCATTTGATAATTTGCAAGATATTAAATAAAAATAACTTTCATAGTCGTGGTCGTCGATGGTCAAGTAACCAAAGGACCTCGAAAAATGGGATTTAGCTAATTTCTTGGCTACGTTGGTCCCCCAATCTGAATTTTAACGATAACATCCTATCTGATTTAAATCCGCGTTCCTAGAATCGCAAACGATCGAGGACTTCGGCGCCGCCCTGCACCTGATGCGCTCCGACCTGGAGCACCTGCGCTCCGTGTTCATGGCGGTGGAGAACGGGGACCTGGGCATGCTGAAATCCATCGGGATAAAGGACTCCGAGCTGGGCGACGTGAAGTTCTTCCTGGAGAAGCTGGTGAAGACCGGATTCCTCGATTGAACGGGCATCCCTTTGAGACAACACTGCAGAGGCGTTCTCACGTTGACTGTATCGTATTACAATCGCACTATCTTGTCGCTTCAAGTCCCGGGTCCCCTGGCGTATCCGTTTCGCGAGACCCTCGCCATTCACCGAACACCCTCGACGCCCTATCTCCGCTCCTCCTTCTTTCGTTTCCTCTCCGCTCGCTTCCTCTCGATGTCTTCTCCGTCTTGCTTCGCAAAGGACACCGGCGAGCACCGAGATATATAGTCCTGTTCGTTCCCGGGAAGCATGGGAGCACCGAACGTTTAAACTTTCCAGCGAAATGTCAAGGGTCGACAAGCTCTCCCGTATCTCTCTGTGCACCTTTATCGACGCGTACTCGCTATCGCGCCGCGATGGACGCCCGCCTGTTGTTTATCGTTCTCGTGTTACGGACCGCTACCGGTCGAATTACAGGAAAAAAACCAGAAACGAACGCTAGGCTGGGTAGGGCATCGCGACGAGGGCCGGAGTCCAGGAGCTTAGTAATTACCAGGTCAATTAATTATATTCTGCCCGGGCAGCTCTGTTCGGCCGTCACGCAGCAGACGATCGATACTAATTAACGTCGTTTACTTTCCCTGGCCGGCATGGCGTCGGCCCGTTACACGACACGCGATTTCTCGAAACACGTATTCCGCACACGCCTGTCGTCCACGGTTCTTAGTATATTTAATACGATTCAAATTAATCGAACGCTATCGTTACGTTGCTGTATTCGTTTAGGGGGAAAAAGCATCGAAATGTATACGAATAATCGGAATTGCTTTTGTTCTTAACGGTGGTACGAAATACATGAAAGAAGAGTGTCTCGTTTTCGAAGCAATAACACTGGTCGACGGCAAACATGTATTCTTTTAATTGCCATAATTAAAGCTAAATTCGAACAATTTTAGCAGACTATTGCTGGAGACTAAATGTAAACTGTGGTGAATTAACAAAGACAAAGTATTAATTTCATGAAAGCTGACAGGATTCTGTACAAACTATTGTTTAGAATTTGTTGACCAGTGTGTTAGATTCACCTACGTTCGATGACATGTAATAGTTCACGGAAGTTGCAATGCGCTGCTGAAACTCGAGAAACTGTTAGAGCAATTGTTTGATGCTTGTGATGCTTGTGAAATAAAATCAATTGCTATAATATGTTTCTAAGAGCAGAAAAAGGGACAAAGTCGGTAGAGAAACGAGCGTGAATTGCTTCAAGCGTAGTATCTATCGATCTGTTCTTTCAATTCGTGCGCTCGCTGCACACGCCGATTCGTTTCAACCGATAATTAATATTTAAACCGGATCCGGATAAAACGCGTTCAGCATTGAATAATTTATTCGTCGAGATAACACGGAAACTTGAAAACTTCCTTCAATGCTTTATAATGCTTCGCGTGTTTGAAAATCTCGCCGTCGCCAGGCTCCCATGCGTTCTTATAACACTTGTCGATTATTACTGAAGCTGTGCTTCTGATCTGGTCACGATATACTCGTGTCAATAGACATGTTTCGTTCGCGTATGCGTGAATCCCGCCTCTGCAGATGCACAGTCGCGGACATATACTCAACAATAACGATACAGGAGAGAACAATAGTATATACATCAAATATATAAGAGACAAAGCGAGCTAAATTACAAAGATTTTGCACAACGTAATAGACTATAATGAAAATGTAATTATTCGTATATTGGCGAGTGTATCTCCGCTATTGTCACAGTGGATACTATCACGTGTCTTTCGTATGAATTGTCCCTAGCGTACGGGACATCGAATGCACGTGATACGACCCAAAGGAAACGTGATTAGCCTCGAGAAAAGATCGATCGAAAGCGCAGATTTATTCTGAACGATTCGTCTATGATCAGCTTGCACCGCGTATGTTAGGAAACTCTATAGATTTATACGTCGTCCACTGCACCTACATGCTTGCGAACCGACGATTACTGCTGGCACAGTACACCACACGATGGTCCTACCAAGGACTTCCGGTCTTTTTGGCGTAACGAGATCGAACCTAAGGATGATTGTCGAAAATGGTATCGCAGAATTCTGTAACCGATCGATTTCAATCGAATATAAATACACGAATAACTTATGTATACGCGTATACAAACACATAGGCGTATATATACATATATATATAGTGTATACAGAGTGATTCGAACAGAAGATCGAGGTATCGCGAGGTGTATAGTACTTGCCAGAATTTAGAAAAAGAGGGATTTGCGGAATGCTTGTCACGAATGAAAATTTTTGTCAATTCTCGTCGAAGTTGTACGCCTCTGGATCCTTTGATCCGTATTTTGATCGCTCTGTATACACGAGTACGTATACATATATCTATTTTAAGAATGAGAAGCGAAGCAGGTACAAATCGAGCATCGTATCGCGTTCCTTCAGGGTATAACGCGCACCTTACTTAAGAGACAAAAGAAAAAAAAAAAAAAAAGCAAGTATACAGTGCTACGATGTATTAATATTTTCATTACGATAACGCAACACATATCAGTCTAGATACATATCAGTAATTTTAACGGAGATGAGTGCCGAATTCTCTCGGGTAGAGCCGGGTTCTCCGTTTTACGAAACGATTCGACGATCGACGGTATTTGGTCTCTGTATCTCGACGAATGAAAATCAAACGGAACACGTTGCATACAAACAGCGGACACGGGGAACAACAACTACGGCTACCAATCCACGAGAGACATTCCTTTCGACGATGAAAAACATACATATCTCTACCTACTAAGCGTAATCTTCTAGTCAACCAAATGACATATCTTCTAATTAAATATAACTAATTATATTTATGTGTACATATATATGTATATACATATATGTATACATATGCATATACATATATAGATAATTATCTATGAATCGACAGAGAGTCACTTTTATCAGATAGTAGACATAGATATATATATATAATAATAATATATATATATATACATATATATATAATAATATTTTGGTATATAAATAAAAATGTGAAAAAAGTGGAGAAAAGAAAGGATGATACGTGTGTAAAACGTTCCCTCCAAATGTCAATTACGGTCCAAAGTAGGGCCTGGACCGAGGACAGAATCCGAGGGAAAGTGTCGCGTAAGCTTTAGGAATGAAACGTTTTCAAGGGATCAAGGCGCTCCGAATCTCCGCTCACGAGCATCTTGATCCTTTTTATCCCTCCTACTCGACCCTCCTCTGCCCCACAATCTCGACGTTACATTTAAGAGAACGCTCCGATGGTAACTGGAATTTTAGATCCGAACCAAATACGAACCCACCCCCCCCCCATGTGCGCAGGCGTGAATGTTTCCATCGCTTTTGGGGCGACCGGGCTGTTCGATGCTCGTTACACGCCACATTGCATGACTTCTGATTTACTATACATTCTAGCATCAATTTTGTATCATTCCAACGAAAGACAATCCAAAAATTCTATCCACGCTCGACACGTTCACCAGTCTACTAATTAGATCGGAACGATATTAACACTGGATCTAACCGACTACTTGCGTACACTCGCTTTCTATCAAAGGAATCGAAATTACTTGTTTACGAAACGAATACGCGTTATGGCTGAAAATTACGTTTCCCCGGTAAATATGCGTCGCGTATTTTTATGGACAATCAAGAGCAATGGAAAATATTGAAAAATATATATCATTTTGACTCCTTTGCTGGATCTAGTGTTAAGGAGTTTGTGAATCACATGTATAATACCGTCCATAAGTCACCGGACATTTTGTTCGTCTGGAACAATGTACCTAAGATACAGAGATCAAATTTTCTGAAGCTACCTTATTATCTTTTTTTTTTTGTTACATTCATTCATTTTAAGTTACCACTTTCTAAATAAATAAACTAAATTTCCTTTATAATGTAACGAATAAGAAAACGTTAGTTTAATTTTATGATTTACATTGCTTCACAGTGTTAATTTGTTTTTACTCCACATTCGTTAAGTGTCCTGTGACTTATGAACGGGTGTGTAAGCCATGTACATACACACGTAACTACACAAAAGTATTCGAATGCCTGTACTTACTACATTTAAGAAATGAAATATCTATGTTAAACCGAAAGGTCTAAAACAACATGTTTTAACAATATTTACACTTAATCCGTCTTCATCTAGTAAATATTCACTATCTGTGGTTATCGAAAGTTATAATATTTTTAGTAATTTTTCAAGTTAGCATTATTTTAAGTCCAGCAACTTACTAATAACATTAGCAAAAATTACGTTCATAATGTTTCACGGACTTAAAAGTAGTACCGCTTGGATATAGATAGACTGAATGTAAACATTTACATCTGTTTCAGTTTAACATACATATTTCACTCGAAATTTGAGAACGAACATTCGAATACTTTGGTGTAAGGGATTACATATCTGTTCTGCCCATTTTAGATTGTAACCGCTATTAATGTTTTTAATTCAAGTGGTTTTTTGATTTTAAACGATTTGTACTACTAAGAATGATAAAATGGTCGAATCCACTTTCAGACCTTCGATGCAACGCTTCGTTTTTAATATTTAAATTCGTATATGTCTGATTTAAAGCGCTGACTGCTTACGTAATTCGTTCACGAATAGTATTTAAATTGAGATGTTTGAAAATTCTAAATTACAGAATATAATAACGATCCGAAATACCGTTTCACGACCAAAGTGAAATAAACCGTGAAAAGCTTGGAAAAATTGTTATAAAATTGGCTTGGCATTCAATGCAATAAAATGTTTACATCTTAAAGTTTCATGGTGTACTATCTAATCATTTTTTGATACACGATGTTTAGAGCAGGGATTCAAACAATCTCCTAACCCTAATCGTAATCTCATTAACGCTAAATTTACAGACATTGATTGCACATATTTTATTGAAATCCGTCATGTTGATGGTTATATTAAAATGTAGTTTTTCTTTTAATTAGGACATACATATTCGTACCATTATAAATTGCTTTAGTGGTAGCGGTAATCTTGAGGTTTTTGGCGGAAAAATTCATCACCCCTGTTCTAGACAAGTGCTATTCGGAAAGTCTTCTAGTGACCATGGTTACACACCGATTTGTTTATTTCCAGGGTAAATAAACTGTTTGCACGGACAATTGCTGTTGGAAGCGATGCATTGTAAATTAATTAGCAACTTACTTCGTAAGAGTGGATAACCGTAGCATTGTAATTCGCTGTAAGAGCTTGTTAACCAAATTAACCACGTCTTCATGCATTAATTAAGCTGGTTATTCTACGAAACTGTTTGGATTAGGGTTAAAATCCCTGGTTAAGAGAATAATTTATGCAAGCTTATCCTTCTTTACATATTACGTTGTGTAAACAAAAATTGTAGTTATCGAAATTCAATCGAATCTATACGATTAAAGTATGTATTCAGTTTGAACTGACTTTGATCGATATCTTTAATCAATGAATGAAATAATTGCAACGTAACAGAGTATATCTACGCGATCCGTCCATAAAAACCGTGGAACAAATACAGAATTTCGAGAGGATTCGATCGAAATTAAAATCAAAACAAACTTGAAACGTGCATTTTTCCTTGCAAACAATATCGAACAATGTTTTGTAGCGTGAACAAGCATCGGATCTTGTCGCCGCTCGATGGAGTGTAAACAGCGCTCATACGTATACGTATAAAAAACGCAATTGACCATCTTAGTTATCAAGATTTTAACAATGTGATAATTATAATGGAAAAAAAATCACACGCCGTTCGTGTCTATGTTATTTTCTCGATTTCTAATTGTTCTACTGCCAAAAAGATTCTTATTATACGGCAACTGCGACGTACCGTACACTTGTAAGTGAATTTTGCTTCTTAAAGTTTTGTACTTCTATTAATTGACAAATACAATGTTCTTGGAAGATAAGTTTTAGCGCGCGATTGATCATTAAATAAAGTGAACGTTTCTTCAGTTTTATTTCACGAGAACTGAAATTGTACCTGACCACACCATTTTTACGTTACTATGAAATCTTCTTTTTCGCTTCCGTAAAATCATTCTTTGATCAATACACTTTTCAATATGTTGCAATTTTCTATCATAAGACTATACAACTGTTTAGTCGATTTACATTCTCCTGGGTATATTTATTTAGTAAAATAATATTTTATTCAGATATTGGTTTTAAGCTGCAAAATATCATGGTAGATAATAACAATATTGAGATAAAATGTATCGTGAATCATATATATATATATGTGTGTATATATATATTTCAGTTTAATTTTCATAATGTTGATGTACGTTTACTTATATCTGCAAATGCTTGTACTGAAATTACGCGATGTTCAGAAAATAATTATGCTATTTCATTTACATTTCGGTTGGCTCGATTAATTCGTATTTGTTTGTGACTCCCCCAAGACCTCTTAATTCTTCGACCAATTCTCGGACGCCTATTTTACGAGAAACCACTAATGTTCGTTGAGCTTTAGGGCCGTAACTGTGAGATTTCACACCCAGTTGTCGTGCAATCCTACAGTACATTAAATGATTCATTCGATGAACAGACTTGTCGATTCGATAAATTATTTGAAAAGATTTTATCGTTGCGCTTACTGATGGATCGTTGCCCGCTCTTCATTGGTAAAATCAGCAGAAAATATTAGATCTTCTCTCATATCACCTGCGAGATACTTCCTAATAATACCTCTAGACTTCGTTTGTAAATCATTTGTGTTATAGCTATTGGATTTTAATCCCAGGCCCTCTCTACTAATTTGTTGCTTAATACTGCAACAATATAATCAATATTTATATCTTTCATTGAACGTTATGGAAAAATATACCTACGTAACAGGTTCAGTAATTCCCTGTTGCGATTTGCCAAGACCACCGCCGGCCCAACCCATTAACTTCATTAATTTCTTCCCAATGTTGTCGTCCGATATTGAATCGTCTTTCAATGTATTTTTCATCGTTGTCGTAGTCACGATGGCATCTGTATTTATATTATGCTTAATCTGAAAAGGGAAATTGTTAAAATCCGACAAGTAGGAAAATAAAAGATAATTCGTTTACAAACTTTAATCGTATAATAATGTTTCCGAAGTTCTCGTAATCCGACAGTGGATGCTTCTTTCTTCGCCAGCTTTCGAGTAGAACCGCACTCTTGTGCCAACGGTATTGAATTGAGTGAAATGCTGCATTTACTGTAAAAAAAGAATGACTAATTCAGATCATACATTTGAAGATAAAACAAATATTATTACATACATAGAATTGTTTATCGTATCATATTTCCATTCTAAGTTTCCCCCCGATGCATTTACAGCACAAGTGAGTATGGTTTGTGGCATATCGTCCGGTCTTTCCACCAATACGATATCGCCAAACGGAAAATCCTGTAGCTCGATCCGTTTAATAGGTAATTCGTTAGTTTTTGAGTTGCTAGATGGTCTTGTGCTTTTTCTTTTTGTTTTTCTTTTATTTGTAGACCTTGGGGCATTGAGTCCTGAACAACATTACAGCATTATAGAATGAAATATACAATAAAGTATGCTTTATTATGATTTGTTCAATACTATTTAACAAACCGTATAACTCACAGTTCTTTGATATACCTTTAACCTTTGAACTAGCGGCATCCGAAGCTTTAACAAATGTTCTTTGTAATTTCTTTTTTTGTTTTTCTCTATAATCCCCAACAATGTCTTTACCTAATTCAGCTATTAGCTGCATTGTTTCTTTGGGATATCTAAAATAAACGTCGTTAAAATTTATGTAAAAACGATCCAAAATACACGTCGCGATCTAAAAGAAAGCAATTTCATACCTGCAGCCTAGTAATTCGACATTAAAAAATACTTGGGCCAAACAAACCAGTTCATCTTCTGGAAATTTGTGTTTATGGGCTAACAGAAATTTACGTCTAAGCTCCCAATGTTCGTCGCACTCGTGCTCTGTTTTGAATTGTTCTACGTCCCAATCGTGATCCGAGCTCATTCTCATCAAAATATGTGTTTTGTGGGGCAAATTATCAATTCATACACGTCTTAATATGTATGTAACATAACCTTCAACGGTGTACCAAAAAGATACAACAAATGAAATTTATTTCTATTCGTTGTTTTATCAATTCTTCGAAATTATTTCCGTTTGGTTGAAAACGTTTACGGATTCATACGATTCACGTAATATTTGTATTAGAAGAGAAAAGAAATTTACTTCAAAACAATCGTACGAATGTTTTACTGTTTTCAGATTGGTTTTAGGTTATGACCTCGGAGATATCGAAAGAAAATCTCTATAAAAGCTACTAGCTCGTTAAATTTAATTGTATTTAATTTGATCAGTTTATTCGATCAAGAATATTTGATATAGGAATCAAAAGAAAAATACTTCGATCAACCTACACCTAATGTCAATAAATTCGTAGTTGTATCGGTCGTACAGTACAACGCACGACACACTCTAAGGACGGAGTCATGCGAAAAAGACAAATATCGACATCCGCGGAAAATTTCAAGAACTCGAATCGCTTAAAAACAACTTCGACTTACCACAAAAGTTCAACGACGTTTTTGTTTTTATTAGAACTGAAATTTCTCGTCGAATTTTTCCTCCTTTGAAAAGAAAAGTAAGGCTGTGCGACTGTGCCTTGCTCTTGCGCAAACTTGAAGTCCTTTTATTTCTAAAGATTCGCAAGATGGCGCTGCGAACCTGAATACTCATGAGAACTGTCAATTCGTATATCTACGAGTCCAAATTACAAATGTCAAATGAGTAAAAATAACGTGAACAGTGAATGTAATTATTGTAACTGTGTTTCACGTAAATGGTGAGTATCGTGTTTGAATTAATTTGCATATAACACGAGTTAATCGTGTGAATGTTCAGAAATAATTCCGAAAATACAAAACAATTTCTTTGTCAATAATTTCATTATTTCTCATAACGTTTATACAGCTGATTATATAGTAAATAAAACATGCCATTTACAAAGCAACACTGTTCTTAACAATAAAAACAGTCCAGTAGTAAATAGAATATAAATTTGAACAAAGTTCTGTACATTCTATTAAAAATGGCAGTATCTCTTGACATCCTTAACATAAACTCAATGTGTATTCTAATCAAATTAACAAAGAAATTGAGTCAAGATGTTCTTATAAAATTCATCGATCGTTCTTACATTTACAACTGATTTTCAGAACTTTGGAATAGTTACTTTGATGTGAATCTTCTGTAACTGTTCTTATATCGAAGAAAAATGTCAGATGAAGAGGATACAGCGATATTACTAAACAGTGCAAACAGAACTATCGAAACGTCTATAAGCAAAGTTCCAAACGAAGATTATCAATGTCTACCTCCTAAAAATCTGAGAAAACCAATCCCTAAGCAAAATGATAACTTAACGCCGTTAACGTCTGGTAATCAAAATGTTTTTGTTTCCACGGTTGCAATTCTGGCGGGTATTGCTTTCGGATGCGACATGGGAGTAGCAAAACCAATAGCCCCTTTAATCAAGCATGAATTCAACTTAAATTGCTTCGAAAGAGATTTTGTTATTAGTATTTGGTTCATTGGGGCGCTTCTTGGCGGTGTAACTGGTGGTAAGTTTCACGAGAGCGTCGTTCATATATGATAAATAATCCAGAAATAAATACTATCGACACGTTACAGGTTTTCTAATTGACTCGTTCGGTCGGCGCTGGACGATGATATTAACACTAGTTTTTCTAACTTTTGGTGCCACGTTGTCAGCACTGGCAAATCATTATATTTTATTACTCGTTGCGCGAGTAATTTGCGGCTATTCGGGAACAATTTCGGCAGTGGCGCACTGCGTATATATGGCAGAAGTATCCGACCCGAATAAACGCGGATACAATATAATGTTGTATCAGTTGGGCACAGCCACCGGATTTTTAGTATCCGTTATAGCCGCTGCCGTAAAAAACATAGACTACCAGTGGCGATTTTCGATTGGCATTACAGCCGTTCCCGCCTTAGCCGCTTGTATCATTACTATTATATTTCTTCAACGATCCCCGCCATTTTTGCTTTACAAGAGAATGGCGAATGTCTCGAAGACACCGTCCAAAAGTGCTTGGTATTCGGTTTTCGAGACTCTGACGATCATGGTTTTTTTATTGATATTGCAACAAGGTACTGGTAAACGACAAGTCTTGTATTATGCGCCGAGATTGTTTGCATTGTTGGGTATTTGTTCAAGTAAGTGTTGAAATCATACTTCTTATTTCTGAAAATATCCTTTCTCTACTTTAAACACAAGTTTTATTCGTTTGTTTCTCAGATTTTCAAAATTATGATTTTATCATAAATAGTAGTATGTTTGTACCGAGTATTTTCATACTTAATCCCTACTTTATTCGTTTCACAGATGTTGCTGAAATCACAGCTTTGATATCCCTGGGCGTCGTTAAAGTTTTCAGTACCATGCTGTCCCTGATCATAGTAGAGAGGTGTGGACGTCGGACAGCGTTAATTACATCAGCAACTATTTGCATGACAACAATATCATTGTTGTCGTTGCTAGCTACTATAGACAGGGGCGACGACAGCTTGGATATTGTAAATACACATTGTAAGAATCATCACAACGAGGAGGTTAAAATTCAAAACACTATGCCAGCTGGATCTCCACCGCCATTTCCATTGCTTCCGACTCCGTTGGCCATAATTGCCCCCAGTCCTGAAACATGGACTCAAATTAAAGCGTCTTGCGAAGTATATATCCCTTGTTTATCGCGTTCACGAATTTTTCACCCGTTGAGGTTTCAGTCCAGTACCTAAGCACGTTTTTTTCTCGTCGTAGATGCAAAATATCATTGTTTCCGAAGGTCTTACCGGTGGGTTACGTATTTTGGCAGTAGTAACATTGCTCGTGTACGAGGCAGCATACGCCCTAGGACTTGGTCCTGTACCGCTGTTAAATCTTACGGAAGTTTTCCCCGCAGCGATACGAGGAAAATGCATCAGTTTTATTTCAATTGTAATATGGGTGACCCACATCATCGCTACAGAATCGGTCAGCGCTATGGCCAGTAAGTTACATATCGCTCAAAATAAATGCTTTATCGTTAACATATATGTGAGTATGTATATCAAATACAATTACTCTGTTTCAGAATCGTTAACACTAGCTGGATCGTATTTGTTCTATAGCTTTATGTGTCTTGTCACCATATTTTACGTTTTCTTATTCATACCCGAGACGAAAGGCAAATCTCTGCATCAAATAGCTCAAGAGATACGCAAAATTTCGCTCGTGACACGGATATGTAACAATTTGCGTAGTTTACCACTAATTTGTCATATCAAATGGATAAAAAAATATGACGAAAATGTAAGTAACGGGCAAAGTACTTTGATATAAGGTGAGATATTGCGTGCTAGAGTAATTATTATACAATCACGATGCGTCTGCGAAAAACATTTAAAATGCCACTGATTTTTCAGGTTTTCTATACCTAAGTGATTAACTATTAATTTTAGCAAAAACTTAACAAAGTTCGTAACTTATTTGTGCAATACTGTGTTCAAAAGGCATCGCGCGTTAATAACGCGCGCTTGCGTGCATATTCGAACAAAACTTCTCCGACTGCCGATCGTTGTATTACATATCACACGGACGTAACAAAAAAAAAAAAAAATGTTGAACATGCAATCCCATTTCAATACAAAAGACTGACTAGTTTCTTAATTTAGTTCTTTTCGGCATTTTCTGCCCTTCTCGCATTAACATATGCATAATTATCCAGACTATCGATTGTTTAGTTTTAATTTATTTCTTCGAGTGTCACATTGCACGATGCAATCATTTCCATGAAAAATGTAATTAAGAACGCGTGATTAGGAACGAAACGTAAGTATTAAGTAAATGATAACGAACTATACATTTTATAGTATAGTCGAACAATGCACTGATAAAAGTTACGTTGACAAATACATACATTAGACATTTAGATAGACACGTGTATGTTGTACGTCACATCGTAATAAAAATAGAACTATTTTTAATTATTATAATTGCGCTATTTCTAGGGAATTTTTAAAATATTAACATTTACTGAATTCGTTTTAATACTCGTAGTTTCTCTATGTATAGTAACGACATGCGATGTTTTCCGGTGCCATTTAAAATATATATTATTATGTAAAAAAAGTCTTTTATTATACATAACATTGTTGTATATAAAAATAATTTTCATATGTATAATTATTACAGATCTATAATATTGTATAATGTAATATCGTACTTGGCAACGATGTAACTGATTTACATACTTAATAAAACGGATAAAGTACATTATAGAATCTTTTTGCTTCTTCTGATGCGTGAAAATAATGCTCCTCGCAAATTGGTTACTGTTTAGAACTTTATAAAAATAACTTTATTGCGGTTCCGCGTCGGAATCAGTTTCGAAAATAAATATACATGTTTTACTTTCACTAATTTCTTATCGCATGACGAAAGATAATCGATACGAATACAGGAAGACATTTATTCCGTAAAGTTAAACTAAATATCACTCTTGATAAAAGTTCTAGCCTAAAAGATAAATTAACCCTTAGACAACCGTGCGAGGTCCATCGGGGATCTCAGCCTCATTATTTCGGTAATAACTTATTAACTTAATTGAATTAATACTTGTTATTATCGGTAATCGTTCCTCTTAATCTCTTTAATCTCATACCGTGATTACGTTTTTAAAGTTAAGTACTTTAGATCCGAGGTTGATCGAAGATAGGAGAAAATCGTGCGGTCGTCTAAGAGTTAATAAAATTAAATCACTATTGTAATTTCTTCCGATTCTTGGAAATCCTAAAACTAAGTTCTCTAAGATTTTTTCACGGTGGATCCAACGAAAGATTTCCTTTTGTTCCAAGTCAAAAGTTTCGGTGGCGATAATACTTGCTCTAAAAATATGTGTCGCCTCTCTTTTAAGTTTAAATCGGTATTGCACAATGACTTATCGTTTTCGTAGATCGTGTCAGTTTTCTCCCGATTCGCGTGAGATCTATCGTTCGGTGTGTTTTTTGTATGGCCGACGTTCAATGTCGCGACAGGCGCTAAATTCTCTTTGTCGTGTCTCGTCGAAACGTCCATGGTCCTTTTCGATATAACCGAAACGTTTTTCTTCGGTGCGTCCAGCTCGGAAGACTGTCCTATTTTAATAGCATTGTTCGGCGTAACGACGTAAACTAGCTGCGATTTCGATTCAAATTTTTCCTTCAACAATGAGAATTTTCGTTTCGGATAGTTGATCGCTCTCCTACGTTTATCGCAAGATGGCGGCTCTGTCTTCTCCGTATCACCGGAGTTCGAGTTTGTCGAGATATTTGGCGTCACGTTCTCGCGATTGCCGTTGACAGATTCGGACACGGACAGCTCGGATAAATTATTATGTACAACCTCGACGTTTTCAACAGGTACTAAAGGACTCATCTCAACGTACAGATCATTCTCTTTCGAGTCGTCTTTTCCGTACGCGATGGACACCTGTTTCTGCAGCTTCGCTTTATTGCCTAAGATCGGGGAATCGGATAATATCGCATCTATCAGAGGTGTCTTTTTGATCGATTCTATGGCGCAATACTTAACGAAATCTCGAATCGCGTCTATCTCACACTTCCCTCGAACGATCGACTCCGAGTCATCCAAACGATTTATATAATTTCTATTGCGCGTGACAGGATCTTTAAGATCGTTCTTGAACAACGCTCTGGTCAGCTGTGCTTTCTTTATCAGATTCTTCGGATAAAAATCCTCGCACTGCGTGCCCGTCGTGTGAAACACGTGCCTCGGCGAATTCTCAGCCGTGTACTTTCTGATTTGATCGATCGTGCTCACCAAAGTGCTGACCGAATCGCAACCAGGTCGAGTGTACTCGAATTTCTCGTCCTCGTGTTCCTCCATGATAGTATCTAGCGCGAACATCCCGCCTTTGTCGTCTATCACTACCGGCTTCGCGATATAAAGCGTAGCATTCTGTTCGTCCACGTCGGAAGTCCTCTTCGCGGCCAGGGACGCGTCCTCGCTGTACAAAGCTCTTAACTCTCGAGGATCTATCAGATCGTACGCAAGCGTGTCAAGGTAATCGTCTTGCTTCAGAATTCCCCTCAGCACCGAGCTGGCGCACGTCGTGTCAGAGCACTCTGAACTGTAAGTCGTCCCAGTCGTGGTGCTCGTCAAAGTGTCCCGTCGTCTATCGCGAACAACGCTGTCGTCGTGGATGTACGTCTCTATATCCGTGTACCCTTTCCAGCTACGGATGCACCAGGGTGGTCTGGCAACGCCGAGAGGACAGACGTTCTCGTAGTCGTGTATCGAGGTGACGCAACTCATCGTTTCGTCCCTCTGTTGCAATTCCTTCGTCAGTTTTTCCGTTTCCGAAATTTTCTCGCCGTCGAAAATCGTCGGCGTTTCCAGCCTGTCCCTCAACATCGCGATGCCGTTCAGATTGTCGCGCTGCTCCTCCGATTCGTCGCATTTCACGCTCGCGTCCGACATCGATTTTTGGTCGGCCGCGACCGTCTCGTCCGCCTCGTTTTCCATCTCGAGGATAAGTCGCGTCGAGAAGCAAATCCCGCGTCGCTTCTGCGACGGATCCTTCGTCGAAACGTCCTTGTCTATGTCCAGGCCGTGAGTGGTCGGCAGACAAATGCCTCTGCGTTTCTGGCGGTGAATGGCCTTCTCGGTGGCATCGTTGCAGTCGTTTTGAATTTCAAATTCTCGTGCGCCGTCCGATGCGGGAAACGAGCTTTTCGGCAACGCGCTCGACGAAGTGCCCTCCTCGTCGTTCGAGAAGTTACTGTGTGCCGACTCGCACTCCGACACCACGCGAACCGCGGCCTTCGACTCGTTCTCGACTTTGCAGCTCCGATTGATGACGCCGTTCTCCGCGCACTCGGAACTCTGTACAATGTTCGTCAACAACGACTGCTTGTCCGCCGTGACTTCCTCGGACACAGTCCCTTGAGAATGATCGATGGAACACAAAGAATTGGGATAACACTGCTTAAACGATCTGGGAGTAACGGCTATATTATCGGTGGTCATCTCGGACTTCTTATCAGTGTCGTTGGGCGTACCGCCGCCGATCTTCGATGGATGAAACTTACCGTAATAAAACAACATACTCAACATACCGATCATCATCCCTCCGGCTATCAAGCTCGCCACTATTGCTATTTCCTCGGTCTTAATAGCATCTTTAAAACACAATATGTAAACAACTAAAAACACTATGTTCTCTGTCACGATGATGGTGTAAAAGATAAGTACTCTGTACCGGGACTTGCCAACACGTAAATTAAAAAAATCGAAGCAATAAATTAATCCTATGATACAATTATAAATACGTTCTTCCCATAAGGTGGGACAGAAGTCTGTGTTCTGTAGAATTACCCACACGGTCATAAATAGCCAATGGAGTCCTGTAACATTCAGAGAGGAACGGGCAGCTATGTAAAAGATAGAAATCTATTTTGAGAAGTCTGTTGCGGTAACATGCTGGTACACTTACCAAGAAATAATAAAAACCATTCCTGTAAACAAATTGCCGTTAAAACCAATACTGCTATTCTGGACATTAGCATTCCAGCCCGCCAGACACCCTGAAGAGTCAATACTACCCATGTTGTCTCGTTATGGCCTGGATTTATTTTGTGCATTGCTTTTGTATATGTACCTATAGCCCAGCTCAACGAACAAAAGGACACTATGGCGGATAAACCTGTTTGATTGTCCATTTAAGCACAAATTAAATACAATTCATTGCTAAATGTTGCAAATATCGTTTCTTATGTGTATTTCTACGAGATATACAGAAATTACTACTTCTACAAGTTTTTTGGTCAGAGAGAGAGTGGTAGCTGGAAGTCATTTTATTTTTAGCACTTTTAAAACACCCACCCCGTTCAGAGAACATTATTTTTAAAGTCACAGTGCTGTAAGCTTTTCCCGATAGAGTATCTAACCAGTAGCCATGCAACAAGTTTCTAAACATAAAAAAATAGTGCTTTCTGCAGGAAGATAGAATACTGTCCATGATATCTTTGTTCCTGCCTCTGTTATCTATGGGGGCGGGTCAAAGGAAGTAAAAATATGTAGTCTCTTAACTCCAGTTTTCTCTCAAATTCTACAAATTACATTCCCTCTGTAATAAAAGTATCATTACTGTAGAAGATTTCATACATATATCCAGAAAAAGAATATAGAAAATGTCAATAAAAATGACTGAACTCGAAAGTCAAACAATAATACGTTCGTACTTGTTAAAAGTAAAATGTTTACACGTTTTTCATAACGTGTTCTCAGGATTACATGTAAGTATTTTTATGTTCAATCCGCAAAGTAAAATGTGTTTGTGCTAACATATTATTTCTTTACAGAGGCAACTTACATTAGTGAAACTAATTATGATACTAGCTGTAGTATTTATGTCACTTATATTCTTATTGAATTTGCTATACACTTCATGCTCACACATAAGTAAACATTTAAAGACTGTAAATTATATCCATAATGGAAATTATAAACATAGCAATCTAATTAGCAATAAACTTATTTTAACTAATTTGTCCGTGGAAGAAATGAAAAATGTTAGGATTCGATTAAGTATCAGGAAAGCTGAATTAGAACAATATTGTAAAATCATTGGCAAAACAGACTCAAACTTGGACAATGTATTGTCAAACATGGTTATCGATACGTAAGTATAGAATATTCTGTTCCAGTCTATTATTTTTTAAAACACAAATTAATCGATATTTGTATTATACAGAACACATGGAATATCATGGTGTCCTATATACAAAGCAGCAAGTTCAACTTGGATGAAGCATTTTGCAACACTTGGGGGAGTATTAACAGAGACAGCTATGGAATTGATTCGGAGAGATATTTTACAGATTAATACCATTGTTAGAAAAGCATTTCCACGCGATCGAGACATCAAGAAAGCCTTCCAAGTAGGAAATAATACAACTAATTAAGAAAGTAATAGAGGTATCAAATAGACACTACAAAACATTAACGATTTCTGTTACAGAAATTAAATAAAACAAAGAAATTCTTGATCGTTCGTCACCCGTTTGAACGTCTTGTATCCGCGTACAGAGATAAATTAGAGCACATAGAAGGAAGAGATTATTACTATAAAAGATTTGGACGACACATTGTGCACAAATATCATAAATACAGACAACCAAATGAAACCAAATTAGAACCCACGTTTACAGAATTTCTTCGTTTCATAGTAGAGGAAAAATACTTTGACGAACATTGGGCACCATTTGTCAATACATGCGAACCTTGTATAATTAAGTACAATTACATTTTAAAATTTGATACGTTTGATAGAGATCAACAATTCCTTATACAAGAACTAGGTTTAAGCGAATATCTATACGAAAAAAGTGATTTAAGAAATATAAATCCACGCGGGGTTACAACTAGCGCTTTGGTTAAAGAGTATATGCAAAATGTTCCTAGATCATTGCTCGATGAAATTAATAAGGTTTATGAAACTGATCTTAAATTGTTTTCTTATTTACCTATATAATATTTATAAGATGTTTTCCATTAGCGATAAAACTATAAATGTGATAAATAATTGCATTTAATCCTGAACTTCCGCAATAATGATCTCTATCATGGAATTAATATCTTCTGTATTTCATAACTATTTTAATTGTTCTTACTTGTCCACAATGGTGTACGACGTAATACTGCCATGACATACAGCTGCAATATTAATTGTGGAGCAGCTCCCATAAATGACTCAAACAAATGCAACATGCATATATCGCTTTCCTGTCTATACACCCAATTTTTATCCTTCACAAATTGTTTGCTTCTTAATGAATATATCGTAGCATAAAGTAATATTAAATACCTAGAAATAAAATTATTTTCCCTCAAAAGAAACACAAGAACTAATTGTAAGCCGATAGGAAAATTTTTTTAAATAATACCTGTGTAATATTCCCAAGAACAAAAAGTGTAACAACCAATGTATAGCTTTAATAGAACCGTCGCTGTGATACCATCTTAAACTAAACATTTGAGTAACGCCAGCAGGTAGAATTGTAAAACTCAAAGCAAAACATCCCCAAATAAATTGGCCTTGTAAAAAGTATTTCGTAAATACAATACTATCTACAAAAAAACATATTTTATAATAATTTCCACGTATTCCATGGGTGCATCTATCGAATAATGCTTTTGTGGATTTTAGAAAAAAAACAGCTTCATCTTAGTACAACTAATATTAAAATTAAAAAGCACAAATTAAATTAAATTATCTCATTTGAAGATACATTGTTCGATTACAGTCTATATTTATTTCATACTATGCTAAGTATTTACAATATAATAATCACAAAAATCATATGAAATGTTGAATAAATTTGGCAAAAATGTTTTATCAACTTTTTCCTGTGTAATTTTATGCATTGGCTTCAAAAATGAAAAAAATCTTTTGCCAGAATGAAGTGCAGTCACTAAGTGTCACAATCACCCAATTGAAAGGTCTAAGTTACTTTTGAATTATTCGAATTTCTAAATGCAATTTTTCAGTTAAAAATTAAAAAGTTCAGTGACTGAATCCAGTGATTTAATTTCATTTTTAGTAAAAATTATTTTCAATTTTTAGTTCAGCGCACGAAATTACACAGTAAAATGTTGGAAAAACGGAATTTTTCGATGCCGGTCATATTCATTAAATTTTCCATTTTAATTTGTAAATACTATATTGTCATAATTGTTACTATATTACAATAAACGTACACAAGCGTAAACAATTTATACAAAATTGTAAGAATGTTCGTGTTTTACTTTATACTCTGCATATGTTAAAAATATTCAGATTTATCGGCTAATTTCTATTATTTTATGCTAAAAGAAAAAGTATTTCGGAATAAAATACAGAAAATATATAGTACACTTTTAGTCTTTGTTCACCTGTTGCTATATCCATGAAAAAAAAACTGACAGAAATCAAGTAGTAAATTAAGTCTAACAATCTGAACTGATAACATTCTATTTCTCTGTGCGATATTACTATTGATACATTTCTTTTCACAGTTTCGTAGCACGAAACATTATCATGTTTTAACTCTGCCGCCGCCATCTTCCCGGCCATTCTTGATTTAATTTTACACAATAGACCAAAGAACGCGTTCGAAAATCACCCATATACTATCCATACTTTTTATTTCTACCATATCACAACGTAAACTTGATATATTGATTTCGCTATTAAACACGGCATATTCAAACGTAAAGCAACAATCGGTTTCTTCTGAAATCTAAATCACCGAAGACATCTCGTAAAAAAAAAAAAACATCACAATTACACCACCGACACGAACATCAATTACAGCCAATCCCATTATTGGAATTTTCATTTTCAAGCGAGATACGCCCCAATCAAAACCATTCTGCCGACCTAATCCATCGTGGTGTCTTGTATAAAATCTAAATTTGACTTAACGAACGTTAAATACCCGAAAGTTTCTCGTTTTCTTTCAGTTTCCTCTCGTGCAGTTAATTTGCACGGGTTGTAAGCCAAGCTCCCTTGATATTTATAAATATTTGTTTGGAAATCACCATTCTTTTGTACATAAAATTTGTACACAAGGTAATTCAGAAAAAAATGTAACAAAAATCGTATTTTAATTCGGTTGACATTGATGCAAGAATACGTTATTACTCTTCCAAAAATAAAAATAAAAAATTATCTATATACACGAGAGGAACGGTATCTACCGCACACTACTGTTCCGTACACGCAGGCGCATCGTGTACATGTTTCTCAATACGACTATAAAATAAAATATGGCGAAGATTTGATGACTGGACGTATAATGTACGATCTAGCTTAACAGTCAGTTGTTTTTTGCTGACATAGCGTCGAGATAAACGAACTTCCGATAATATGCCTGTCATGCGATCTTCAACGTAAACTGTACCGAAACGTAAATTGGCAAAAGTAATTATTTCTATAAATGTTAACCTTGTCGACGAGAACAAAATTTCATTCTACGTAGAAGTAAATTTAAATTTTAAGTGAGGTCGGTGATGCCATTAATTTTCAAATGGGGTTAAATATTCTCAAAGATGTGGGGGTAAGCGATAAAATACTCGCAAAGTATCATGTTACTTATGAAATGACATTCCTCCTGGAAATATTTGTGTTTAATACATATTAGTAAGGCCAGTGAATTGTCATCTAAAATTGCTATCAAGTCCCCCCTCCCCCCTTTTTATATGGTAAGTTTTTACAAAACATTGCCTGTTTTTGGATTCGTCGAGTGAATCGAAAACAGGTTGATATTAATTGTTCTTACTATTTGTTTTAGCAATAGGAATTAGGGGTGTTATGCCATTGAAGAAACCTCGATACAACATGTATATTTTCGAAGGAGATTACAGGCGTAAACCCCAACAAAATTTAGCTGGTGCAAGCAGGAGGAACGATCGATCAGAGAAATCAGTTCTCTTGCAGCATGTGCAATTTGAACGTTCAAAGCGAGAGCAGCAGCGTAGAAGACACAATGCAGTATTAAAAATTCAGGCAGTTGTACGTGGCTTTGTTGTTAGAAAACATGTAAGAATGATCGTGAGGAAGGAATTTGACGAGGAACAACTAATAACTGGTCGTAGAAACTTGAATTTAGATGACCTAGCAATATATTTTCGAAAATTATTATTCTTTTACGACTATACCGTGGATACTGGTAGACTTGTTTGGACGTTTCAACATTTTTTAAAGCACGAGCAAGAAATTAAACGAAAATGTATAAACTGTCCAGAGTGGTTGTGGAGATTAAGGTAATTTTTTACAAACAATATGCTATAATGTTTGTGCATGTTATGCCATGATATTAAAGAAATATATTTACAGGTGGATGCTTCGTATGTGTATACAATATAATTCAGAAGCCTTAATGGATGGAGCTTATTCATTGGCTATACCATTGAGAGCTTTAGAAACTTTTACTAGTCGAGAAGATACAGAAAAGATCTTAAGAGAATTTAGTTATAAACATCTAGAAACCATCTTTGTATATTTGATAAAGCATAAATACTTTGATCAGTTAAGGAAATTGATAAACGAGAAAGTTCCACCTTTGTTGGAACCAACTTCTATCCCAGCAACCCCGATCTCAAAATGTTTAGTGGATATGATAAAGCGACCTCTGGACTTGATTTCCTTTTTAGATCAGAAAGATGATTTTTCTATGCTTGTCTTACAGGAACTTTGTAGAAGTATACTTTCTCCAAGAATGTCCGATCCCATTCGAATGTTTATTATCCCATCATTGTGCGAATTCAAAGAATTTCCATACATTCAATTAATCGATTGTATCAACAGAATGAAGATCGAGCCTACAATAAGTTTACTTTATTCTATTTTATCTCTAGAATCGAATCGATTTTGTAAGTGTATACAAATGAGGTAGAATAGCAATTATGAATACTAACACGGAATATAAAATAACAACTTTTTCTTTATATTACAGCAACATGTAAATTTAAAGATGTTCTTATTAACTATTTGCAAGTTCTTGCATCTACGAGTTCGTCAATAGTCCCGTTAGCTACCGAAGAAAACATGGAAGACACAGACGATTCGGACACAGAATCGATTGCGAGTATGATCGATAAAGACGAAGCCGATGTTTTACATCAGTGTTTAGAAATGCTGAATGAACAGCAACGCGTTCAGAAAATACTCTTAGCGGTGGATCGTAGCAAAGATCCTGCCGTGTTGCAACCGTTGTGCCAACTCTGTCATCATTTGCTGATTACCAACAAATTAGCTATTCACAAGTATAAATTATTATACATGCTCGCTTTCAAGCCGATGTTTTTGAAGAATCTATGGAGTGCTCTGCTCTCAGTTTGTCAAGTGTCGTTATTTGGTGAAGCGACGCCTCTGCTGCAGATTATATCGCAGGGACTTACACTTTCGAACGAGGATACAAAAAAAATAATTCCGCTATTGCCCGTTTTTTGTTCGCTGTTCAGTTTACTTATCGCAACGTTACACGATACGGAATTCTTCATTGAAAATCAACAGGCATTGGATAGTAATGAACAACAGGCGATGCCGTTCACGATTTCGGAATTGGTAGTGCTTTCGAGTCATTTGAAAGGCGTCTGTTTGGGCTTGGTCGAGCTTGCATTCCCCGATAGCCGACCTACTATGAGAGATAATTACAAAACTGCTATTCTTGGTCCGTCGTGCACTATTCAGAGTCAACAGGATACGCAAATGTGGACGCATTTGTTCAAAGTAACAGTTGGTTTGCTACGACAGTTGCATACCCGTGACTTAAGACAACAATTCTGTCCAGAGGGGCACTGGATCGCGTCGAACATTGCAATACCTTTAGATAGACCTCAAGATTTCACGTTTCGCAGAAGTAGACTCAGAGGGTACGTGCTATTCCAAGGGTTTCGTGTGTTCACGCGCGAAGAGCTAGAGAAGGGACCACCGTTGTCCTCGAAGGAAGTTCGAACATTGACGGTCCTTCGCGAGATACCATTCGTTGTGCCGTTTAGTGATCGAGTAGTGGTATTTCAATCGTTGATTTATCGAGACAAAACAGAACAGCAAGGTGACGTAACAAACTTCATGCAAGGACCGTCGATAAAGTTATCGGTAAGAAGAAACTACTTGTACGAGGATGCGTTCCAAAAGTTATCGCCAAAGAAAGAATCCGAATTACGATTAAAAATGCGCGTGCAATTCGTTAATTCAGCTGGGGTGGGAGAGCCTGGTATAGACGGTGGCGGTCTGTTTAGAGAATTTTTGTCGGAACTGTTAAAAACAAGCGTCGACCCTAACAGAGGCTTTTTCAGACTTACTAAGGATAACATGCTGTATCCGAATCCGACGGTACACTTGCTGGTCGAAGATTTCCCGGAACATTATTACTTTATTGGTAGAATTCTTGGAAAAGCTTTGTACGAGAATTTGTTGGTCGAACTACCGTTCGCGGAATTCTTCCTATCGAAAATTGTTGGCCGCCAATCTGACGTTGACGTTCATCATTTAGCCTCCTTAGATCCAATTATGTATAGGAACCTCTTATATCTGAAAAGTTACAAAGGCGACGTTGCCGATCTTGGCTTAGATTTCACCATATTGTCGGACGAGTTAGGCGAACGACGTGTCGATGAATTGAAACCGAGCGGTGCCAATATCCCTGTTACAAATCACAATCGTATCGAATATATCCACCTGATGGCCGATTATAAGCTGAACAAGCAAATCAGAGCACAGTGTTACGCATTCAAGCGTGGCATTGGTAACGTGATACCCTTAGATTGGCTTCAAATGTTCAGTAACAAAGAACTGCAGGTATTGATATCGGGTGCACAGATTCCCGTCGACGTAAACGACTTGAAAATGCATACCAACTACACGGGAGGCTATACCCGTGATCATCCAACGATCATTGCTTTCTGGAAGGTCGTTAATGAATTTAACGACCAGCAAAGAAGACAATTGCTCAAGTTCGTCACCAGTTGTAGTCAACCCCCGTTACTTGGATTCAAGGTATGCACGAACGAAGCAATAAGTATATCGTCTCTTTTCTATTTATTTCCTTTCGACCAATTAATAGTAAGACATTTTCAATTTTTCAGGAACTCGAGCCACCTTTTTGCATTCAACAAGCTGGCAGTGTAGACCACCTGCCAACTTCTAGTACCTGTATGAATCTACTGAAACTTCCCAAGTTTCCGAATGAGAAAATTCTACGCGAAAAACTTTTATATGCGATACAAGCTAGTGCAGGCTTCGAACTGAGTTAAGCCCGATTTTCTCTGACACTTAAGTGAACCCTTCTAGTTAAATCGGTGATACCTGACTGTATATAACATTGCAAACGTAATCAAGATTTAAGTGCGTGTTTGAGAGGAAGAAATACGAACGTAAATGCTGTCATATTTTAATAATCGATAAGTGATACGATTCGGTGTTTACCAAGTGCTCCGCATGTACAATGTTCGTTTAGTAACAATGATAAATGGATTTCAGTTTGAACCGATGTTTCGCCCGCCGATAGGTCGATATTAGTACATACTCGTAACGGGGCATAACAGTTTTACGAAATCTCCATCGAACGTGGCAATAAACATGTAATATTGTCAGGAGGGGCCAATTAATTAGGTAGCATCTCGAGAAAACTACTACCGGTACAGAGAACAAAATGTATTATTTGTAAGAATATGTCCGTTGTTCTGTTCGTATATATATATATGCGAACTTACACACGTCATACTATATACATATATACACAAAACCATATTTTTTTTGTTGTAATTTTCTGCCCTTGGTCTACAATTGTAAATTGTGTATATTTTTATGTTTTGTATTCGTCACAACGTAGACGCTACATCTACTTTTAGTGTACATGAAAGAGTAGGATATATGTATTTATGAATTCGTTAAGACGGTGTGTAAATAAAATGAAACCCTCAAGTGTTGCACACATCTATTACAAATACATAATTTGAACGTTATTATGGTAATGTTTCATGTTTTATTATTACAATTGTAAACAAATAAGAATCGTAAAGTATGTAAAAAAAAGTCTAGTAGAGTTCCTAGCATAAATGATTAATTTCAAGTATGTATATTGTCATACACTACTACCGTTCACCGGGTCATGTTTTCACATGGCGCTCATCCTTAGATATATATCTATGAAAATGGCACACACGTTTAGTGTGTGCTAAAGCTTATGTCATTTGTGTAACATGGCGTCCAACGAGAATAGCGATTTTCAGAAAGTTTTGGAGTTTAAAATTTATAAGTGTTCCAGCTTCTCGTCGTCTTACGTGCCAGAGTAAGCATCTACCGATTATTTAACAATTTACTTACGACAATTTCGTAATTACAGGCTAGAAAATGGTTGTTAGCTGATGACGATTCTCTAACCTAAAGTAACGGTCACGATGAAAAGCGAACACGTATATACGTGAAATTATAAAATAAATAACTGCCTCGATCACGCCGGATTTCATACGAGACTTAACAGTAACGTTATCCTTCTTTCTTTTAGAAATATCCTCGTAGATAAGCCATCGGATCAGACATCACGCTGGTCTTCCGATATTGACAATCATCCACAGGTAAACATTGTTAAAAAAATAACACAGTTATATGTTTACAAAATCGAAGAGGCCTTTAAAAAAATTTGTAAAATGCTCGATCCACGAATCTTTATTTAATTCACCGAACAAATTTAACATTGAATATTGTTAATATAATGTATGAAAGCATAAATACATGTGACGAATATCCTGATTTTTCAGTTTCTTATATTGAAATTGCAATGCCCCTCAATTGTGAAAACAATTACGTTTGGTAAATATGAGAAAACGCACGTGTGTAATATAAAAAAGTTTAAAGTGTACGGTAGCCTAGAAGCAGAAAATATGATGGAGCTCTTAGAAAGGTAGGTCGAAAAGCTTACGATTTAAAGTGAAACTGTAAATACACGTGTGTAATTGACGAGTACTTGTATCTTTTCAGTGGATTAAAGAATGACTCTACGTCAGAAACATTTGAATTGAAACATACGTTAGGAAACGAAGAGAATTACTTCCCAATTAAATATATAAAGATTCTTCCATTACAATCTTGGGGACCCAGTTTTCATTTCTCTATTTGGCATGTACGATTAACTGGTATCGACAATCCTAAAATTATCAAGCCTTATATCGAATGGTTCAATCTGGTAAATAAAGCAATATGTACTTTTTTGTAAAATATACATATACAGTCAATTTACATATACGCCGAGCAACCACTAAGTAACATTCTCTTATTTTTTGACAGTATCGTCAAAAAGAAGTTATAAGACTATGTATGAAACACTTCAGGAGACTCGAGCAACCAGAAATTGTAGAAACTCTACAGAGAGTCACTGGGGTTCCATTGGAAGATCCCAGAATGACAGGATTGTATGATTTATTAGTTACAAAGGGTGATCATCTGCAAGCCGAACGTTTCATAAGTAACGCTGTTATGAGTGAGTTTCCATTTATTCGTCCTCGTGTTATAAGTTAAATCACTACAGTTTTAAAAAGTAACACAATTTGCAGTGGGTCTTTTGAACGACTATATCAATGCTCAGACTTATAGAGCAGTTTGGACGAAATTGTCGACTAATGATCCTAAGCCTGGAATGAGAGGCGGTCATCAAATGGTACTTGATCCATCTGCAGAACTTGTTTACCTCTTTGGTGGATGGGATGGAAATCAAGACCTATCGGATTTATGGGCATACAGTATAGCTTCTAATAAATGGACCATCATATGTAAGGATACTGAAACTGTGGTAAGTAATTGAAGGAGAATAGATGTTAGATAGAAAACTTAAATGTCTAATTGTAGGGTGGTCCAAGCGCAAGATCTTGTCATAAAATGTGCCTTGATCCAGAACGTAGACAACTTTTTACCTTTGGTAGATACCTAGACACGCAATATAGAATACCGGAAAACTTGAAAAGTGATTTTTTCGTTTATGATATTGAATCGGATCATTGGACACAAATCTCAGAAGATACAGGAGCTGTAGGAGGGCCCCAATTAATTTTTGATCATCAGATGTCTATGGATATTGAAAAGCGAACCATTTACATTTTTGGTGGCCGCGTACTTGTTTCCCCGACAAAGTAAGCTCTGTGTCACGATAAATGTAGCAATTAGCGTTTTAAAACGTTCATTTGATCCACAGTTCCGACGAGCACGGTATGGTACCAGGCACAACCGAACCAATTTTTTCTGGACTGTATTCCTATCATGTGCCAACTGGTACATGGAATAGACTTGCCTGCGATATTGCGAGAACATGCCCTACTAATGTACCAACGATTAGATCTAGAGCCGGACATTCTATGTTATTCCATCCGGTATATACTCGAAAAGTTATTTACATAATTGTTTCTAGTACAATATGATTTTAAAGTTATACTTTTTTCGCAGGGATTGAGGAAACTGTATATTTTTGCGGGTCAAAGGGGCAAGGAATACCTTAGTGACTTTTTCACATACGAAATTGATACAAATCACATAGAGCACATAAGCTTCAATGATTTTAGTACAAAAGATTCGAATCACGTTCCAGCAGTCGGTTATACACAAAGAGCGACGATCGATCCCGAATTAGGAGAAATTTACGTTTTATCGGTTAGTATTGTGAAATTCTTATTACTGAAAATGATTACGACGCAATTAACAACCGTTATCATTATTTATTAAAAAACTGATATCGAAGGAGACGATATTTAAATTCCTCTCGATTATTTTTTCACTCAGGGTTTAAGCAAAGACAAAGATAAACGAGACGATAACGTACAACATTCGTTTTGGGTTTACAATATTAAGAACAATAAGTGGTCTTGCATTTATCGAAACGAGAACGTTGGCGAGAAATATTGGAACAAAATGCAAGATTACGAACCGTGCCCACGATTCGCTCATCAATTAGTTTACGATCACGCGAAGAAGGTTCGTTATATGCCATTTACGAGAAACTATCCTGTTGTTGTAGCTTATAAGAGGGTTTTACTATTGTTATTCGTTAGGTTCATTACTTGTTTGGTGGAAATCCTGGCAGGTCCCGTCTTCGAAACTTACGGCTCGATGATTTCTGGCAACTAAAGTTATGTAGACCCTCTCATGAACAAATTCTAAAAAGATGCAAACTACTTATTAGAAAGCACAAGTTTGAAGAGCTAGCATTGAACAACAGCGTCGAAGCGCTCGAGTATTTACAGACGAAAGTGTCGGAGATTATCGATCATAACGATGTGGAACAGACAAAAGAGGTATTAACATCTTTTATCAGTAACGGGTGAATACATTTTATTGATTTTGCATTTTGAACTTTATGCATTTCTTCGTTACAGTTTCAATTGTTAACGTCTATTCTATTCAGAGAACAAAACTCTTTATTAGGAGAAGCCACAAATTCGAACAGTTCGGGCAGCGTGATAGGAAATTTAGTTAACATCGGTACGTCGTTGTACTGTCCAACTACGCGTGATATTCACACATTAAGAACTGAATTGTACGATAAGCTAACAGAATTCTTTCCGGAGTCATTGACGCAACCGCGTGCTAATTTGATCTATCTTTTACCGTTATGATCCAACAGTAACTAAAAAAAATCCAATAGAGTAATGCCTGAAAATAAAAAGCAAAGAGATTCCTTTTGTTTTCTTGCAAAGATATTTACTATGATATTGAAACGTGATTTTATCTTTAAAAAGGAAACGTTATTTTTATATAGTGTACTTGTTTGTATCGTTTTAAAAAGGAAGATTTACACACGCAAACATATACATGTACATATAAATATAAATATAAATATAAATATAAATATATATATATATATATACATTAAATTTGATTTCATTCGCATAAAGATAGCTTACAAAAAAAGATACTAATATATATATACTTCATTGTGATACATCTAAGTAACAAGTTAATAATTAAATATGTACATTTACGTCTTCTGTATTGAGTTTTCGTTTGCATTGGACTGTTCTACCTGTGTTCTCTCTGTATTTAGAATTTGTTAATTTAATTTACAAACTTTATTCCATAAAATGTGATCAACATAACTACTATACCGTTACGATTAATTTTTTAATATAAATTGAATTGATTTAATAATATTATATTTTAATTTAATTTTAAATTACTGTTACTGTTATCGAAAGAAAGAAAAAAAAGATACAATTACAGAGAGACTATTTTTTAAAAGATCCTCACTTGATGTGAAAAGAAGGCTTCGTAGACTTTCATGAAACGAAAACTCGTCAAACGTAGAAGTAAGAATGAGAAAAGGACAAATGCAACAGATACGAGATGTATTAGAAATCGTATATTCTTCTATTTTGCTGGCTTCGCTCACTATTTAAAATATTTTATACACTTTACAGTTGCGCGAGCATTGTCTATATATCATACCACGTAGTTAGAACTCACATTAATCATTCATGTTCACGTTGTAAGTCTACCATAAATGCCTCGTGAGAAATGTTAGAAATTTAGGAAGAGATATCCTGCGATCTTAACTACCCATGGCAATGGACATGAAATTATTTTTAGTCTTTCTCGCTCGAACTCGTTTCACACAAATGTACATTATACATATACATATACATATACATAAACATACACACATAAATATGTATATACATTTATACATATTTTCTCGCGATATATTTTGAATGTTACATCAGTCATGCATCACTACTTAATTATTCATTGTCATGGAAAGAGTAGATCAAATATAGCAACTCTTTTGCTTATAAGATAGGAATTTGTATAAAAAGCGACTCGTTGCGCAAGCTTTGTTTTTACCATCTTGTATATATTCTATGACTGTAAGAAGTAAATAGCTAAAGCCATCATTATTGTTAACTCCATTGTACTGTAAATAGTGGTGGATCGTTTCGAATCTGTGACGTTAAATTCGAATCGTTTCGAACATTATTCGACGCTGGAAGTTAAAAATCTTACTCGGTCTTGGTTGGTCTTGAAGTCTTAATAAATAATTTTGTACAAATAATCAAATAAATGAATTTATAGATTCGTAAAGCTTTTCGTAAACTTAAAAAAAAATGCGTTTGATAAATTTCAATAGCTGTTTAAATTTTAATAAATTGACCGATATCAAAAGAATGTTCGAAACGATTAAAAATTTCACAATCTCGAAAGTTTCGAATCTCTTTCAAGCACAGATTCGAACGTCCCATCGCTGACTGTAAGCGTTATCCAATGAAATACGCAACGTGAAACATCTTGTATATAGCGTCGCTTTATCGATAGATCTGTTGTAAGCAGTTGCTCCTAGTTCCGTTGCGGATACACGCGAAGCAGTGAGAATGTAATTATTGCGAAGTTTATCGAGAGAGACCGTACGAGATGTATGGAGAAGTGATTCAAGTGTGTCTTTGTATATAACTATTTACGCGCTGAAGAACGAAACGATTGTACAATTCGGTCATAGGATAAGATAGCGAAACTTTATAAGAAAAGAAAACAACGGAACAAGTGGCGTTAGGTATAAAAGTAACGAAAACGGGTGTGAAACTTTCGTGAACGGACCATGCCAGATATGTTGTTTTAACGCTTTTGTGGTCTTTCTCAGATTTTCCGACGAGAACGATACCAAACATTTTTTTTTTTTTTGATGAAAGGCTGTCATACTTAATTGTTTGTTAATCGGATAGTTAAGCGCGATTAAGGTGTACAGGGCGAGTGTCTTCGATGTTTATCGGGCCAGGTTCGAAAACCGTTTCATACACGAGAGGAGAGAGTTACGAATAAGGGATGTAACGTTGCGTACATGTATAGCCAGCGAGAAATACTACTTCCACGATGTTAAGATATATATATATATATATATATCAGAATACTAAATATCAGAATTATCTCAGGATTTTATCTCAACACTTTATCACCAAAATCGGCGAGAACGTTCGATAGAGTTGTAAAGACGTGATGTTCGGAGTTCTAGTCAACTAACGTGCGATTACGAAAAAAAAACCATCGTCAAGTTTTTGGTCGATGAGACGGGCGAACGTGCGATTTATAACGATCTAAAATTACGATTATCGTTTAAGTCGTAGGCGCTTCATACTTCCATTCTATTTGTACGATCTACTCGCTTCTACCAAACTGTTTTTTAATTGCTTGTTAATGTATAGTATTAAACTATGCCAATATGTCCTAAAACTAAGAAGAAACTGTTATATAAGCATACGTCCAAAAATGCATTATGAGAATGCTACTCGAAGAAAAGTATTAAACACGAAAGATACAGTAGAAGTTATACACGCCAGATTATAGCTAATCGATAATTATATACTTTGTTTATTTACAAACTTTTGAACAAGTACGACTGCGGTTAAATGAATATAATCCTCGATAATAACAAATAATAGAATAGGAAATTTAATTTGTCAACCGAAGTTAAGCAAAAGTATTAATAATTTGAAAGTTTGTTCTTTTACTTTTGTACATATACAAGATAAGAAAGATGAGGAGTTGTATCGTGCAAGACAATGAACGTAAGTTAATTATTTATTAATTATAATGTTTTGACACCATCTTTTTGCCATAGTTAATAAATAATTCATTTATGTTCATTGGATCGTTCGATAAAACACAAATCAATACAGTCTCTTTATAGAGAAAAAATATTCCATTTTTCCCCTGTCGTAACTTGTTTACAAAGCGTTCTTGGACTCGCGTTTATATTACATACTCTTTTTACTTATACTCGTCGAACGTATTGGCGCAGTCTGATAGACTAATTTTGCATCTCCAATCGTTTCTCAAGCAACTGTCTTTTCTTTATTTAGTGGCAATTTTGTCATTATAATATTTAAGCGTAATTATATCAATTTTTATGTTCAAATATAATCGTTTCGTTAACGTCAATCGAATGCATTTATTTTAACTTTTATTATCATTTTGACTATCGCTTGGTTTAAAATGCTAGATTCAAGATGAGCGTGTGCCATATACATATACAGGGTGGAACGTGATTCACGGTAAAACTGAAGAAGACGGAATTTCTCATTGTTTTGTGATTCACGTTCCATTTTGTGAAACAAAGAAGATGGACTATTCGCAACAATAATTCGCGCGCAATAATTTAATCCGCAACTGTGTAACTTTTCATATTTTTAATCTATTTTCTTAATGATATTTTGTTCGCGTTTACTATAATATGTATCATTTAAAATAAATTTCTCGCTCTAACGACGATACACGACGAACGTACCTCTAATTATTTTTCATTTATCTGTACGATACCGCGTTTGCGATAACATTCGGCAGTATTCAGTTTTATTGCTGAATTCATACATTTGTCAACCGACCGAGACATGAAACAATTTATTCGAAAGCATTGATTAAAAATGGTAGACGCAAAAGAAGATTCTTTATCCGAAATAACCATGAAAGAATTTCCCGATCATATATTCAGACTGGGAAAGGTACACGCGTGTTTGTATCTTTAGTTAACCTATTCAAGGGTCTACGTTTAGTTTTTTTTAAATATTTAAAACAATCAATTCAATTCACATTAAAATTGCGAATGAACGTACAGAATTAAATTTCTCAATTACATAACACAGAAACATTGTCATATTCTTGTTCATTTCGTAATAAAATAATTTGTTCCTGGAGGGGTTATACACGAGTCTCCAATTTCTTCGCCTGAAATTCCCTGATCATTATTTCAAGCTCGATATGGAAGAAGTGCACAACGTGCTGGAATCCACGATCACGAGATCGAAGATCCACCATGAAAGAAACCCAACCGTTTGTCAAACAGCTCACGAATGTGTATTGGAACAGCCTCAATGCGTTTATTTTACGAGAATGAAAGAGTTCGCGGACAAATTGCCCGCGCACAACCTTCTCCCTGTACGCATGTTAAATTATACAATCGAGTACAATATAACGCGGTTTGATTTGAACTATTTTAGGAATGGGAAGAGAACATACGAAACTTGATAGCGCCCAACTTACGATACAAATATGCCGATATCTTCGAAGATCAACTGAACGAAACTAAAACACGATATCATCGAGCGATGCACGAACAGGCCGTGAAACGAGTGATCGCGATAGAATGTCAAGAAGTATGTAACGAGGACTTGATACCAATCCCGCCATTCAAACTCGCCGGACGAACGGATCAGTATCCGAAGTATTTGAAAAATCGCTGTGCAATCATGAAAAAGTATTACTTACCCCACAAATTGATGAGAAACATAGTGGCTAAAGCGCATCTTCTCATGCAAAAGTGGATTTGCGATTTCGGACGTTACCGGGAACTGGGTTGTCTCGATTTCAACAGGTTGTATATTTCTTCAAATTTAAAATCAGAGTATTTTTGCACTTCGTTTTGGTCCTTCGTGAGTCACGTAATTCTGTCGCTCGTTCCACACTTCACGCTGCTCGAAATAACACTGTATATCACACGCGCGATCATAGTTCGTTGGTTTTTTCATTCGCGTACACTTTCTTTGCGAGGATTTTGATCGTTTCAGTTATTTTCACAGCACAATGATAACGCAACGCGAGATAAGATATCGGTTGTGTAATTATTCTTTATATTTTCTGCACCGTTTAAGGTTTTTGGACCTAGTGGAAGCGGATACGAAAAAAGGCGCGCTCGGCGTCAGTAGCACTTACTACAGTGACATCACGCGACTGATCTCTCAACCGCGTTACCTATACGACGTACCCCCGCCATCGATACACGAGTTCTTCGACTGCGCGAACAATTTGCTCGCTCTTCAAGTGATCACGCACATGATAAACTCCATCGAACATCTGCTCGATGTTTTGAAGAGCTGGGAAACTGTACCATTGTTCCAAGTATGCAATTAATCTGCTTTGTCGGTCGAGGAAAGAGGGAAATATTGTTTTGAGGTCAAACGTTATCGATCAGGATCGTAAGCTTTGAACCGCCATCACGATTCGTCGATCGATAATCGAAAGATGACCGTTGTAGCTAATTTCAGGAAGGACGATTTTACTCAAATGCGATGTTTTCTGTCTCGTAGTTGCGATTGAAATGCGAGCAGAACGAGCTGTTCCTCAGTCCAACTATGCGCGAGATTTGCGTCGCATTTCACAACATAATCGATCAAATCAGTCACGTAGGACAGCAACTGCAGCCATTGGAGACTTGGGTCGGTGTAAAATCCGACCATGAATACATCAAAATTATTTTACCCGAATGGTACTTGGAGGAAACGCATCGACGAGTCGCGTACATTTTGCAAAATACTTTCCAGCCCTTAACCGGTTACGTCGAGAAACTCTACGAAAAGTTTCGCGTTGTTTTCGGTCCGGAGACACACAGCGACATCGTTGCTTATGTCAGCATGGGACGTTCTTTTCAAGAGTGTGTGATGAAAGTCGAAGATTTTAATCAATTTATCTGGGAAATAAATGGCATGGTAAATTATATGTATCAACGATTTTTAATTATATGAATTTCCATCGTGTTCGATATTAGATACGTTTGAGCGCCAAATCTTTTCGACCGACTACGTGAATCAAAATCATTATTAAATTATTTCAATAGACACGTACAAACGTCGTTATGAATCGATCTTCTTATTTATATAACAGTACGTGCTTTTTTATGATGAATAATTATTTCAGCCGGATCACGAGTACTTTTCAGTAGGCATAATCCATCAAGTCGCAGCGAAAGCTGGTCTCCTTCAATATACGAAAGAAGCTCGCGAACTGATTATCGAGGAACTGGTAAAGAGTCATCGTCTCTTCAATCTTGAAATTTGCAACGCGTTTGAAACTGTGAGAGAACGAGCTTCGAATGTCCCCAACACTACCAAAGAATTGCTCGAATTAGGTATATTTATTTACGCATAAAATGTGATAAAACGTCTTTTACACCACACGTACCGTTTTATACAATAAAGATAGTATTATTTTAGGCGAATATATGTTATGGGCCGCGTCGACGTTAATGAGATCATTGGAAGAAAAGATTACTCTTTCGTTGCGTATGATGGCGTCTCTAATTGAAATGACAGCTTTAACCAAAGATCACATTGAGCTAAATAACACTACTATCCATTGGCTGAAGCGGATAAGGCCGATATTCGATCAAAGCAGCGCTCTTTACGAACAAATAAAATTCGAGCTGGAGGACAAGCTCCAAAGTAGAATCGAAGTCGTGAATAAAGAAATCGAGAACATGTTTCCCAGGTTAACTTTTATAAGATTTGCGACCCGATAGTGGAAGTTGTGTCATTAATTTGTTATTATCAGGTTGGAGATAATGAACGACATGGACGACATGAATCGTATACGGGAGTACATAGAATTCATGCGAAAATTCGCACGCGACCTGGAACGTATGGACGAAAGGATAAAGTCGATCAACGACGAGGAGCAGCTCTTTCAGTACCCTCTCTCTCAGTATCCTCGCATCAATGAACTGAAAGAAAACATAATGCCGTATTACGATTTAATTTATCGCGGTTACCGCTGGCAGAGATGCCGTGACGTTTGGTTAGATGGCCCGTTCGAGTACTTGGATGCGGACGATATCGACAACAAGTCAACCGAGTACTTTGGAGATTTCAATAAGATCAGCAAACAGTACAGGACAAGAATAAAAATGGAACTTGCGATAAGCTATCCGCACGGGTAAAGGATCCCATACTTTTCCTTTTTGTTATCTAACACGGCTATTCGACACTGGATCGTATTACACCACTGATCTCATCTCTCAGTCCCTCTTCGTCTTTCGTTCTCTATCATCTCCTACATTTGAATAAGCTACGAAACGCAAGAAGCGTTCATCTCGGATTGCAATTCATTTTCAAACACAGTGATGCAGACCATCTATACACTGGTCAACGAGACGAGTCAGCAAAAGTAAACAAACGTTTCTGAACGTGACTCATAAGTGTCCTTTGGCAGCCGCAGCATGGGCCACGTGGATATCGCACGAACGCTTCGTTTTTCTTCGCTGATTCGTCTCGTTGACCCGAGTATAGCATTTCAATCTTGCGACAACTAAATATGTACATACAAATTAATTAATTAAGTTATATGCGTATCTTAGTTTCATAGGATCGCCGGACGATCCGGATCCGTTTCAGCAACCGGCGCCTTTAAACCTTTGCCACCAACTCATCGAGGACATCAAATGGTTTAAGGTGATTCATACGACATAGATTAGATTTAAAACCTTAACGTAATTGACGAAATTAAGGACGTAAACTGTATGCTGTCATACTGACTACTGCGACTACTAGTTAACGAATACGCCTGTTACATAACCTATAATATAATCAGCTGTGAAGGAAGTTAACTGTAGCAGAATAAACCGTAGTAGCAGCAGGTTAATCGTAATAGTATAACCCATCGTATGAGCGGGTTAACCGGGTTAATCATATCTCCGTGCATTGATTAACCCGGTTACGTGAGTTACTTATGAAACTGAGAACCGAATCGGGTTCTAAATCCCTGATCGAGACATTTTCTTATCGCTGTCGTTATCTCGATCCAGAAATACGTACCTCTGTTGGCGGTTTTCCGAAATCCGGCAGTGCGGCAAATTCACTGGGATGAAATGTCGCTTATATCTGGATTCGACGTTACTCCCAACGCTGGTACAACCTTCCGAAAGATTATAAATATGGATCTGATGGAAAATTTAGAAAAGTAACAAAATCCGTACTAGAGAAAAGAACGACGTCTCGGTAATGGTGTGTAACATCACGATTGATTCAGTTCTGTGTCTCAAGGTATGAAATGATAAGCACGAGCGCGACGAAGGAACAGATGCTCGAGGAATCGTTGACGAAGATGATCAGCGAGTGGGACGACGTGTTATTCACCACTGTGTCGTACAAAGACACGGGTGTGCATATCTTGTCGCAGCTCGACGATATTCAAGGTCTTTTGGAGGAGCACATCATAAAAGTCCAAGCGATGCGGGGATCGGCGTTCGTCAAGCAAATCGAGGAGGAAGTTAAACAATTTTACTCTCTCTTATTACGAATGCAATCGACGATCGAAGAATGGACCAAAGTATTTAAAAAAAATTCTTCGTATTTCTTGCTTACGCGTACATTTGATTTTTTCAATTTATGATCGTTATCGTTTGTGATAGGTACAAGTACACTGGATATATTTGTTACCCATATTTTCGAGCAGGGATATCGTGGCTCAGTTGCCCGAAGAGGAGATGCTGTTCATTCAGGTCGATCGAATATTTCGCAGCGCGATGAACGGCGTTACTAAGGATCCTCGAGTTCGAGAAACCGCAGGCTCTGTAAGCGGAAAAATCCATTACACCGTGCAGTAATACTTTCATTTGAAGGGAATTACTCTATTAAATGTTATCATTAGACTGCGGATCTTCATGCACATTCATATTTTTATTAATAAAATTAATGAAATTGGAGCTTTGTAGATATAATAATTTGTACCTTACTTGAAGTATTTCTTATATCCTTGCATATTAACTAAATTCTGTAGCTTTTCGAAAATTAAAATTTCCCATAAATGCATAAACATCCGCAGTCTAGTTATCATAATCATAATCATTATCATAAATCAATACCGACCAGTGTATGATCTTCAGGTGGGTCTCCTCGAAATTATGCTAGAAGCAAATACGTTGATGGAGAAAGTGAACGATGGCGTGTTGAATTACTTGGAGAAGAAGAGGCTTTTCTTTCCCCGATTTTTTTTCCTTAGTAACGACGACATGCTCGAGATATTGTCCGAGACCAAAGAACCTATGCGGGTGCAACCTCATCTTCGAAAATTATTCGAGGGGATAAATAAACTAGGGTAAGAAACGTGAGACACCGGCTAACGAATAAAAATTCATTTTCTTGCGTATCATTAACATTTCTTTACAGATTTAACGATCAAATGGAGATATATTCGATGTTTAGCGAAGACAACGAGGTGGTCAATATGCAGGATAAAATCTTAACGGCTGAAGCGAGAGGTTGCGTGGAACGGTGGCTCATTCAGGTATGCACAATTATAGAGTTTTATAAACGTAAGGTCAACAGTAGGCAGAAAGCTGGAAATACGAATCACAGGTCGAGGAACAAATGGTAAAGTCTATAAGGCACGAAGTCCTCATGAGCTACTTAGATTACGAAGTGAACAAGCGAGTCGTGTGGGTGCTCATATGGCCCGGTATGGTCGTGCTATGCGTCTCCCAAATTTATTGGAGCATGGAGGTTCAAAACGTTTTGATGACTCACATGCTCTCCGCCATGGAAACGCTCTACGCGAATCTCATGTCTCAAGTATTGGAGATGGTCGAGCTGGTCCGAGGTAGCCAAGATTCTATTTAGAAACATTCACCTTTGCTAATGAAGATCTATTGCGCAGGGCAACTCTCAAAGCAAAATCGAACCACGTTGAACGCTGTCATTACATTGGACGTGCACGCTATGGACGTCGTCAAGTCCTTGATCGACAAGAAGATCACGGACGAGACGGACTTCGAATGGTTGGCGCAACTGCGTTATTATTGGGAGGACGACGTATTTGTCAGAATTATATACACAACAGTGCCGTACGCGTACGAGTATATTGGAAATTGTCCTCGTCTCGTCATTACCCCTTTAACGGATAGGTATTGTCACGTAACTCAAGACTTCGTTATCGAGATATCAACAGTAATGTGTTTCTAAAATTTTATCATAGATGTTATCGCACGTTGATCGGAGCGTATTCTTTGCACTTGAACGGAGCACCGGAAGGTCCGGCTGGTACAGGCAAGACCGAGACTACGAAAGATCTGAGCAGAGCGATAGCAGTGCAGTGCGTAGTGTTCAATTGCTCCGAGGGTTTGGACTACAAGAACATGGGTAAATTCTTCAAAGGTCTCGCGTCCTGCGGAGCGTGGTCCTGTTTCGACGAGTTCAACAGAATCGAGCTGGAGGTGCTGTCCGTGGTCGCGCAGCAAATTCTCTGCATCATCCAAGCGGTGCGCGGCCAAATGGAGACGTTCTTGTTCGAAGGGACGGAATTGAAGCTAAACCCTGCCGTCTACGTTTGCATCACGATGAATCCCGGCTACGCAGGCCGCACCGAGTTGCCCGACAATCTAAAAGTCCTTTTTAGAACGGTGGCGATGATGGTACCCGACTATGCCATGATCGCCGAGATCTTCCTCTATTCGTCGGGTTTCAGCACCGCCCGCGAACTGTCCACGAAGATCGTCACCACCTACAAACTCTGCTCGGAGCAACTGTCCACGCAATCCCATTACGACTACGGCATGCGAGCTGTGAAAACAGTCCTGACGGCGGCGCAGAATATAAAACTGAAATTCCCGCTGGAGGACGAGTCGGTGCTTTTGCTCAGATCCGTGATCGACGTGAATCTGCCGAAATTCTTGGCCCACGACGTCCCGCTGTTCCAAGGCATCGTCTCCGATTTATTCCCCGGCCTGGAACTTCCTTCGCCCAGTTACGACGTGCTCTTGAAGGCCGTCCACGAAGTCGTAGAAAAGGAAAACTTACAACCAGTCGATGGTTTCCTCTTGAAGATCATACAAACGTTCGAAATGATGATCGTGCGTCACGGGTTTGTTAGAATTGTTATTATTTGGATACGCTATTTATCAAGCTATCTTCCTTGATTCGTTTTATCCGCAAAATTGCTTTGATAGATTCATGCTGGTCGGAGAACCTTTCGGTGGTAAAACGTCGGTTTTGTACACGTTGGCCGCGGCTCTGACTTTGATGCACGAGTGGGGCAACGAGAACGGTGCAGTGACCAAGTACTTCACGATCAATCCCAAGTCCATCACTTTGGGACAGCTGTACGGGTTCTTCGACCCGGTTTCGTCCGAATGGACGGACGGCGTGTGCGCCGTCGCGTTCCGGAACTATTGCATGGAGGACACACCCGACAGGAAATGGATCATCTTCGACGGGCCGGTCGACGCCGTTTGGATCGAGAACCTGAACACCGTCCTCGACGACAACAAGAAGCTCTGCCTGACCTCCGGCGAGGTGATGCAAATGTCCAACGAAATGTCGATGATCTTCGAGGCTATGGACCTTCTGCACGCCTCGCCCGCCACGGTGTCCCGCTGCGGGATGATCTACATAGAGCCGCGCGTTCTGGGCTGGCAGCCGTTCTTCCGTTCCTGGCTGAACATCCTCAACCCAGATTGGAAGGAAAGCCATCAGGAGATCATCGAGCAACTGTTCCAGTGGCTGATCGATCCCTGCTTGGAATTCATCCGAAAAAGTTGTCGCGTGATCATAACCGCTGGACAGATTCATCAGGTCCTGTCGACCATGAATCTATTCCAGATCTTCATGGACGACGCCGTCGAACTGAATCCCAAAACGTTCGAGCAGTTCATCCTGGCGTGGATGCAGGCTACCATGTTGCTCTCGGTCGTTTGGGGCGCTGCTGGCACCTTGGATCATGATTCCCGCTCCAAGTTCAACGCCTATTATCTCAGCCTGTGGAAGAACGAACAAACGGAACACCCGCTGCCCGAATTTCTCGTCGAAGGTTTGATCTCTCTTCCTACGGACGAGTTGATACACGATTGTTTCTACACGTACCGGGGCAGAGGCGCGTGGAGACGGTATGCCGACATCGCGAGGCAAGAGGAGTTCCTGGAAACGGGAAGCATCGTTCAGATGATAATACCCACCATCGACACCGTCAAGTATCAGACCTTATTCCTGAAGCACGTTAAGCATCGCAGACGTTTCCTTCTATACGGCGAAACAGGCACCGGGAAGAGCATCTACATCAAAGACCTGATCATGAACAAGCTGAGCGAAGAAGAATACTTGCCGCATTTCGTCACGTTCACTCCGCAGATAACTGCCGCGCAGACCCAGGAGTTGATCGTGCTGAAGCTCTATAGGAGACGCCGGACCCAGTACGGTCCGCTACCCGGTACGCACTGCGTCGTGTTCATCGACGACGTCAACATGCCCGCGAAAGAAACCTATGGCTCTCAGCCACCCATCGAACTCCTGCGGCAATTCTTCGACCATGGAATTTGGTTCGACCTCAAACAGCCGGAAATCATTCATATATTCGACACTATGTTCGTCTGCGCCATGGCACCGCCTGGCGGCAGCAGACAGGAGCTCTACCAGAGATTTCTCAGGCACTTCAATCTGTTCAGCATCAGCAACTTTTCCGAGGACACCGTCACCAGAATCTTCACGACCATCGCGTTCATTGGGCTGCAACGGAACGGCTTCACTACAGCGGTTATGCCAACGATCATGGAGATCGTGGGCGCGACGATGAACGTCTATCGTAACGCTCAGAAGGAGCTCAGACCGACGCCCACCAAGTCTCACTATCTCTTCAATCTGCGGGATTTCGCGCGCGTGATAACCGGATGCGTGATGATCAGAGAGGAGTCCGTCGAATCGAAGACGGACTTTACCAAGCTGTGGGTCCACGAGATCCTGAGGGTCTTCGGGGATCGGTTGGTCGACGAATTCGACCGACGATGGCTCTTTCTGAAGATCCAGGACGTGGTCGGTAGCAACCTGAAAGAATCGTTCGAGACAGTGTTCGGCTATCTGCCAAAATTCGACGATCATTTGACGGAGGAAAGTCTCCAGAGTCTTCTGTTCGGTAACTTCATGGACGTGGACACTATACCTGCTGATCGTCGCTACGAAGAAGTGAAGTCGATGGACGAGTACTTGGAAGTGGCGATCTCCTGTCTGGAAGATTACAATCTCACGAATAGGCACAAATTGGACATTGTTCTGTTCCGTTACGCTCTCGAGCATCTCGCGAGAATATGTCGTATACTGGTGATTCCTTGCGGTAGTCTGTTGATGGTAGGCGTGGGTGGTTCCGGTAGGCAGTCGCTAACGAGATTGGCTGCCAGTATGGTTGGTCAGGGTCTGTTTCAACCGGAGATAGGTAGCACGTATGGCTTGCAAGAGTGGAGGGACGATATAAAAAAGGTTCTTAAGGATTCTAATTTTTGTTGTTACACCATACACCTACTAATTTATTAACAATTGTCTGTAGGTACTTCTGAATTCCGGCGGCGCAGGAAAAGATCACGTGTTTCTGTTCACGGAGGGACAAATCAAGGATGAAATTTTCCTGAACGACATAGACAGCTTGCTGAACTCTGGCGAAGTGCCCAATCTTTTCACCATAGAAGAGAGGCAAGAGATTATCGAAACCACACGATTAGCAGCGCAGGGTGGCAACCGTAACTTGGACATATCGGTCCTCGCGGTCCTGGCGTACTTCGTGAACCGTTGCAAAGAGAAGTTGCACATACTGTTGTGCTTCAGCCCCATTGGAGACACGTTCAGGATCAGGCTACGTCTGTACCCGAGCCTCGTGAATTGTTGCACGATCGACTGGTTCGACGTCTGGCCGGAGGACGCCCTGGAGCAGGTGGCTCTGCGCAGCACCACCGACATCAACGTCGACGAAGAAGTGAAGGTCAACGCCGTGGCCTCCAGCAAATATTTTCACGTCTGCGCCAAAGACATCAGCGTTCGATTTTATAATCTCACCGGTAGACAAACTTACATCACAACGGCGGGCTTTCTGGACCTTATACGAACGTACTCGGAACTCATGAAAGAGAAGCAAGAAGAACTTACGTTCGCCAGGTGCTTAAAATCAGTCTGGCGTTTCGTTATTGAAAAGAAGTAGTATTGTGGCGCACTTTGCTATGGTAGTAAGGCTAGGGTAGTCGTTCTGGTGACGAACAAGCAATAAATAATTACTTCTTTTTGTTTCTCCTTCCACACCAGAGATCGATACATCAACGGATTGGATAAACTGCTATACGCGGCTGAGCAAATTGACCAAATGAGAATAACATTGTCGGAATTGCGGCCGCAACTCGAAGCATCAGCGAACGAAACGGCTGAGACTATGAAGAAGATCGAGACGGAGAATATAAGCGTTGAGAAGACGAGGATCATGGTAAAGAGGGACGAGGACATGGCGAACGTGCAGGCCAAAATCGCGATGAATCTGAAGACGGAGTGCGAAGCAGACCTGGCGGAAGCTTTGCCAGCTTTGGAAGACGCGATTGGTACATTTTTGTGGTAGTAATATTAGTAGCTATGTCAAATTCATTTCTATGTTTTACTTATGCCGTTTTGCAATTGCAGCGGCTCTGAACACACTGAAGCCCGCTGACATAGCGGTCGTAAGAACGATGAGAAGCCCTCCTGCCGGAGTGAGGCTCGTGATGGCCGCAGTATGCGTGATGTTGGACATCCCACCCGCCAAAATCGAAGATCCTGCGACTGGTAGGAAGGTGATAGATTACTGGAGTCCTAGTAAACGTTTGTTAGGGGACATGAGATTTTTAGAAACCTTGCGACAGTACGATAAGGACAACATTCCTGTGCGCATAATGCAGGTATGCTCTGTCCACCATGGTATTTATAGGGGCCTGTCGAACCTAAGAAATAGAGGAGTCATCTCGGTACTTTTAGGAAATTAAAGAGAAGTATATGACGGACAAAAACTTCGAGCCAAAAGTCGTAGCGAGAGCATCGTCAGCGGCGGAGGGCATCTGCAAATGGGTCAGAGCTATGGTTTTGTACGACGAGGTCGCGAAAGTCGTCGCGCCAAAAAGAGCAAAGCTGGACGACGCGCAGCGCGATTACGAGAATACCGTCAAGTTCTTGAACGAGAGGCGTGAAATGCTAGCCGAGCTCACCGAGAAGCTGGCCATCCTCAACGAAAATCTGGAAATAACCCTGGCGAAGAAAATTCAGCTTGAAAACGAGGTACGTATACACGTATACGAGCTTGTAAATGATGCACAGATGATTTGTTCGTAGGTGACAAACTGTAGGAACAAACTGATGAGGGCCGAGAAATTAATCAGCGGTTTGGGGGGTGAGAAGGACCGCTGGACAGCGGCAGCAAAGAGTTTACAACAGTCCTACGACACTCTGCCTGGCGATATTTTAATCTCGTGCGGTATGATAGCATACTTAGGACCGTTCACGACGAACTATCGCGTCGAGAGTCTGGACAAATGGAGAGCTTACGTGAAAAACTTGAGGATACCGTGCTCGGATAGTTACGACTTCGTCGAGGTCCTGGGATCCGAGATTAAGATCAATTCTTGGAATATTTACGGTTTACCGCGGGACTCGTTCTCCACGGAGAACGCGATCATTATGGACAACTCGAAGAGGTGGAGTTTGTTCGTCGATCCTCAGAGCCAAGCGAACAGATGGATCCGCAATATGGAGAAACAGAACGAACTCGAGATCGTGAAATTGACGGATGCGGATTACATGGATATTATAGAACAAGCTATAGAATATGGTACTTCTAACGTGGAACGATTCTGTAAATAATAATCAGGTGATTTTTGTTTAGGTTTGATCAAGAAATAATGTATTTGTTCAGGAAAACCAGTGCTGATCGAAAACGTTCTCGAAGAACTGGCGGCGCCCCTTGATCCTATTCTAATGAAATCTATATACAAAATGGCTGCTCTGTGGTTCATCACGCTTGGCGAGAAAGTAATCGAATATAGTTTACGCTTTAGACTATACATCACAACGAAGCTACGCAATCCGCATTACCTGCCGGAGGTGTTCAACAAAGTAACGCTGATTAATTTTGCCTTAACGATAAGTGGTTTGGAGGATCAGCTTTTAGGTATTGTTCAGATATCGTAACAAAAAGAATCAACATAAAAAAAAATTGTTTTCTGTAGTTAAAAAACGTCTTCTTATATAAATATAAGGTCCACTCTAATGTGCATTTTGTAAACAGGTATAGTGGTTGCGAAGGAAAGACCAGATTTGCAGGAAAAGCGAGAATATCTGATCGTTCAGAGCGCCGCGAATAGAAAAGCTTTACAGCAAGTGGAAGACAATATTCTGAGGACGTTATCAGCATCCGGTGCGAGTATCTTAGAGGACGAGGAAGCCATTGAGATCCTAGACTCGTCCAAGATCCTCTCCATCGATATATTGAAGAAACAATCCGCTGCGAAAAAGACGGAAACGCAGATCGAAGGTTTTCGTCAAAATTACAAACCCATTGCGAAACATAGTTCTGCTCTGTACTACACGATCACCGATCTACCCAACATCGATCCGATGTATCAGTATTCGTTGATGTGGTTCATCAATTTGTACGTTAACTCCATCGAAACTGCGAACAGGAGTAAAATTCTCGAAAGGAGGCTCATGTTTTTGCGGGAAACTTTCACTTACACCCTGTACCAGAACGTTTGCAGATCGTTATTCGAAAAAGACAAGGTACGTTTCCGAGGTGATAGAGATTAACGTTGCTAGTCTTCTAACTGACTTTTCCAATCAGGTCTTATACTCGTTCGTTTTGTACACGACGATCTTACTGACGGAGAACGCGATCACGAAAGAAGAGATAACGTTCTTTTTAACCGGAGGCGTCGCCTTGGCTGAAATCCCCAGAAATCCCGCGTCCGATTGGCTTCCGGAAAGATCGTGGGGCGAGATTTGCAGAGTGCGCATTCTACCAAGTTTCGCCAACTTTCAGACAAATTTCCTTCGAAACCTGAACGCGTGGAAGGACTATTACGACTTATTGGACCCGGAGAATTCACCGATACCGGATCCGTGGGAGAAAACTTTGACTCCGTTTCAAAAGCTGATCGTCGTAAGAATGATCAGAACCGACAAAGTGATGATCATGGTAAAGATAGACGACAACTCTTTTTGCTAATTATCTATGGTTAAATTTTTCTTTTCACGAAGACGAAATTTTTTAGATACAACGATTCGTCGAGGCCGGAATGGGCTTACACTTCATCGTACCTCCGCCCTTCGATATCTCCAAGTCTTTCGCGGATTCGAATTCCCTGGTACCGTTGATCTTTATCCTCTCTCCGGGCTCCGATCCGATGGAGGCGTTGACAAACTTTGCGGAGAGCATGAACTTCACGGAGAAATTTCATTCGATCTCGCTGGGGCAAGGCCAAGGGCCGATCGCTCAGAAGCTAATCGACAAAGGACAAGGCGATGGAGAGTGGATCTGCTTGCAAAACTGTCACCTGGCCGCTTCCTGGATGCCCACGCTGGAGGCCATCTGCGAACACTTCGATCCTTCTAACACGCACTCCCACTTTCGTCTCTGGCTCACTAGCTATCCTTCGGATCAGTTTCCTATTACGATTCTGCAAAATGGCGTCAAAATGACCAACGAACCTCCGACCGGGTTGCAGAATAACATCATGAGGTAAGACAAATATTATGCAAGACACTATGGGGTCCTGTTGATGAGAGATAGAAAAAGAAAGGAGAAGAAAGCATTTCGTCACAAGTCTGCTAGTGGACTCCTAGCAGACCCTGCCTTAGACGCCAAGATATTGGGTAGTCGGTCGAGGAATAGTGTATAATACAAACGGAAGGTTGGTCGAGCGCTTGCGAGAGGAACGGTCCCTCTGGTGGCAAGTACGGAAAGCAATGGACCCCACAACACTTGTAAGATACAAGTATAAGTATCTTGAACAATTCATGTTTGCGTGTAAAACTATAGATCGTACAAATCCGAGGCAGCCAGAGACCCAAACTTTTTCGACACTGACTTGAAGAAAAAGAGAGCGTACGCGAAGCTGCTCTACGCTTTGTGTTTCTTTCACGCCGTGGTGCAAGAGAGGCGAAATTACGGAGCGCAGGGTTGGAACATTAAATATGGTTCGTTTGTCCTTGTTCCTTGTCTATTGCGCTGGCTGACAAGCGTCGAGAAAACAAATAACGAAAGAATATTCTTGTTACGGTGTAGGCTTTAACGAATCCGACCTTCAAATATCCGCCCAACAACTTCAATTGTACATAAACGATTACAGCGACGTTCCGTTCAAAGCGATCGTGTATCTCACAGGGGAGTGCAATTACGGTGGCAGAGTCACGGACGACAGAGATCGAAGATGCTTGAATACGATATTGCAGGATTTTTTTAACAAAGACGTGATCACGGATCCGAACTACTCTTTCGCGGTCGTCGGCCAGGAATACTCCCTACCGAAAAGGTACAGCGATCCCTCGTGTAATGTTGTACTTGTTTATTATTTTTTCCATTGTATACGCGCGACAGACACGAATACGAAGACTACATCAAGCAGATCGAAGGGATTCCTTTGAATCCACCGCCAGAGACGCTCGGATTGCATATGAATGCAGGAATAACGCGGGACCTCGAGCTGGCGAACAATTTCTTCGAATCGATGATGTTGATTCAGGGAACGGTGACGGTAGGCGATACCTCTAAGCAGGATGAGATACTACTGAACATAAAAAAAGACATATACGATAAAATGCCCGCGCTGTTCGACATCGAAGAAGCGCAGAAACGATATCCAGTCATGTACATGGAATCCATGAACACGGTACTGATACAAGAATTAGAGAGGTACAACACTCTTTTGTACGAAGTTCGAAGATCCCTCGATATGCTTGAAAAAGCGGTGGAAGGGCTAATAGTGATGACTCCTGCGCTCGAAGTATGTATAATGGCTGCCAAAAGCTTTCGGCAAAAAACTGTAATCAAAATTGTACAACGTGTGCCAATTATACAGGTTTTAGCTATTCATATATTGAACGCGAAAATACCACCGTCCTGGACGAAAGCGTGCGCCTATCCGACTCTGAAACCATTATCAGGCTTCGTCAAAGACTTTCTCGATCGATTGAATTTCTTCCAAAAATGGTTGACAGAGGGAATGCCAAAGACTTTCTGGATATCCGGGTTCTCGTTCGCGCACGGTTTCCTCACAGCGGCCACGCAAAACTTTGCAAGAAAATACAAGATACCCATCGATCAAATCGATTTCGATTACAAGGTTCTCGTTTCATGCATTTCTTAATTGTAATCCGACTAAATCGACATTGATTTTGCGGCGACATTTAAAAATTGTAAGATACGTTATAGTTTTCGCAATTCGTTAGGTATTTCCTACGTTTGAGTTAAATACTTCGCCAACGGATGGCGTTTACGTTTACGGCATGTATCTGGTCGGTGCAAGATGGGATATGCCGAGTATGCTACTCGAAGAAAGTTATCCGAAAATCCTTTGGGAACCTATGCCGATCGTCTGGATGAAACCGTCCCATGTGGATTCGCTGCATGTCGGGCAACGATACGAATGTCCTCTTTACATCACTTCTGCGCGTTATGGCGTTCTTAAGACAACCGGACATTCGACGAATTTCGTATTGTCTCTACTTTTAGATACGGTATATCCCGTCAGCCACTGGATTAAAAGAGGATTAGCTCTACTTTGTCAACTGGATAATTAAATTTATTAATTTAATCTATTAATTTTGCAATGCTTGTAACATGAATTTCTTACTACAGTGAATATACATATATCTATTCCCCCTATACAAACAAAGTTCGCAATGTTTCCGTTTCACATGTAAACATCATGGCGCTCGTTCGAAGCGTTTTTCATGATTCGGCGAAAGAATTTGATTTTTCGTGTCAAATGCTTCCGATTGAAATTCTATAACATACGAGGTTAAAGAGAAATGCTGAAATTTTCGATTATCGTTTAATTTAATCGTGCCGTTAACATGAGCAGTTCTACATTTGTTCTCGATAATGGGGCCAACACCGCAAAAGTTGGGTTAGCCTCCGACAATCCGAAGTGAGTTTCAACATTAAATTAACAGTTTAACGAAGATAATTTTATATGTTCTCGCTTATAGATTAGTTCCTAATTGCATCATGAAAGCAAAAAGTGAACGACGAAGGCCATTTGTTGGAAATCAAATCGAAGAATGCCGGGACGCGTCTGGACTTTTTTACATCTTACCGTTTCAAAAGGGATACCTCGTTAACTGGGACGTTCAGAAAACTGTATGGGATTACATATTCTCGAAAGAGTGTTGTCCAGTAAATTTAAATCAGCTTTCTGTGATCGTCACTGAACCTTTATTCAACTTTTCCACAGTTCAAGAAGCTATAACAGAAATATTCTTCGAAGAATATGAGTGTCAAAGTCTATTAAGAATTAATTCCACTACCCTCTCGTGTTACCAATATAAAACAGAAAATCCCAATTCCAAGTGCTGTATCGTAGTCGATAGCGGATATAGTTTCACGCACATAGTACCTTACGTAAATGATACCAAAGTTAAAGAAGGTATCAGACGCATCGACGTAGGTGGTAAACTTCTTACGAATCATCTCAAAGAAATTATATCTTATCGACAACTTCATGTCATGGATGAAACTTATGTAATAAATCAGGTGAAAGAGGATTCGTGTTTTGTTTCTCAAGAGTTTTTTAAAGACATGGAAACTGCGAAAAATAAGTTGGAAAATAATCCTATAATCAAGGACTATGTTTTACCTGATTATACAACATTAAGGCGTGGTTATCTTAAAAATCCAGAGCCCCCTAACGAACAACAGACTTTACGCCTGAGCAATGAAAGATTTGCAATACCAGAAATATTGTTTTACCCCTCTGATGTTGGCATCCGACAAATGGGCATTCCAGAAGCAATTATGGATTGTTTGAAAGGATGCGAAGAAGAAACATGGCCTCATCTTTTGTCGAATATCATTCTTACCGGTGGAAATGCAAAGTTTCCTGGATTCCAGGAAAGAATTTATAAAGAAGTTAGAAGCCTCGCACCGGCAGAATACACGATAAATGTTCATTTACCCGAGAAGTAAATAAACATTAAAATTCATCTTAATACAATTAAAAATTTCGATAACTAAATAATTTATTATTACTTTTTTTTGCAGTCCAATCACATACTCATGGTATGGCGGTAAAACACTTTCAAAAGATTCAATATTTTCAAATCTCCTAGTAACCAGAGAAGAATATGAGGAGGAAGGGCAGAACGTTTGTTTTGAAAAGTTTGATGTTTAACTTTAATAAATTTTCTAATCAATCTAAAAATTGATTTGTACATATGACAATAAAAATCTCGGTTTATTTTCAAATTGTACAAATTAAATTATAACTGACAACAGTATGCAAAGTGTAAATGGAATGCATATAATATTAATACAATTATTTATCACGGATGGGTAAAAATCAAATAGATTTCATTAGTGCCATAAGTTCTTCTAAGCTCGGACCAGATTCCGATGAAATTTGATTTGTTTGCAAATGAGATGGTGTATTAGAGCATTTTTTCACATCCACTAACGATGGATGCTCGTTTTCAGTCATCTGTTGTTCTTGCTCGTCGACGAGTGAAATTCCTGTGGTAATATAATATCCTTTAAGTCGGAATTTTATTTTTATACAACTAATTGACATACCCCATTCATTATCCTCGTGTAAAGGTTTTTCTTCGACGATTTCTTCGACCTTTTTCTGAGGTTTCGGCTTTGCCGCGTATTCTTGTTGGCGTTCCCTACAATATCTATCATCACAGTTTTCATTTGGTCTTAACATCATTTTAGGAAAGAAATCTTGCATAGCATTGTAGCCCAAATAATAAGACACGTCGCCAAAATTCAAAAGATACTTCAATGCATTTTGAACTAAAAAACCAGCAACAATTCCCATAGTTGTTGGCAAAGATGCTGCGCATACACCGTCTCGTTTTAAAGTCTTTTCGTCTATATTTTCTGCCACTACTAACGGAGGGGCACACTGAAAATAATGTTAGTTAAGTGTTGGTCCATTTTCGTAAGTTTTTTTTATACCCATTCGTATTTCGACTATTATTTTTATTTACCGCGAAACAGGCTGTCTCTCCTGGAATAATAAATTGAATATGACCAGAAACGGCATTTTCTGAGACTCCACTTTCGAACCACTTTTGATTTAACTCGTTGCAAGCTGTATTAATTGCCATTCGTGCTTCAAAATTATCTACGCAACTTAATACTAAGTCTGCTGGACCTTTGCTTAAACTTGACGTACTAGAAATAAAGTAAAATATCCGTTAGTTTTGCAACTTGTGATATTCGAAGCATTATTCCTTTATACCTTATGGTGTTCATGAAATTATCAAAATGATCCATTGTAGTGATATTGTAATTGTGCGTCTCGATGTCTACATCAGGGTTAATATTTTGCAGCGTCGCTGCAGCTGCTTCTACTTTACTTTGACCGGCTTGATACGGTTGAAAGAAAAGTCTGTTCATATTCGCCATTTCCACTTTATCGTAATCGAAAAGTATCAACTGAAATTTGTAATGTTCGTTGTTTAAAAGATTAACGCATTCACCACCATGTGTCATATATGTGTCGGTGATGATCCTCAAACAATGGTAAAAATAACTACCTTTCCAATTCCACATCTTGTGAGCATTTCTGCAGTTACACTACCAACTCCACCTACTCCAACTATAGCAATTGTCAATTCTCTTATCCTTTCATAATTATCCACTATGCCCATGCGTTTTAAAGCCATTAATCGGCTAATAAGAAACCAATAACATAATATTAATATTTTGTACTTTCGTTCGAGATAGAAAATGTTTGATACAGTACAAAAGAGAATCACCTGTAGGGATTTGAATCAACCACTTCGCTTGACATATGTTCTATCTTTTCTCTGGCGATCGACGTGTTTTTACATTGTTGTTCTAGCAATTTGTTTTCGAGTTCCCTTACTCTTTTCCGCAATAGTTCCACTTCGTCCATCGTCGAATTTAAAATCAATCGAGAGGCTAACGCGGAGTAACTGTTAACCGTGTAACGCACACAGATCGCCCGTAGATCGCGAAGGAAAGTATGCTCACGAATGCGTGTCACAATAGGTACACCCCACGGCAAGGATCAAATTTATGGAATCTTTGATTCAAATTATTACGTTTACAAATGGCACTACGTAAATTTAGCTCAATACGTGCCATTGAGTAAAAAATTTTGTAATAAAAATTACATAATCGAAAACATAACCTGCTATTTTTTAGTAATGAACTTTCAAGCAGTCATTTTTTTTATAATTCTTCCAAAAATCTTGATATTTTCCCGTACTTTCAATGATTCGTTATACGCTTTTTCCTTTATTTTTCTACTTGGAAAGGTCAAAAAGCAGATTTTTTTTTATTTAGAAAATATGTTATACTTTATTTATGTGTATCAATGTTTTTAAAAAAATAAATAAATCATATACATCATTATAAGCGAACAAATTCGAAACAGAACGTATAAACGTGGTAAGGGTAAATTTAATAATTAAACGAATTCGCTCTTTTAATACAAACGAAATTGTATTTCCTTTTTTTTTCTTTTAATTAATTAATCCTATACAGCACTGTTATTTTAGTGTTGTTACAACGTTCTTTTGTTGTAAATCATGTATGTATCGTTACATCGTATATACGCGCAAGTGCCTCGTGTCCGCACAAAAGAAGTCTATAACTTTTCGTTATTTATTTAATCATCGTGTTTCTAATTTCGGGAGTAAATATGCGAAAACATTAAAAAACATGAGGTCGCGTAATACACAGTGAGTTGTCGTTTTTTTTTTTCATTTTTATAATGCTTCTGTAGTCGACGATGAGGTTTAAATCAAAGCATTTCCGTGCACTTCGGCTAATTTTATTGTCATACCTCAACCATGTCAAAATACTTTATTTTACAAGTAATACCACGTTTATTTAAAAGAACTAAATAAACTAATTTTTTTTTTTTTTCAGAGTAGAAGAGAGAAACAGAAAAACGAGAAAGTCTGTAAACGATTTCATTTTGTCGCTTTGGCATTTGTATTAATGAGATGTTAGAAACATCGAACGTACATGCATTCGGTACGATAAAAAGATTCAGTGCACTTCGTTCACCCAGAATACAACCGTTCTCGAATAAAATGAAAGAAAGGAAAAAAAAATTCGAAAAACTGGCCCGTAAAGCACTATAACGACAGAATGGCGTTATTCAGCGATTCTTGTCTATTAACATCACATTCTGCTTTCAAAATACCGCGAAACTATGACTTTGCAAGATAAAGTATCAAAGTTAAAATTCACGGAGCATAATATATTAATTATATTAATGACATTCGTTACTTTAATTGTTTTTTGTTGTTTTGTTCGTTTAAGTTCATTTTGCAGATTTAAATAGTAATTAATCAATAGTTTTTTGTTTTCCTATAAAACTAAACTAGATTATCATAAACTTAACGTATGAACAGGGAGGGTTATCAAACTTGGACAAACAAGTACGTTTGCGCCGTTCTTGCCACGTAAAAATTACTTCGAAATTAAACAGTAATTATCGTGCGTTCAAGCGATACGACAATCATAAGCAGAATAAATAAAATGTATTTATAGTTTACTTGTATTACACAGAGTATTCATTTTTTTTTTTTACATCTTTTAATATCTATAGCGCAGTATTTTCGCCTCGCACAGTTCTTATTTACCTTTTTATATTTTCACTTATCCTCTGTGTATATGTATATATGTATATATATTTTTTTTTATGCGTTATTGAAAAATAAAATATACATATATATACATATAAAATCTTAAAATACACGATAATAAGGCAAAAACGGCGCAGTGATCAGAATAAGAAGCGAACAGTACTATTTTTCTTTTTTAGCCGATAATATTCGAGAGCCACGCGTTACTTCTCGAATTTTTACTCACACTCCGCTTGAATCGGTTACGCATTTGTTGGTAATACGCTAGCGTATATATGCTATATATATATATGTACGTATATACATATATATGCATACATACATGTGTGTGTGTGTGTGTGCGTGTGTGTGTCTCTGTGGGGTGCGTGTATATATATGTATATACATGTATATATATATATATATGTATATCAAATTGACCGTACTTTATGCGCAAAAATTTATACGTATAGGAACTGACGAATTCTTTCGAAATAATACGAAAGGACACGGTGTACAAGTGGAGTGTGCTCTATTCCTATACATTCATTAAAAGTACGTATCTCTCACTCTCCCTTTCTCTCTCTCTCTCTCTCTCTCTCTCGCTCTCGCTCTCGCTCTCTCTCTCGCTCTTGCTCTCTTTCGCGCGCGCGCGCGCGATGAATATTTTTCAAATGTACATAATAAATTGTCTTATTTATATATAAATAATTACACGTTCAATTTTATAAGAAACACATTGGTAATGCTGTATACGAAATAATTCGATCGATTTTGATCGCGTGTTTGTCGACACTTAAAGTTTTGGAACAGCGCATCGAGCGTACAAATGTACAGCAATACAAGATTTTCTTTTCCTTCTATCTTTATCGGTATTGTATATATCATCTTTCGTGTCGGTAGGCTTTTGCTGACGCCAAGTGTTTTTAAGGTGTCTGTGAATTCTCGACATTGAACAATGAGAACCACTGCGGTTTAACGTGACAGACAAAAAGAAACAAAATGATCGTAGTCGAAGCACAAAATTAGCAAATCGTTTGAAATTTCAATCCACCGCTTCGAAACAGTATTGTTTAAGTCCTCCGATTAACAATGCCTTACCAACGTGTCGGTGGCATTTATTACTGGATACATAGGTATTCACAGAGCACAAAGAGTACTTGGCTATAACAAACATTTTATTCAACTATTATTGTATCAGATATAAACGAACATTTTTATCATCGTTAAAAGTACTAAACCGAGCGGCCTAAGGTACATGTATAAGTGTGAGTGGTGTATGTGTATATGTTGTATTGTAGATGTGTGTGTGTGTGTGTGTGTATGAGAGGTGTGTTGAAGCATGGGCGTGCGCGTCGACGTACGTACGCACGTGTATGGATGCAAAATATACGTGTTGGTTTTCGCTTTGCATCGTCCTCTTCACGTAATAATGTCGTGTAATAACGATCATCCTTCGAATGACAAAACATGATCTAATAATTGCATTTTTTTATGCATTTTACAGGTCTCCCGTAATCGTGACATTTAGTAGCAGCGTCAGTAAAAGGATAGTACCGTACAAATCAATTACAAAACGGAGAAAAGCAACGTACAAGGTATTTAATGGCACATGCACACCGGCCAATATGGACGGAGCACGTACTTCGATTCCATAGGTTTCTGTGTATCCTGTATCATCGTAAGCTTTCGTTTACTAAAACGTTTGTCATACGCTCGACAACGCTCTCGGAACACATCGATTACTTCCCACTTCTTCTTCTTCTTCTTTTTCTTCTTCTTCATCTTCGTCTTCGTCTTCGTCTTCGTCTTCGTCTTCGTCTTCGTCTTCGTCTTCGTCTTCGTCTTCGTCTTCGTCTTCGTCATCGTCTTCTTCCATTTTCTGTTACGACTTTAAACCGTACACGGTAGATTACATTTCGATTACATCAGACGCAAAATCTGTATTTATTTTTTTTTCTTTTCTTTTATTCTTAAGTGATTCCCAAGCTGTAGAATAAGGAATGTCTAAAACGTAGAACTTTATGTATCGCTTGAAATATAATTGCCATTCGCGTAAACAGTGGTCCACCATCGTAGGAAGTACATGTCTTCTTATGTTTGCGAGCCGAGGTGGAATGGAAGGATCACTTTTCGAATTCTATATCGTACGTGAAATCGGAATACAGAGCCCATTCCTCCGTCATCTTGAGTTTCTCCTTCAGTTTCTTAGGGGTGATGAGATCAAGCCGGTTGCGCGGGGTGTCGATACCTAAACGAAAATGTTTGATTCTTCGTAAAATCTTTCTCGTAAAATGGATATGTAACACCGACTAAACGAAAGAAAAAAGAAAAAAAATGCCTGTTTTGAAATGATCGAGCAATTCAAGTCCTATTGTCGTTTCACCGATGCTCTATTGTTCGGCAGAAAGACACGTTTGCAAATTGATTATCAGTCACCAGATTGCAAACTGTATCTTTTGGAATTCGCGCGTACTCGCTACGCTCACTTTTTAAAATCAAACGAATTTAATTTGCATACAAAAAAAATTAAACACGAGCGTGTTACACTGTCCATAGTTATTGGTGGTAAGATCACGCATTCAAATATAATAATTATTTTATAATATTCACCATGTGTGTTCGTGAGGAATCAAACATTTTCTTGCAAGTATTGATACCCGGGCACTTGCGGCTTCATCCTGTTATCAGTATCGAGAAGATGCGACGACATAAAAACAATCGGCAGCGCTTTATACAAGTTTATTCTAATTTCACGATCAATCGACGTTATACGACACAGACTTGAATCGTTTCCATATTTCAAAATCACACATTTCTTTAGTCGCATCTCTAGTCATACTATTGGTTACTCGAAACGATCTTCAATTGTTAATAAAACGAAAAAAAGGTAAAAAACGTAGCTGTCGTGAATATCGGAAATTTTAATGTACACAATGTACTGTAAAAAATAAAAACATATATATCGCTCGTAAAAAATAGAAGATCGCTTTGCTTTGTAAGGGCCGTTATTACATTATTTCGTACGTTCTCTCTATCGTATTTATTATAAACCGCGTTGGTCGTTCCACGCCCTTGAAATTCTACAGGTCTGATACATCACCGATGACGAAAGATGATTTGTTGGCGAAGTTTTCATATTCTGGCAATAGCGGGGCCAGAAATTTCCATTTCATTTTATCCAGACGCCTGGAACGACCTTGCGTAAAGCGTAACATAGTTTTTTTTTTCTCTTCCTTTTAACATACTCGCAATGGAGAAAGGTGCCCGACAAATATCTACCTTATTTTAACGATACATTTCAACATAAATGTGTTTCCACGCTCAACGTTTGAACACTTTAGAAGAGCGGTGCTTGGCCATTGCGAATTCGTTAAACATTTTGGACGCCGACTCCGAACGATGTCGATAGCCGATTTTCATGCATACAACCGTGCGCCAACCGAATAACGGTTTATCCGGTAACATTACGATATAAACACAACGTTGTTCGTTGCCCCGACGGCATTCTTTCGTTCTTTATAAATATCGTAAAATAGAAATTGCGTGTCCGTATTAATACGAATTTCACGGATGTTTTTAATCAATACGCATCGTATTCGAGGATGCGAATGAATGTTTATGGCGTTCTCGTGGTCGATTCAGCAATACGTGAATGATATGGTTAAATAATTATAAATTGGAAATTGAGGAGCTGACATTACCTGGCCCGTTACTCACCTGCAGGTAACGAACTTGTCATGGGAGTAGGTGACGATGATGCCATGTTTAATCGACCTTGGTCTTTTACTATCGGATCTAAAACAAGAGTGGTATGAAATTAATGCTCAGAGTATAACATACCTCCTATAATAACGGGGCCAATAATATACTCGTTAAAAATCGATACATAATTTCCAAGCACTTTGCATCAAAATATTAAATAAATACCAAAGTAGTAATTGATTTAATAATCAGTGCTTATTGACATTCTTCGTAGTACCGATACAATTCGAATATCAAGTATCATCGAAACCTCAACTACACCATGATATAGCTAATGGTGGATTATTCGAATAATTTCGGGTAAATAAAAAAAAATATGGTTTATAAGAGCATTATTCGTGGGTAACCGAAATCATCAAGTATACATCCTGGAGGTGCAATTCGTTAAAAGAGAAAATGGTCTGCACTATTGGCCTAATTTTTAATTGTTTCAATAAGATTTAAATGTTACGTGTACTTACAAAAATAAGGATGTTCCATGGCTTCGCGAGCAGTGAGTCTCTCAAAATGGTCATAGCGCAAAAGTTTGTCAAGAAAATCGAGGCTTTCGGCTGACACCAAATGTTGGTTCTCCGAATGCATGAAACGCTCCCAGCGTTTGCGCGAATGTCGGCCTAGTATGTCATTGAAACGTGGATCCAATTCGATGTGATACTTGTCAAGATATTCGAACAGTTCTTCTGTCCCAAGAACTTTCGCGATTCTAACTAGTTGGTCATAATTATCGTGTCCGTGAAAAAACGGTTCTTTCCTGAATATCATACTTGCGAGCATGCACCCAAGAGACCACATATCTAATGAATAATCGTACATCTGCAACACGAAGAAAATAAATGCGATGTCAGTTAATGTGATTACAATATACGGTTCAACATTTAATAGGAAAGAAATGCAAACCTGGTAATCTACGAGTAGTTCTGGACCTTTAAAATAACGCGAAGCTACTCGTACATTGTATTCTTGACCAGGATGATAAAACTCTGCTAGACCCCAGTCGATTAACCGCAACTTTCGATTATCATGATCGATCATAACGTTGTGCGGTTTGACGTCCCTATGCATTATTCCCATACTATGACAATAATCCAATGCCTAAGCACAGAAACAAGATGGAATAATGTCGTGTTGTTTATTAATGTCCCGTTACTTCTTATATGGCTATAGATACAAAGTGGGTTGAGCATTATCCACGTATTACTTACTTAAAGAAATATTCACGAGTCCGAAAATTTTAAAAATTTCTGAAACTAAGGATTCTTTTATGTTCTTTGACGAACGAAAAAATGATGAATCTTTAGCTTTAATAGAAAAATGTCACACTTTCACATACTACAATAATGATTAACCCTTTCTATACTGAACACACTTCTAAGAGTACTGCATTTTATTCTACTAAATTTTACTAACTAAATATGCTATCTATATGTTACTTCATCACATATTACTATACTATGTAATAAAAAACCTTGTTCGTGTACGTTAATAATATTATTAAGGAATTAGGATAAAAAAAAAAGAATAATTTCTGACACATAAGAACTTAAAATGCTACTATAAATAAATCATTTGAACGTTCAAATCTTTTGCAGCATCGAAAGGGTTAAAAACGTGCTTCGTAAAAATTAGCGTCAAACTGAATTTGTATCGTTGACGACAAACTTATACGCATCAATAAACGATAACTTTGTGAGAATTAAATATTTTCGAACTCTTCTTCGAACCTATGATATACACCTACATCTATCGAAATAATAATCTCGAAGGTTCACATTGGACTGATACTTGGTTCCATTGCACTTAACAATACACGCACTTTTAATAACTCGTAGAGGTAGTATCTTATGTCGTAGTCTGTTAGCGTCTGGTATAATTGCTTGAAATCTGTGTTGTTGACGTGCTCAAAGATCAGTGCCGGTGTCCTCGATACTGGATCTTTAACAACTGCTTGGAGTGTAATTATGTTGGTCCCACCTTTAAGATTTTCTAAGATTTTAATCTCCCTTTTTATCTTCTTCTTTTTTACAGGCTAGAAATTAAAATTAGACGAGAATTATATATTTTCAGAACAATTGCATAATCTATTTACTTAAAAAGAGTAAACTGTGTTTTCATACCTTTAAAATTTTTACAACACATTTCTCGTTATTTGTGACATTAATAGCTTCGAACACTTCACTGTATTTTCCTCTGCCTAATTTTCTCACTAACTGGTAATCGTCTTGTTGCCTACGTAATAAAGAAATCAAAAGAGAACGAAGCAAGATAAATAAGTAAAATAAGAACAAATATAAATATATACATATACGTATGTTTAATTAAATATACTTACCCCCAATTAACAACATAGGATTCATAGTCCCAGTAATCTCTAGATTTATGTGAATTTACATCGGTGTAAACTCGCGCTCTACTAGGTAATGCCATTCTCTCCGATATATCACTATTACTATTTGTTTTGTTGATTGCTATGTTTTCACCGTTGTCTATCAAAAAGTTATAAGAGCTAGTTATTTTATCTCCTCCACTCACCCAGTTACGAATGCGCGAGGAAAAAAGTACACCTGAGTCATTAAAAAAATCACATTAAAAATGGAAAAAATTATTTGCCTTAATGCGACTAAAGAAAGTGAATGATTTTAAAACGTATATACAAGTATATGTTAGTCAAACATGACAAACACTAACTCGTGCTTTGTTAACTATCGCATATATCGAACAAGTATCTATTTAAGAGCTTGAACGGAGTACTTTTTATAAAACTGATAAGATAATAGGAAAACAATGGCACTGTACGATTATAATGAAATTTGCTATTCTCAAGGTTCATAAACCTTCCTTTTCAATTAAGTCAAAGCATCGTATACGTATCATGGCTAATACGTGTACACAATATAGCAACATATACAAAGATGAATCATACTACTTAATTATATAACGATTGTATTAAATGTAACACATCAAGAGAGAACAATTTCTATTAAATTACAATCAATATTTCTTATATACAATTAAAATAAATAGGATGTAAAGAACTTAAATACTATAGTAACCTTTAATCACTTTCTAAATTTGTTAGAAATATGAATGACACAATATACGAGCAAATTCTTTTCTAAATTTTACAATGTATTTTTTATTGAAAGCATCTGTGTCACATCGTTCAAGATCTGATCGAAATTCTAAGTTACGCGGTTAGAAAAATCAAAACAACTTTAGCAGGAATCATTATGCGATATAGAGTAGAATAACAAGGGGACAAATTAGGCCATGAAACGAGAGATTGATAAATGCTAAAACGTGTTCACTAATTGCAACGATTGAGCTGCATATTCCTTAGATGCCTATTGATTGTAAGTTCGTGGAAGACTCCCGGTTTCTTTCAGGAATTTGTAATTATGACTTCGCGAAACGTCAATTACGACTGTATAGGAGGCATTTGTACGTAAAAAAAGGTAATATCTTCACCGAAGACTATGAATCGAAGTAAAAGTTAATCTACTATCTGCTACATGGAATAGAAGCACGCACAAGCACAAGGGACACGAACACACATGTACGAGATAAATCACACGCCATCGCGATCAGGAAATTAACGTTGACTTATTTTGAACTCACCTAATGCATTCCGGACCCGAATCTTGATTAGATTGACCGCAACAGATCTACGAATTCGTCGTGAAATCACGCAACCCGCTTACGGAATACGTGAGGCCGCGAGAACGCGTGAAACTCGAAGATTTTTGCGGGCGGCCGGCTTCTCAAACGAGCGAGGTCCAAGATGGCAGCCAACAAACCTGCCACAAAATTTCAATTCTGTAGATTGAAAACTTTCAGCCTCTAAACCATTCGCGGTGTCTTCGAGAGAAAGCTCGTTGCCAGTGCTACCTCCTTAGAATGTCAACCAATCGTTTAAGAATGTTGAAATTCTTGCTAATCTTCTACGTTTCCTTAAACATTTTGTAAAAATACTACGATACCTACTTCAATGAAATATATTGCCATACATGCGATATATACGCTTCACATATTTCATTTAGGCGGAGAAAGTGTAAATAGTAAATTTTCGAAATTTTCTGTACGCTATTTTACGTAAAACAATGTTTGCTAGGGAAATGAATTGAAAACAAAGTAGTAAACATTTGAGACAATTTTTATTCGAAAAAGGAATTTTACATCTTTATTGAGGGAACTGCACATGTTTTTATTTATTTGTAAATACATTAACCAATCGAAATCATTGTTAAAATTATGTGCATTTGTGTATATGTACTGCAGTGTTTTACAGACCTCGAGTAAACAAAACCATGTGATCGCGAAAAAATCTTATTGGCTGCATCTTCTTGTCAGGAATGTATCGCAGGTCCGAAAAATGATGATAAAGTTTTCATCGAACAGTTACTTTTAAATATAGTTGTATTTTTATTACTTTATTTGATTTTCATATTTTTTATCCTTATTAACCTTTACTATTTACATATGTAAATATACATACTCCGTCCAACGAGTACAAAAACTATGTAAACAGAACCTTATGACTTATAACACTATTTAAACGGCATGACGCTGTGTTCTGAATAGGTACAGATTCAATAGAAGATATGTAAATTATTATTTATGCATAATAATAACAGTTCTGGAGTGAAAGTGTCAATAAGAGAGAATATAAAAATTCAAAATAAAGTGTTGATAGCAATAATGGTGTTACATTGTAAAACTCTGCATCTTTAAAAATTTTAATGCGCATACTCAACAAGAACTCCACATGTTTGGAGACCGCCGACTTTAGTACGAGCCATGCTCAGCGAGAGGCAGCAATGCTGTGAGAGTCCGATTTTGCATTAGATAGACAGAGACGCATAAATGATGCGTATTCTTTCTATCAGGTACAAAATCAGACTCTCGTTGTATTACTGTTTCTTGTTCTGCCGTAGTTTGTATGATCAGTTACAAATGGTTGCTTCGCGTGGCACTTGACAGACGTTATTTTGTCTTCCAGGACACTAAATATTTTGCGACGCTATACAAATAAACAAAATTGTTTCATAGCGAGTATGTACATTGATATTATGTAAACATTAGCGAAGTTATTTATCAGGATATTTCCATACTGTACCTTGTGTAGGATTTCGATAGAATGTTTGCAAATTTCTGTGTGGAAGAAATATTAGAGCTTTTGGAATATACCTTTTTGCTTTAACGTTTTTAACTGAACTTCGTAAATATTCGTACATAAGTTTTCGTTTTATTTCATTGATATTTAAATAAAAGGGTTCAAAAACATTGTAAACATTACATTTGAGGTTATATTATCGTAATAGAAATTTATACAGTAACGTAGATGACCCGATGAAGAAGAATTAAATGAGATGTACTTGTGCTTCGAAAATTTTTAACTTTCTCACGCATAATTTCTTTTTAATTTAATTCTATAAGTAAGTTTAACGCTCAGACAGATGCCAAGCGTTAAAGATGAATCGGAGGCAGAAGGGGAAGAAATGTCGCATGACAGTAATGAAAGTAATCAAAGCTCTGCATCGTGTGACAGTAGTGCAGAGCATAGCGATAGCGATGACTCCTCGGAAATGGATGAAGATGAATGTGAAAGGCGACGCAATGAATGTATGGAAAACCTAGTAGATTTAGAACGACAGTTTACTCTTCTCAAAGAGCAGTAAGTAACCTATTTCGTATTAGAAATGTTATTGGACGGAAACGTGTTTTGCTATTATGTATGCGATACAAAATTTCAGACTGTACCGTGAAAGAATTACTCAAGTAGATACAAAATTAGGAGAAGTTCGGGTCGGAAAGTCCGAAGAGTATTTAGTACCGTTGGAACGTTTAAAAGAAAATATGAAAACAAAAACTGAAGTAGCCGGTGTACTAAAGCAGTATAGATTACAAAATATACAAAATAAATTCCTAGCGGAAGAACAGGCTGCGTTACAAAATTTTAAAAGTGAAAAGGAATTAATCTGGGATTGTATTCATAATGATTTACAAGAAAAGATTCGCAGATTAGAGGAAGACAGAAACAATGTTGATATTCATGCGGATTTGTGGCTGAATTCGACTGGTAGAAGGCGTAGAAATCATACCGAAAGGAGAAGGGCTGTTACTGTTGCTGGGCCTTATATTGTTTACATGCTCAATGATGCAGATATTCTTGAGGATTGGGCATTGATAAAAAAAAGCCTAAGCAGTCGGAAAACTGAAATAATCTAATGCTATATGCAACTATAAACAAAATTTCTAATGTCTTAATAATGTCAATTATTGCTCTTGCATAAAAGTCAACTGTATAAACAATTTAAGGGCAATTTTGGCGATTTCTTTACATTTGTAATGCTTGTATAGGGTGCCTTTCTGTATAAGACTTTGATCTCTACAAAACCATTTTGAACTACATTCAAATATGTGTGACCTGTGGGAAAAAAATACCACATACAATACTTATGCCTTTCAGAAAACAATTTATGAACTGATAAATATTAACTACTTGTGAATATAGCGTTAAATTAAAAAAATGTAATAGTTATACTTTGCTGTTAAAATAACGTATTGTTAAGTGTAAAAAAACTAATTTAAGTAATTGTTGCATATGACATTAATCGCATTCAGTTTATTTATAAATGATTTTGTAAAACGAATTTCTTGAAAATATCAAAAATTATAGAAATTTTCAGTTCAAAATTTATTTGCAAAATTGCGTTTTCGAAGACCAATTTATTTAATTTTTGGCAATGTTATATCATTGATCATGTACAAATTGTATCATAATAAATAAATATATTCCATATTTTTGAATAAACTTTCAACAAAAATACTGGTGTTATTTGTAAACAAATATTTTTAATACATAAACGTTGGTAATAGTTTGTTAATTTGTATATTTATGATAATTATAAATAATTAAGATATCAAAGTATTATACACTGCGCTGTGGTACGTCATTCAGCATTGAGCGAGTGCCTGCTTTAAAAATGAAATGAAATCATCTTTTAGTAGTTTGTATCTACGTATATTGGACGGCGGCGATTCTGACGCAAGGTTACGGGAATCGCCGCCAGTGGAAAAACGATCGTCACTTAAGTCACTGCATATGAGCAAACGTAGATGTGCGTTATTCACTGTCCACTTCACACGATGCGGACTTTAATATGTAGTCTGGAGATGAGGATACACCTTAAATTAATATCTTAGTGTATTGGTACTCGATTTTCTCCTTTCGCAAAGACGCACACGTCTGTCTTGCAATCTGCATCGTTTAGCAGCGGATGGGAAATAATTTTCTATGGTTGTGCACAGAACATGAGTGATGGCGGTAATGGGTTGTGACCTTATGACAGAATCATCATTGCTCACTGTACCTACTCAGATGTGTCGTCATATGCTAATGTTACAAATTAATTTATATTGTTGCTCAATTTTTTATATGTTTTATTAGTTATTATTTATAATTTAGTTATACAAAATTGTTTTTGCAATGTTTCAAAAATTCCCGCGCTTGCAAATTAGTAACCAGCATGGATCATGAATAACACAAAACACAGATGGTTAATTGTTATAGAAATTATAACCAGCCGGGGATTGTGTAAAAATAGTAGGTAATTTTAACTTTTATTATTTAGTCGTTAGAATATTCAAAATTGAATTCAATATTTAGTTTGAGATTTTAATTTAAAATCTTATAAAGAGATCAAAATGTGCGATTAAAAGCCTTGAACGAGAAATTTTAGTTTTGGCGCTTTTGCGGTTACATTCGTGAGAGGTTTAGAATCGATAGCAAAGATTTACGATTCGAGGTCAACTGTAGGACAGATTCGGAAGAGTACCATTCTACTTCGAACATTTCAAGTGGGTTGTCACACGTTACGTTAGGTGAGCAAATTTCATTCAAGTTCTGTTCGACGTTTTAAAAAAATTTATATTTTCAAAAATCAGTTCATGTTACAGAAGATATCAAGATACCGTTCATGAGTTTTTCGAAGTGATATTTTCTCTCGGAATTATATAAAAAAAATGATCCGAATAACCACCGCGTGTGCTACGTGTCTATATTTTACTCCAAGGTCATTACTCTTAATATTTTGCGAAGATCACAATCAATTTTAAGAATCCGAGACCTTGTAACCGGGGAAATAATTTATTTTAATGTATATCTTCGGATTTTCTCCAGTGACCTTGACCAAGGTCAAATACTACACTATTCAGATTCCATTGTCGAGTACCGGTATTTTAATTTTTCGTAATATATTTAAAACGTTCAAATTATACAATACTTAAAAATTGCTGTTTAGGATTAAAGAGAGCCAGAATTCTTCATTAGGACGTTTTATTAATTATGGTTGTACATTTTGAAAGGTTTAATACACTTCTCATTCAACTTAAATGATATGTCTGTTGTAGATTTCTAATTTCCAAGTATAGTACTATTAGTTACTGTGAAAAAATGCCGATCCAAAGTATCAAGGCACGACAGATCTATGATTCCCGAGGCAACCCAACTGTAGAGGTAAGATTATGTAAAATATAATATTCTAATACATACAGTTATATTTTAATAACAACGTCCTTACTATTAAAAAGAAGATTCCTTTATTACAGTAGCTTTTAACACATAAATAACTTTATAAACTTTGATCATGTAACAACTACACGACGATAAAAATTATAATTTATTGCTATTGAGTTTTTAGTCACTATGCGAGAAATATATTGTAATATATTTAGATTTATCGAACATAAATTAATCATGCTCTTATGACTATTCCAAATACAATGTGTGTTTTACAGGTTGATCTTGTAACAGAAAATGGTCTCTTCAGAGCCGCAGTACCATCTGGTGCTTCCACCGGTGTTCACGAAGCTTTGGAACTTAGAGACAACGATAAATCGAAATACCATGGAAAATCTGTGTTCAAAGCCGTAGACAACATTAATAGTGCCATTACACCTGAATTGTTGAAGGTATGTATTATATATTCTATGCAAAGTTTTTGAGAATATGAAATAAATAAATGTCCGTTTCTAAAGAGTACTACCTACAGTGATTCTTTCGTTAACACGAATATAATACCAGAATATTAATTATTTGTTATTCAGGCAAATTTGGAAGTTACTCAGCAAACAGACATCGATAATTTCTTATTGAAACTTGACGGCACACCGAACAAATCGAAGCTTGGCGCAAATGCGCTTTTGGGTGTTTCGTTGGCAGTTTGTAAAGCAGGAGCTTCCAAGAAGGGAGTGCCATTATATAAGTAAGTAAATCAAATTTCTAACTTATATGTAATGAAACGTTTTACAATTTTGATACGGTTATTTAGTATTGTAATTATTCTGTATATTTATTAATGAAGTTGCAATACGTTACATAATTGTATAATATATGTAGGTGATCAAGGTTCATGCTGCTCAGTATATATTAATTATGATGGAATTTAGTTGTTTATAATAATGATTTTTTAAACTATTTTTTAATTACAGATATATCGCAGAATTAGCAGGAAATGCCAACATTATCCTGCCGGTTCCAGCTTTCAATGTCATCAATGGTGGTTCACACGCTGGAAACAAATTAGCAATGCAAGAGTTCATGATCCTACCCACAGGTGCTGCTAATTTCACAGAAGCGATGAAGATGGGTAGCGAGGTCTACCATCATCTGAAGGCTGGTATCAAGAAGAAGTTTGGTCTTGATGCCACTGCAGTCGGTGATGAAGGTGGTTTCGCTCCCAATATTTTGGAAAACAAAGAAGCTCTAAACTTAATTATCGATGCCATTAAAGTAAGTGTTAATTTCTTGTAGTTATTAAGTATTTCGAAACATTTCTATACATTACTGATTGTTGTAAAATTATAAAATTTAGGTTGCTGGATACGAAGGAAAAATAAAGATTGGTATGGACGTTGCCGCGTCTGAATTCCATAAGAATGGAAAATACGATTTGGACTTCAAGAATGAAAAGTCTGATCCCAGCACGTATTTGGAACCACAAGCCTTGAAGAACTTGTACTTGGACTTTATCAAAGACTTCCCCATTGTTTCCATCGAAGATCCGTTTGACCAAGATGACTGGAACTCGTGGACTTCCCTGACATCTTCTACTCCTATTCAGATCGTGGGTGATGATCTTACTGTCACAAATCCTGAAAGGTAACGTTGTTCATTTAATAATTGTATTCCTTAATTTTGTTTCGGGTTAACGAAAAATGTAATATGTATACGTAATAGAGCATACTCGGTAACAGTGTGGCATATTGTCTATGCATTACAGGATCAAGACAGCCATTGAAAAGAAGGCTTGCAATTGCCTATTGTTGAAGGTGAACCAAATAGGTACCGTTACAGAATCGATCAATGCTCACAAGCTCGCCAAGAGTGCTGGTTGGGGTACAATGGTGTCTCATCGCTCTGGAGAGACAGAAGACACGTTCATAGCTGATTTGGTCGTTGGACTTTCGACTGGTCAAATTAAGACTGGCGCACCTTGTCGTTCGGAGCGCTTAGCCAAGTACAACCAAATTCTTCGCATTGAAGAAGAATTGGGCGCAGCTGCCAAGTATGCAGGCGATAAATTCCGTAATCCTCAAGCTTAAGACATTCTACCTATTCATTTTATTAACATGATGCTCTAGTTAATATATACTGCAACACAAATGGAACTAGTACTTGTACGACCGTTTACATTGTGTTGATGAAATAGAGTCGAATGATTTTACTGTAATCGTAGCGTGATGAGTTGTGGAAATTCTTACATCGTAAGAATAGATTCAGATACGAAGTGTAAGATATAGAACCACTGAAAAAAAGATATCATCGAAATATCACTGCACTAGTTTATTGTAATGTGTCGGATAACATGTGATAATTGGATTATTACAGACTCATTTTAATCAGCGTAATCCAGGTAGGTTACCAGTGCACTTGAAAAAATGTCAACAACCGAGGTATGTGGATGTATGAAAATATTTATTCATTATCGTTAATTTCCTTATTTGTATGCTTTATGAATGTTTGGATCTTATTCGACATTCGATTGAATTAGGTCAGATTTTACAATTAAATGTATAAAAGAATGGTAATGCCTGGTATCTGCCAATTGAGAAACGCAAGTCACAAAATCATAAATAAACATAATGATAATTGTTAAATGTTATGAGTATGAATGTCATACATAATAAACGCAGTAGAAGTATTTGAATAAGAATTAGGGTCAATCACGAAATTGACGTTTATTTAAATATATCCATACAAAATTTACAGAAATTCTGTTATCACGAGCATACATGTAAATGTTAATGTATAAATAAAATTATAATCTGCAATGTATTAACATAATCCTCAACTTTATCTACTATTGGGAGAACAAATTTACCTAATTTTCTGTATTTTTTATGTTATTGATTATTGGGTAAGTCGATCGCAGACCAAACCCCAAAACAAGTCAAGAATCTAAACAGTAGAAAGGATTAGGCGGAGTATCTCGTCCCCCAATAGTACTTATTAGTATACTTATCATTAAAAAAATGTTACGAATAAATTTCATACAGATCCTTCGAAAGTTATTCGTCGCGAATAGCATTCGAGCTAATGGCCGCGAATTTAAAATAGTTCATTTAAATATAAAATAAAATTGTTAATAATAGCATAGACGAGATATACAAATAGACGTTGCATCTAATGTATCTCTTCGACCTATTTCTCTGGGGTTCTAGAGCTCCATTGCCATATTCATGCACAGACGAGGTATATGAGTAGATTTTACACACTATACCGATCTGAAAATTGGGAGCTGATTTGTGATTTTTATCCTCTTCTCGTGGATGGTGGCCAGTTTGAGAAACTATTCATGGTAACGTTGCGAGTGACACGAGAATGGTAACGGTCACTCGAAACATTACCAACAGATTTAGAAATGGATTTCAATCTCTTCCATAGGCACTAACATGTATTTACGCACACACTACAATTGTTGCCAATACTAATTCAGTGAATAGTTTCTCAACTGACCGCCATCCATGAGAAGAGGCCGCTAATATGAGTTTCGAATTTTCAGGTCGGTATCTTTCGCGGCCGAATCTGACTGCCATACCGACCTGAAAATTCGCAGATGATTTTAGCGGCCTCTTCTCACGGATGGCGGTCAGTTGAGAAACTAACTGAATTAGTGTGATAGGCAGCAGCTAGTTGCGTGTAAATACATACGAGTTGAAAAGTACGAATTATTCGCGTTTCCTTGACTAGTTAAAGTTGTAAATAATGTGCTAAAATCAGTCTATCCGCGGCTTCTACCTGAGGCAGCGCTCGGATTCGTAATGCAAGCTTCGGGAGACATCGGAGCTGCCCCCACCCCGCCGCCTGATTCGCGAGCGTTGCCGAGCACAGCGGACGGCCATCATTCGTACTTTGAAAACAAACATAGCAGGACGTGTCGAGACGTACCGGCGTTTCGCGGCCGAGGTGCGTATTTCTAACCTGTTTATCCTTCCACTATTACTACTCGCGTATTACTGCTTACGATCTCTTGCAATACGGTTTCGATTTAATCATTACTTAATTGTAATAATCGTTTGCGTACTTTAATGCATCGTTATTTCGTTTCTGTTGCAGTCTCTTATTGGAACTCGAAATTAAGAAATAATAAGACTTGTTGGAACCTGCCAAGACGTGTCGGCGTTTCGCGACCAACGGGGTACATACGTGTTTCTAACCTTTTAATATTTCTTCGTTATTATCAATTATTGTTTAATTATGATTTAATTTGTATTTCATTTCTGTTGCAGTCTCGGATTGAAATTCGACGCCATGGGAAAGTTTCATTGGCGCGTAAACGACACCATAACAGATGGCAGACCAGTCGACAAATTTTGAAGAGAATATTGGTAACATTATTGGTAACGTTTAAACAATTATAACAAAAATTAACATTCATATTAATATTTATTCATTTTTATCGCTTTATAACGTTATTTGTTGCAAGCATGATATTAATTTTGTAGTCGATCATTGTTAAAATAAATTATGAAAATCTTTGACAAACTTTTTATCCACTTCGATATACATATATCGAAGTATACAGAAATGGCGTCGGTAGATATCGACGATAAATTGGAATAGTTTATATTTAACTGTATTCTGATCGCGATTGAATATTTCCGAGTGTTATTCATTTAATTGATCGTTTATATTTCTTTATGAATCGTTGTAATTGCAATTTGCATATATATTTCGATGCAAGTTTAAGAAAACGTAGAAACCACGTAGTTGGAATATGCTATTAAAGCATAAATAATTAACGAACTTTAATTTTTGCAAATTTCGGAATATTTATAAAAATTATCGGATATTCTCACATTCGATGAAGCAAACATAATCATGCTTACAACTCTAACTATGAAACTTAGTGATATAATATTTATAAATTGAATAATTACTTGTACGTAATTATTTTCGTAGATAATATTTTATCGTTGAAATTCTCATTGATCGAGAATATTTCGCCTTCGTGGCAAACTATCTATACAATAGTATTAAGTAAAGCAGTATTTCTGTTGACGAACTCTTGTAAGAAGATGAAAAAAGAAAACCAGTAGGCTAAGCACAGGCGTGCTTGTTGTGTTTCTTGTCTCCTGTCCCTTTCTTTTCAGCTGTTTTCTTTCCAGGAAATTTGTTGGCCGCGCGCAATGCGGCCGGTAGACTCAGTGATCGTGCGTAGCAACAAGTTTGTTTCTCGGGGCAAAGTGACCCCGAGCACGTTGTCGTTCGCGGTGTTAGGCAAACGCGAGAATAGAAGCAGTGTTTTCTACGCAGTATTAAATTACTTTCAGAGCATCGTGGCTCTTTCTGTTTTCTGAATCGCGATAATAGAATCATTTGTTCGCCGATTTGAATCTTCGGTCGCGGTAATCTGATTCAATACTTTCCAATCAAATTAATTATCTTTTCAATTTGAAATTTAAACTCCTCGTTACCGGAATTAGAGTCAGTGCATCACGGAAGAGGATTATTTGGCGATGCTCCACGAGCAAACAACGTAAGTATAAATTTATACTTTGAAATTTTTAATTAAAAATCTCTACAATTTTGATAATAGATTCTAATTGTTTTCTTACAGTTTTCTTACAGTTTCTGAACATGATCCTGGGAACCAGCAGCAGCACCCGGGGGGTATCGGGCGGTGGACCACGAGCAAACAACGTAAGTATAAATTTGTACTTTGAAATTTGTTATTTAAAAATCTCTATAATTTTAACAATCGATTCTAATTGTTTTCTTGCATTTTTGTTACAGTCTCTGAATCTAACCAGCAGGACCATGATTTCGAGGACTTGAAGTCATCACTGGTAAGTCGCATGCTATTTTGTTTCCTCTGGTCCCCAACCATGTTGTAGGATGAAAGATCCGAATCAACACGGGTGACCAGTTGTATACTTGCTATTTTTCACGAGTTAAGTGAATATTAACACGAACTGTTATATTTTTTAGAGCAGGTTTTAGGGTCTTCTTGCACTCGCGTTTCTTAATGTTACCAATGAATAGTACGCATTATGATTATTATAAAATTTTTACAAATATACAATCTTTATAGAATATATGAAATATTTTTCTTAACTTTATACGAGTTGTATGATCGAATATAAAATGAATTAATATAATGTGAAAACATTATATTTATCATGCGATTTAACGTGCAAGAAGGCATTTCGCGACAGGTCGATTTTTCAGTCAAAGTAACATGCATTTTATACTAGTTTCATCTTTTAAAAAGTTTACTTTGACGACAAAATCGATCAAGGATAATTGAATATTTTTATTGACAATTTAATGAATTCATTTCAATTTTTAATGTAAATTCTTTTATCATGGAATCTCAAGTAGAGTCTTTCATTTTAAATAATTCAATTTCAATTATAATAGTTTTATCGAATAGTAGTATTTTTCAATATTATCGTATTTTATTATTGATATATTACATATAACAAGTCGAGTCATTTTAACTAACAATTAGATACGAAATACCGTTTAGCTATTAACCAGTTTTTCTAGTCAGGATTTTCAGAGTAATTTTTCCGTGTTCGTTGCCTAAGTTCATGCACATGCCCAGGTGCTATTTGCACGAGCGAAGGCAACGGGGCACGATGAATTTATTTATAACAATTCAACGACATATCGAGGACTGACATTGGCTAGTAAATCGTGCGCGACGTACTGTCCACATGTGTGTGTGTGGTTAGGTTGTGGAAGTGCGTCGTTTCAGATGTTTTATGATTGCAATTTACGTACAGAATTTTATAACATTAGATTTTTATCAATAATAATATCAAATTTCAATTTATCATTTATTTGAATACCGTTGATCTTAATGGATTTGAATCTTAATAATTTTCAATCTTGAATGATACATCTATACAATAGATTTTATTAAAGACTATATTCCATATATTGAAACGTTCTATACAAACGTTTATCTATATAATATAAGAACGCAAAGATCACTAGCCTTTGTCAGTCTCAGAAACTAGTAAGTGCACAATTAGAGTGTGAATGTTTGCAATATTCGGGTGTCGGAGGAACCCCGGGGAGTCCTCTCTAGTTTAGGTCGCGCCCGAATATTATGCGTGAGAACCGTGGAGTGTTTGTTTGAGAGACTGAGTTTTGCAATTTTTTAAATATAGGGTTAGGTAGGTAGGTAACTTATTCTCTGGTGTGTGTGTTTAAACCTAAGTAGGTAGGGTCAGGGCAGGACTGTCCACATTAGTTACTCGGGTAGGCGCGTTTTCGCGTGGCAGTTCTGTTCCTGTAGTTACGATTTCGAGAGTAGAAATGTTGCTGATTCAAACGGTGCACTTGTGCTGTTTGTTTCGGCTTTATTTTCGACTCCTCGAGTCGCGCGACTCTTAAAGTCGCTCTCTCGCGCTCGCGGTCGTGATCAGGTCCCTTTCGAAACGTTCGTTCCCCTCGAGATGACCACGTATGCTCTTGCAACGATTCGTATATTGTTGGAAGACTACGTATTGCACGAAATCTCGAGCCCGGTCTTTCGTAAGTTTCAGGCATCGGCAGGACCGCCGAAGAAAGAAAAGGCTCTCGATGAGCCGAAGAGGCCCTGACAAACTGTCTCAAGAGTGGGCTGCAACAAATGGCTTTTCATCTTCATCCTCGGATGAGAATGGAAAATCATTCCTATTACTACTTTGTCACTTAACTCGTCCGTAGTTGTAGTTAGTTTATTTTTCTGACTTTCTCACGTATGCATGTACCCGATGGTACATGATTGCACCATACATGCCAGCCATCCCTCCCCATAACTCGCGGTTATGATACAC